GGATTCCTGTCAGCCAAACCTAATTGATCATGTATTTACTTGAAGTACCCCCTGAATACAAGTTAGGTCAAAAATACCCTAATCAAAAGGTAGTCTGATTATATTATCTAAAATGTGTAATGTAGATTGCAATACGAATTACAATTTTTATCATGAAATTTGCCATCAGTAATGGACAACTATCGCAAGGAATCAGCCAGCACTGTTTGTGAACACTTGAACTTTTCTGAAATGGAATCGTTTAAGTCCATTCGGAATTTTCTCCAATGTGTCCATTTCATGTTTATGACTTGTTAAGACGCGTAAACACTTCGCGAACCTCCTTCAAAGCTGTGTTTACTGGGACTGCCCTCGTAATAACAAAGTTTCCTGACTCAATTAATTATGGTCTGGTTCCGTTTGGAATCTCCAGACGGTTCCAGACAGCACCCCCAGCAAGATCAGGTGATTTCCAAGATTAACGGCGTCTGTGCATCCACACATGTTCCATGTCTGCCAGTTTGACTCTGTAGTCTTACTTAACCAGGTATCGTGTTACCATGGGCCTTTACTCTTAATTGTGGACATCTGTTTCATAGTTTTAAGATAAATCGATTGCTTTATCAAGGACCTCGCAACATCCGGGTGGACCAAATCTAGTTATTTATGTGGTTGTTTACCATACGATCGTCTCATCCTTCAAAATGTGCTCCGAGTCTTCATTCCATTGAAATACTTCTCAAGTAAACTGGGTCCAAGAGGGGGTCTGTAAGTTCAGATCCTGCCGTAATAAACACAGGAAGTGCACGTCTAAACCACAAACAGCTGGGCTCGCCCCATGTTAGTTCATCACTCCGGTCCAGTGTAAATATAGTCTCAAGATAGAAACCTATTGTTAGGTTGACCACCAAAATAGAGAAAGGTTCAAGACAAGAGATGAGACGGGCAGCCAAAAGTGATACACACACTTATGAGAGACAGACTTTGCCACAGTTCTGTCTTGCATCTGTTTTGGTTTTGTAACTTGCCCTAAATGTTCTTATAAAAAAAAAAAAGAGGAGTAAGAAAGCTTGCTAGAACTCAATGCTGAAAGTATGATGAGTAAATGGTGTCTTTTTCCTCTTTAAACACGGACAGGTAGTATGTTAGCCTGTGTGTCTCAAAGAAGAAACGTTTGTTGTTCACTATGTGACTTGTAAAGTTCTCTGCAGACTCTTATCAGTGCCTCAGGCAGCTCATAGTGATTCAGATAGGCAGATGCTAGAAAAGCCAGTGCAGACTGTTCAGGAAATGTCCAATCCACCTCCACTTCTCCACTGATAGAAAATCAAGACTCTTTAGTTCCAATAAATGTTGAGCATAAAACCTTCTGCTTTGAGTTTAAATTCATGCAGCACAAAGAAACGTGATAGAATATCAGCCCATCCTCTCACAAATGCAGATTCTTTCCTGTGTCTTCTGTCAGTGTTCGCTAAATAACACGTTTGCTTTGTGTAAGATGAATGTTTGGAAGACAGCGGGGATGGAATCAAACAGAATGGAATTAACGACTGGGAGAGCTAAAGGATGCCAGATGGAGGTTCTGTCAAATTTGGGCTTTGTGTTTGTCTTATCCAGACATATGCTGTGTTCTCTCTTTCTGTGAGCGCTATGAAATAAAACCAGTATGTTTCAGCATTTCAGCATCTAGTGTGCATGATATGCTATACTGCGTATTAAATTGCTCTTATTTTGTCAGAGCTGTAGCCTAGAGGTTGTGGCGCACACACTCATGTTGTAGTTGATACTCATCATGACATGTCGAGCTGCGCTGTGAGTTTGATTCTGGCTTGCTAGAAACTTGTCTAATTTCATTTATAGCTTTTGACTTTACACCTTCCATTTCATTATCCCTTACAAAAAAGCACTTTGGATCTACCATAGTACAGTATAAAATTGTAAGATGGTACTTTAATATACACTAGTTTGAAAGTTTGGGGTCAGTAAGATTTTTTAAGATTAAGTTTCAAATCAGACAAAAATACAATAAAATCAGTAATATTGTGAAATATTATTAGTCACAGAATCCTTCAGAAATCGTTCTATATGGAGCCCCACACATGACGTGGAAAAATAATATATATATATATATATCCAACGAGACTTACTAATACGTCAGCACGTTTTACTAATCCGTTCCCTTGTTTTAGTTAAATCAAAACGAGGGAGCGAATTAGTACAACATGGCCCCAATTTACTAAAATGAGGGAACAAATTAATAAGTCGTGGGAACAAATTATTCATTCGTAGTCACAATTGAACTAAAACGAGGTAAGAAATGAGTAAATCGTGCCCACAATTTACTAAAACGAATTTTTGTCGGATGCCATGCGCAGGGATCCATACTAATATGCTGATTTGGTGCTCCATTTTTTTTTTTTTTTTTGCTGCTTAATGTTTTTGTGGAAACCATGAAACATTTTTTCAGGAATCTTTGATGAATAAAAGTATTAGTAATAATATAGGCCTATAGGTATAAACATATTATCTTAGAACATAGGCTATTGATTAAAAAAAAAATGAAAATGTTGTCATTAAATTTTCTCCAATTATTTAGTGACGCCTCTGCAGTTGTTTCTGTTAAGAAGAAAGTATTTTTCTCCACCCTTGAATTTTCATTTTGATTGCATTTTCATAATCTCTTATGCAACCGTTCTGTTCTACTTTGTTTCTGACTTGTTTCACAGTCTGTGTTTGAAGAGGCCAAGATGGCTGGATCTAATATTGAGACTCTTCCAAGAGTCTGGAGTGGATTCAGGTGTCTAGAGAGCTCCTTTAACTGCTCTCAATGTGTGCTCTCACATCCATTTCTACAGACGGTGGGTTACTGAGTTTTTTCAGTAGCTCATCTTCATTTGTTATTCTCAGTCACAAAGAGTTTGACAGAAAGCAGATCCTGTCAGCAGTATTAGTCATATACACAATTCGAATCGCTTCTACAAGACTAATATTAACATTGAGCAGATGTGGCATACAATAATGTCCTGGCTTTTCAGAGACACAGTTATCTTTTTTGGCACTTCAAAAACTATAGTTAAAATAAAAATAAAAAAGCCAGGACAATATTCAAAATAAAACTACATATATATATATATATATATATATATATATATATATATATATATATATATTCCCTGTAGTTTATGTGTTTTTTAGTTTTTTTTTAGAAAATAACAATCATGTACAAATGTAGCCTATGTTAAAAAATATGGGGTCAGTAATATTTTTTTATGTTTTTGAAAGAACTTATGCTCAGCTTGATCAAAAATACAGTAAAAAGAGGTTTTGAAATTACAGTAATATTGTGATATATTGTTACAGTTAAAATAGCGATTTTCTATTGTAATATATTTTAAAATGCGATATATTGCTGTGATGGCAAAGCTGAATTTTCAGCATCATTACTCCAGTCTTCAGTGTCACATGATCCTTCAGAAATCATTCTAATATGCTGATTTGGTGCTCCTTATTTTTTTATTTATTATTAATATCAGTGTCGAAAACAGATTAATTTTTTTTTAACAGTTTAACTGCTTAATTTTCTCTTATTAATAGAAAGTTCTTATTAATAAAACACTTATTAATAGAAAGTTCAAAATAACAGCATAATTGAAACAATGTAAAAGTCTTTAATGTCACTTTTGATCAATTTAATGCATGCCTGCTGATTTTTTTTTATTATTTTTTTTTTTTTTATGGTAGGATAAATCTGTTTATAATGAATTTAGTCACACAAAATGTATTTACAGGTTTTAAAAATACAAAATGTGTAACCTGTTCTTGGAAAGTGCCTCTTCTTTCATTATGGAACACATTATTCCAACACAAACGTCAACATCCTTGTCAGTTAAACTCCAGTTAGTTACACTGTGCATGTGCAATCTCTTTATCATCGTGCCTAGAACATACTACTATACTTATGTCAATGGGTACCTATAGCAACCCTGACAGGCCTGTTTAGGGTCTCCCTGGTACTCTCCTTCAGCAGCTGTAGGTCATCAGAGAGCCCTGAAACCCAACTTTAACCGACCCCCCCCCCTTTTCAAACACCCTTCACCCCCTCATCTGACAATGTGGATTCCAAATATTGACCCTAAACTGTGCGAAAGCATAGTGTACCGAGGGATGATTCTGTGGGCTCATACGGGCTATATTTATGGCCGCTCTGCACTGAAGGGTTCCTCATGGCAGCAGGATATATGCATGAGTGCACCCGGCTTGAAATTCTTTTCCCTTTTTTCTCTCTCTGGGATTCATGCTGGAGCAAATGGATTTCTGCAGCCTTTTAGTTGTTTTTTTTCCTCTTCTGCAGGCAAGACATTGTCATCTGGAAACATTTATTCTTTGATTCATGAAAGCCCCATATTGCATTTCTACTGTCGCAAAGCTCAGAAAAACGGTTGTGTTGAAATGACAGAAACATAATCTACTGCTTTCACTTATAGCTGTCTGACAAAAGAAAAAATGCTCAAAATATGTTAATTTTAAAGTCTTCTGATATGCCTTGTTGAAAATTCTGTCAGACGTGTGTTAAACATTCAGCATAATGCATACTGTGTTTTATGTTAGGTTCTAGTTATATATAGTTTTCATAATCTTTCTTTTCACTTTGAGGGATGTAATGTCACCATGCCTGGCTACAATTACCCACAACCCCCTTCACTGCTCTCAACTCCGCTTAAGAGCCAGTAAAAGTGATAAAAAATACATTGATCAATTTTACTTGGTTTCTTTGTTGAAAAGAAAGATGTGGAAATGATGTTTAGTGCTATATATCATCAAACTTTTGTACATTAAAATAATACATTTATACGTTTAAATAGGCTACATTTAAATCAACGAACAAGGCTAATTTAAGTGCAAGCCTGAGCCATTTGTTTGCTAGTATTACTGTACATTGCTATATTGTCCTGAACCTAGATCAAAACCCTTTATGATCTGATCTCTACTCTTGACCTGTTATGGTTATTTATTCTTCACAGATCTGAAGTGTCTAAAACATCCGTTGCATTCATCAGTAAATCGGACAGACGGTATAATGGGGCCAGTCGGCCTGCGCCACGCTGTTTTCTAGACACAGAGCAGGATCGACACTCACCGACGGGACGTGCAGAGACTGTGCCTGACACCAGTAAGCCAAATATTGACATTACTCGACCCTTTTTGAGGCTCTGTTGATGTGCAACTTGTAAATAGTTGATACTTCTATATTCAATTATATTAGTGATTAGGCACTTTTATAAAGGGCATTATTGCAGATGTAAAAAAAAAAAATGGGGGGGGGGGGGGGGGGTGCTCTATTATTGATAATAATAAGAAATGTTTCCTTTGCACTAAATCAGCATATTAGAATGATTTCTGAAGGATCATGTGTCACTGAAGACTGGAGTAATGATGCTGAAAATTCAGCTTTGCCATCACATAAATAAATTACATTTTAAAATATATTACAATAAAAGACAGTTGTAATCAATTGTAATAATATTTCACAATATTATTGTTTTTACTGTATTTTTGATCAAATAAATGCAGCCTTGATGAGCAGAAGAGACTTCTTTCAAAAACATTAAAGAATCTTACCAACCCCAAACCTTTGAACGGTAGTGTATGGTAACATCTGAATTAACTGGTTTTATTCAAGTAAAAATGTTATGTATTATTAGATTACACCAACAAAATAAAAAAATTATTTTGACATCTTGCTTCAAGTGTAATGGGATATTTCATGCATGTTTATGCTCCTATGTTTATATAGTGGAGGAGCAGCTTTTCCGATCAGTGGAGGGTCAGGCGGCGTCTGATGAAGAGGAAGAGAGATGGACCGGAGAGCAGCAGAGACAAGTAGACGAGGTGAAGCGAATCCTCACCAGACTGTCCTGCTGTGGAGACAGGTACACCCTTTTACTGCTGTTTACAATTATTTGATTCACTCAAATGAGATTCAAATAAATGGCTCACAGACTGTAGTATCCTATTTGTTTAGGTTCTTCAATTGCTTTGTGTGCTCTCAGGTGTGATGAGAAAGCAGTGAAGAAGCTGTTGTCTCATTTCGGCGACTCGCGCACCGAGGAGAGTCAGACGGCCGTGCTAGAGCTGCTGGAGAGGGTCACGCGACTCAACAAACAACTAGAACTGAAGGAGAGTCAGGCCAGGAGGGTGGAGATGGACACAGACCAGGTATGACCGTGCCGCATTCAAATGATGATTTTTTTTCTTCAGCTTTTCAGATAACTTGATATATTTAAAATAGTGCTGGGCAACGATTAAAATTTTTAATCGCGATTAATCGCATGATTTTCTTGCGATTAATCGCGATTAATCGCATTGTTACGCGCAAACTTTAATAATGAATTCTAAAGTAGTGTATTACTCACTTTTGATTTAAATGTACTGCTATATACACAAAAGTGTAATAACATGTGGTTTGCAAAAACTTTAAACAAATAAGGTGCTTTATACCAGCAGTATTCCCTTTACACAGCATCAATAAAATATTTATTGTAAATTTCAACCTAAACATTAATGTAATCAAATCAAATATTAAAACAAAGCTATTTGCCACTGCCAGGGCATTACCTTTTATCTAGCTTGTTAAAACGAGTCCAGTTTTCTTGGTTTTTTTCTTAACAGGTATCAACAGGTGTCTTTTAGCAGCAGAAACAGTCTATGTAGTCAGATGTCATGAGATATAAGTCGACCAACGTTACTTCTCTGATAGTAGCGTTTGGTCATGCCATGGTTTCCCACGTACACTAAAGGTGATGATACACAGGGCAACTTTTTTAGCAATGTTGCTGGGCAATGTCGCCGTCAACGGGCAACCAGATGAGACACAGGGCCCACAACCGATCTAAATTATCCAGATAGAAATTTATTGCCCATTTTCAATGGAAAAGTAGACAAGCAACAATCGCTCGGCAAGATTGCCCAGCAACATTGCTCAAAAAGTTGCCCTGTATATCATCACCTTAAGATTGCATTAAACAGAGATAAAACCCAATTTATACTTCTGCGTCGAACTTACGTCGTACCCTGACTTGCACCTCTCCAAAAATGTAACAACGCGTCAATTCTACGCGTACCGCAAGGGCTGTGATTGCTAGAACCGCTCCACGGGTTTCACATGCTCCCTATGCATGTGTAATTGCGCGTCAACGCGGACAACGACGCAGAAGTAAAATCAACCAACGTAGTGTATAGCGACACTACGAACAATACAATACACTACGAATGACACAGAAGTATAAATCAGCCTTTTAGAGTGAGGTGAATTGGTCGAGCGCAAGGTGCAGCGACAAGCGGGTGCGTTCTGTGAAACTGTTGCGGTCATGCTCGCCTCACGCGCTCGCCTCACGCACGCGCCCGCGCGTTGCCGAAGTTGAATTGTCTAAAAGGACTTTGATTGTCTATAACTTTTTGTACACGACGCGCAGTACAAATCATTGGAAGAGAGACTGATCATCGGCTCGCTGTTTGTGAGTTTCCAATATTTAAAAGTTATCAGGACATCAACAGAAGGGAATTCACATTGCAGAGCATCCCCGCTAAACTACACGCAGGCACATCAGGTAAAGTTATGTATAATTTTAATTTAAGTTAAAAAGACTACAGCTGCGTAGCGCACAGAAGCCGTTGCCGTGGTTACTATCCATAGAGCGCCTGTCATTCACTCGCGGAGCGCTGTCTCCCTTTCTGTTCACCTGAGAGAACCTGCCAAAGCCCCTCCACTGCTGGTTTGGGTGGGTTATTTGCTGGCTGACCAACATCCCACCCCTCCTGTGATCATGGTTTGACTGTAGGCCTATGTCTTATTCAGAGCCAGTGTGCAACGGACTTAAAAAAAAAAAAAAAACTGCGTTAACGTGCGATAACAAAATTGTCGGCATTAATTAATAAATGCGTTAACGCGATAATAACGCGTTAACTTGCCCAGCCCTAATTTAAAACATAAATGGATAGAGATCACCCAAGAAAAAGACATTTCTGTCATCATTTCCTCACTTTTAAGTCATTTCAAACCTACATCATTTGTCATCTTTATTTTTTGCCAAAATTTTGCTTCGCTTCAGCTATCGTAAAGAGACATCCACTCTTGCAATGCGAGTTTGTGCTTTTTGGGGGCGGAGCAATGAAGGAAGGGGTGTGTTTGTTTGTGTTGTATCAAATATCAACAGTTCAACAGCGATTCTCAGAAATTGCTTACTGCACCTTTAATTAAAATGCTCATTCAGCTAAAAAAAAGAACATAGGTGAATTGACATTACTAAATATTTGGATTAATTTTGCCTTTATGAGTCTTACCACAGAAACGAATAATATGTGAGTCGGATGACACGAACATCTGAAGAGCAGAATAACATTAAACTCCAATTAAACACACATATGAAGCCAGCAGTTAAAATACGTATCAGAGATTTTAAATACTTAATAAGACATTTTCATTCGCAGGAGCACAAGTTAATCCAAATAAGCTTTGGCTGCTGGTCTTCTAAACGGCTTACGTCACCCAACCAGGACTTTCTGTTCTGTTTTACTTTTACATTCATGGTTGCTTTCGGGTGCAGGAGTGTAAAATTAGATTACAAGGCACTTGCCCACCGAGCAGTTGTTATGAGAACGACGGGCTTCAAAGAAAAGCCTCAGCTCTTACACTCCCACCCAAGCAACCAGCCGTGTGTGTCAATGCGAGCAGCCAATCGCTGTCCCTTCCTGAGATGACCACACGAATAAACCTCCAGGCCTTACACAATTACATGTACACTGAGCTGTTGAGACAGACGTCGGCTGCGATGCACCAGACGTGAACTATGTTGCTAGTGTTTTTAAAAAGGCCCCACACATATTCATGGAAAAATATCCTGGCACATTCTGGCCTTAACCAGTTTGGGGCGAGCATTAACGCGAACGCAGGCAGATGTGGATTTTCGACATATGGTCAGACAGGCCAAAAACAAGCATATCTGAACTATTTCTGTCTGAGAAATTATGTGTCTCGGCTGAATTATGGGCTATCGGCACATCTGGCAAAGATTCTCCTTACCTGAAATTCATTGTGTGTTGGAGCATTAGTGTTTAAATATGCGCAAGCTCAACGGTAAGTGTCGTGTGTCTGCAGATGCGGGACGCCCTGGTCCAGGAGCTACAACAGAAGGCTGAGGAGACGGAGCTGCTCCACCTGGAGCTGCAGATGCTGGAGACGGAGCGGGTGCGTTTGTCTCTGGTGGAGGAGAAACTGATGGATGTGCTACAGCTTCTGCAGCAGCTGCGAGAGCTGGTCAGTCCAATGGAATCTCTAGGGAGTGAATCTGGAGGGATTTCAGAGTCAGACTCATCAGCCCAGTGTTGCACACACAATAGATGGGTGTTAATCCAGCAGTGATTCGAAAATAATATTTAGGATGTCAGCAACAAAGACATATGATTATTATCATGCTTTCATTTTTGTTCTCATATAGACCTTATGCACCAGAGAAACAAGGGCGCCGCCATCTTTAGAATATTGTCTTTGAACTTCCGTTTTTGCGGTCGCTCTGTATATCTCTATGGCATTGCTGTCCAGGAGTAATTAGCTTTCGAAGTGGATTTGCTTAATGTAAAGTTAACGAAAGTTATCATGAGGATTGTAATGTTTAAAGCAGATGTCTTAACAAATGTCAGTGGACTGGGAAGATTTTAAAACGAGCCGTTCATTCATAAATATGCAAGATCGCTGTGAAAATACAGACCGGAAGACAAAAGACAAGAGCGCAGCGCTGAAAAGGGGCGGGGCTAAGGTCTAGAGTATTTTGTGCTATTCATATTTTCAGTTTCTGTGATGGCAGGCAGGCTGGTTGAATGCACATGATTTAATTATTAATGCTGACATATGAAATAAGGTTAATTAATAAGTATTTTACAATTTTATAAATGTATTACCAGTAAATTAAATAATTTGTATTGGTGTTTGCTGGTGTGGCATTCGAACAAACCCCTAAAAAATATGTATATAAATATTAAAATTATAAACATTAAAATTATCACCTTTTTTATTATCATTCCCATTTTTTTGCAATAATCATGAATTATATTATTATTATGAAACATTGAATTATGTGTGATCGAGTATTTTGCCATTTAACTACCTTTTTTAATACATTTATTATGATGTAAAATTGTTTGTTTTTATTGTAGAATGTCTCGAGAAGATCTTTAGGAAAGATTTTACTCAGCACATTGGAGTCTTGCAGTGATCCTCAGCATGGTAAGAGACACAATAACTTTTAACTTGCCAGCTTTGCTCTTATAAAACCTTTACTGTTTACCAGGCCTGGTATGCAATAAAAAATGTGACAGGAGCATTAGATATACAGTGTGCTACAAACGTCTGAGACCACTTTAAAAATAGGGGATTCTTTTTTTTAGACAGAAATAAGTTTAGGGATTTTAAAGGGGTCATATAATGCCATTTTTGTACAAGCTAATATGATTCTTTAGGGTCTAAATTAAAAGTTTGTAATATACTTTAATTAGAAATTCTCATTAGTATTGTAAGAAAACACTTATTTTACCTGGTCAAAAACAGCTCTGTTTTCAGCACGCCGTTTCAGTGCATATGACTTTAAATGATAATGAGCTTTGCTCACTCCGCCCCTCTGTTCTGTGTACACCGTTTGTAACACAATAACACAATAACCATAACGCGTTGTTCAGTATAAACGTGGGACTATGAATTATATTGAGAACGTCATACATAGAAAACGTGACGTAATGTACCCTGAGTGTAAACCTTAGACGCATTCATTGTGAAGCGTGCAGCTAGCGATTTGTAAAGATTAATATAAAGTTTAATAAAACGTTACACTCACTTCAGTTCTTCTGGAGGTTCAGCAGGAACACGAATATCTGGTACCGATCCTTTTTTCATGAGCAGCTTCTTAGCAAATCCAGCTTTATACTGACCCTCGTTTATAAAGCAGTCTGGTGTGTGAAATGATTCGCGTAAACATGAAAGCATTGACGTTGCTCGTGGGGAATATTCCCTTCGAAAACAAACTCAGCCACTGCGTCTTCAGCGGTTCGGATTTAGGAACATTAAAATGACTGCTGTGTTCGTTATTACACCCAAGAACAGAACACCACAATCGCTTAGACCAGGGGTCTCAAACTCGCGGCCCGCGGGCCATTTGCGGCCCGCGGGCTGATATTTTGTGGCCCCCTACTTGACATTAAAGTTTAATGTTAGTGCGGCCCGTCGTTGCGTGTGCCGCGTAAAAAAAAAAAAAAAAAAAAATGTATCCCTTATGAGCTACCATAGATAGTCTCGTGACAGCTTACGGAGGGTTTGTTGTCAATAGTTGTCATAGACAACCGCGAAGTACAAACATACTGCGCCTGGAAAAAACGAGCGCGTCGCTTCAATTATGAGCGCGCTTGCCGCGCGCCTACATTTGAAATTACGAACTTGAGCGCGCAAAATATGTGAGCGCGATATGTGAACGGCCCCTTGGCGAGCTACCACCAATCAGGCCACGAGCTACTGGTAGCTCGCGAGCGACGTGTTGGAGAGAGACACTGCTCTAAAACAATGTGAGAATAATCACTTTGAGCTTGTAATATGTGTCCAACAGGTTGATAAGAAGGTTTGCTTTGATTTGTGCAGTCAGTAATTTGAGACACTATACAAAGAATTCAATAAGACGGGCAGACATGACTGCAAATATTTGTATTTCAAAAGCAATAATTGTTTTTCTAAGTATAATAAAAGGAAATGTGCCTTCCAAAAAAAACATTTAATATCATTAATGTGTTGTATAAAGAAAATAAAAAGGACATAAGCAATTATAAATATCACAAATATGTGTTATAGACAAAGAAAGTTTGTAAAATGAACTTCAACTGTCAGAAGGACAGCTCATGAAGAACCAATCATGTACAGAAAGGAATGTTCAAATTCAGAGGAACAGTTCAGAAGAAACGTTAATAAATATTGAGAAGATTGGATCAGTTGTGCTCCTTTTTTGGAATACTTGAATACTATTTTTTTTGTGGAATACTTGATGCGGCCCAGCCTGACCCCGACTCTACCTCCAGCGGCCCCCAGTTAATTTGAGTTTGAGACCCCTGGCTTAGACGCCATTCTGCTCATAGACAGTGCTCCAGCATATCAACAATGACCGCGCCTGTCGCGCAGACTATGATTGACAGCTCAATCATGAGCGAGGGCGGGTCTGTGTTGAAACGCTGCTGTCAATCAACAATCGTGGGAGGGGCTTCCGAGCGTGTGACGTCACAGGCTCGAACGGCTTGATTTGAGACAGGGGAAAACATATAAGGAGATTAAAACAAAAACACTGGATAGATTTTTATCATTGTATGATGGTTGTGTATAGGCACTGCCAACACACATTTCAGTACAATCAACTTGTAAAAGTGCATGTACCATTATATGACCCCTTTAAAAAATGTAAAACAAAAAAAGTTGTAAAATGATTCAAATATGTAAGATTCTACACTTTTTGTAGGTCACAAATTAAACTTGTGACATTGATTATTCTTGATGTTAACTAAACCTTAAACTAAAACCATAAAAACAGAAATAATATATGTGTATATATACATGTGTGTGTGTGTGTGTGTTATTAGAATATATTATATACTTATTTGAAAGATTCTGTTTTTAGCATATTAGCCGCACACAGATCTAAAGCATAGCTTCTCTATAACTGATTTGCAGGGAAAGCACATATCTTGGAGGTGCTCAACGCTCTCTGTCATGAACTGGCTGCGTGTGAGATCCTCTCTAATGGCGAGACAATACAGAGAGCAGAGAGTCACCAGTCTCTCACCAACTCTCTGCTCATCTCCTTCTAGACATTACTGCCACCTGATGGTCACAGGGTGCTACAGACTCTTCCGAAAGGACTTTTAACTGGCCATGTTGGAAAATGGGACCAAAATTAGCTATGTATTTTTCTTCATGTGTTTATATTTCTGTGTATAGTTGTGTAAAACATTTAGCTCGTTATCATTTATAATGAAACATGATGTGACACATTTTGAAGCATTTTAAGCTATTTTTGCTAGATTTTCCTTTTGCAATTTCATATAATCTCGGTCAGTATTATCTTAAAATACATGCACATTATACAATGGTGTTCATTACAGCTTCATGTATAATGTGGTAACACAGGTACAGGAACACCTAGTTAAAAACCACTCAGGTATAGGCTATGCAATGCTCATAATAGCAAATTTCTTTCTTCTGCTGAACACAATAGAAGATATTTTGATAAATATGGGTAACCAGACAGTTGATTGACCCCATTGACTTCCATAGCATGGGAAAAAAAAAATACTATGGAAGTCAATGGGGATGCATCAACTGTTGAATGAAATTCATACAGGTTCGGAACAACTTGGGGGTGAATAAATGACGACAGAATTGGGTGAACTATCACTGGACTGAACATTTGCATTATTCATCGTTTCAAAATACAGAAACTTAAGCACTTCTGAGCAGTTTTGTTGCTCTTTAAGGATGATTTTCATGATTTGCATGAAACAGAATATATAGCTTACTGTATGTTTCATAATTGCCAGTGTCTGTGCCTCTCTCCCATCATACAAATATGTGATGCATTTTTGTTAAGCTCCAGTGAAGATTAACACTTGGTTTGTCAAATGTGTACTGAAGAAAATATCCTGTTTTTTTTCTAGATAAACTTCATGAGTTTCACATAAGGTACTGGACAATATATCATCAGTGCTTATATGTTCAAGAAATTAAAAACATAACACATCATAATCATTTCGTACAATGATTTATACACGCACTTGTTTTTCAAACAATTCAAACATACATATTTCAGTTTTTTTTTTTTTGGTTTCAAAACATCTAAAAAGTTTTTTAGCTTTAAATAAAGCTGAAATAATTAACAAATCTATAGCATAAATCAATAAAAAAAAGTTTGGAAAAAAAACATGCAATGTAGGGCATCACGATCCCTTCATCCGAGATTTAACAGAAGGCATACAGCTCGTATGGTGACAGGAGGAAAAAAAGTATAAAGGAGAATATAATTATGTGCTATAATTGTTGAACTTCTAATAAGTTGTCCTCTTAGATGTTTTAATTGTGCAAAAAAAGCATTTTATTCGCATCTACTAAAGATTACGTGAGGCTGACTGCAGAATACTGTATGCCAAAAGATGTTCTTCTGGCTCACACGTGTACAGTACAGATCAATGTGGCTTTTGACTACCGTTACCATCAGACGATACCTTTATTCTACAATGAGTGAATGATGAGTTATTTTTACACAGGAGCCCAGAAATAAACACAGGCTCATAAAGGCTTCAGAAACCCTCTGATAGTTATAATTACACCTTTGGAGCCATTGGTCTCCTAACAGTTTTGATTTGAGGACCACAGAATGGGTCTGACAGGAAATTTAATGAGAATTACGCTGCATCTTGATTAATCACTTGGTTTAAATAAGCACTTAATTCTGAAGTAAGATTTTACAACCTTACACCAGCACCACTAAGGTCTGGTAACTACTACAGACGATTACTACGAGAAAACAAAAAGTAATAACAAATTAATCCTAAAACAAATAAAATAAAAACACACTCTCACCTATTTACAGCGACATGTGTTACTAATTATTTGACATAACGGCCTAAAAGTAATAAAACTCAAGGGGAAAAAAGCTACTAGGGCCAAATACAAAGTATAAACAGTGTAATACCTACGCTGAGCTGATAAAGAAAAACAACCAAGTTTAAAATTGGGTCAGAATAGTGTTTACAGTAACGCTGTGGTTTGCACTGTAGTGTCACATAGACAAGAATCAACGGGTTTATTTCGTTTCATACCAGCAAGGGAGGAGCAGTGATGATGGAGAGAGAGAAAGAACGGGTACATTAGGGTGAGCCTGCTTCCTGTTTGCGTCTCTCCTTCCCTCTGCTATCCCTCCCTCAAAGGTCGAGACGCATGCTTAGCAACCAAAGGTCTCCTGGGAGGCGTAAACCATGTAGAGGAAGCCATCTTCATCTCTCTCTCGTTCGTAGATCTCAGAAATAGGGGTGGACACACTGACCATGCTGTGCTGATTGACAAGAAGGAAAAAGGCCTGGGTGGGGTTGAGCTGCAGTCTACGCCTGTGAAAGAGAGTCGTTTTGATAACTGATTATAATGACAAAAACATGCACATTCAAGTCTGGGTTTGGTACAAGTTCAGCTCAATCCACAGCATTTTTGGCATACTATTGCTTACCACAAAAATAAAATTCATAAAACATATAATATAAATGATAGTGAATTGGGCCAATATGTAAACGTTAAAATACTCACCGTTTCAATAGTATAACCACAAGGTGTAAGCAATATGCATGATACCAGGATTTTAGTATATATATAAAAAAATATATATAACATCCTAAACTTTGTGATACTATTTTGTCATTTCACACATAAAAAAAAAAAAAAAAACTTATTTAAACAGCTTTTGACTTCTCAAATGATACACAAGTTTAAAAAAAATTAATAAACTTGATTGAGTTGAATATTTTGCCACAAAATTCTGTTCAATAAGCTTAAAGTCACCATGAAATCAAAATGTACAATTCTTAGGTTTTTTTTCATGTAATATTGAGGCATTTATTAAGTAATTTATCCGTGAACTGTTTTTTTTATTTTTTATTATGTACCCTTGTAATCTTTCATCAAAATGACTTGACTTCCCCCTCCCTCTTGCAACAATGACATGTTTACTGGCACGAGGGCGGGACAACCTGTCACTCACATGAGATCACAACAATCGATCCTATTTTTTATTTTTTTTCTTGTTCGAGAAGCCGTTTCACTCGGATTAACGTCACATTGGGGAAGAAAACACTATTGTAACTTCCGTTTCATGATCACTTTTACTTGTTGAACCCGGAATATATCCATATATTTTTTCATTTTGTTAGTAGCCACATAAAATGTGATGCTAGTGCAGCAGAAATTTCACACTTATAACTTAATCATTATTTCAAGTCTGAACTATAAATAAATCAGTCATGACTCGTAGCCAAGGATTATGAAGTATGATAGGCAGCATGGGTCTGACAAAATGTTCTTAGTCTGATCATCTGACTGAGCCCGTGTTAAAATACCTGGAAGGCAACACTGAGCTGCAAGCTTATCTTTAGAGGAACTTTAGCTCACTAGGGTCTTGTTTTAAAAAAGAATACAACACAATGGATATAGGAAAAGAATTGTGGATGTTGTTCAATGAAAAACAGTTTTCAAGTTTGAACAGTTTAAAAGTGTTCGTAGAAGTCCCCTGTGGATGATGAGCACAGCAGATAGTCAAAATTGGCACACCATTGCATTCTCCTCCCCCACCCTGCTTCAAAACCCCACCAGACGAGTAAACAAACCGGATGAGGCTGAAACACACGGGACTTATGGCTCAAAGTGACTTGTACATGGTCAAAAATACTCTCTGTGTATGTGATACCAAATGACAAGTAATCCTGGATTCTGGATATTATGTTTACCTGATTATCTTTACCAGCTCACTCATGTTAACATGGTCAGGGACAAGGAACTTGGTCTTGTCCAAGACAGGAAGTTGCTTTTCCCCCTTATATCTCTCAATGATCACCTGTAAGGAAAAATATTACCAAGACAAATTGATATAGTGTTTTGACATAGTCTACTCTTGAAATAAGTCTAGAGCAGTGTTTCTCAACCTTTTTTACTCCAAGGCAAACTCCAAAAAATTTCTTCAAATTAAAATACGAAATATATTGATTTAGAGTTGTTTTAGTTTATTTTATAATATTGTCTTATTTAAAATAATTTTAAGTCATCTTGAGGCCCTCGTAGAAGTTAAAACCACTAGTGTAGAGTAATAAATCATGGCATCTTAAAATAAATCTCACATTGACATGCAAAAGTGATATCTTGAAAGCAATAAGGCTCTTCTTCACTCAGTCCTAATTCATTTATGACACATTCAAAAGACGAAAGAGTTTCTCACCGGAATTTTATTGGGATGCTGCTCTCGTATCTGCTGCACTTCCTTGCAACGATCAGCTGAAAAACAAAAAGAATAAAATAAAGAGTATGCTCATTTAGACTGTAATAAGCATATTACCACACTTTAACAGTCTAATTGCAACACATAAAGACATACTAGGATGTGTTTATGTAACTGAAAGACCACGATTGACATGACTGTAGCTCTCCCTCATTCCTCAAAACACTACACTCACAGCATTATCATTAACTACATTAGCATTTACTTATGGAAAACCTATTTAGCAGAAACTGGAAATTAACATTCCTTTTGCATAGGAAACTAGTAAGGATTGATCATTTCTGATGTGTTGTTACTAACGGTGTAACAATACCCTCATGTCACGATTCGATACATATCACGATACTGAACTCACAAAATGATATTTATTGCGATACTCAAGACATGTGATAAAAGGAGGTTAACAAAAAATGTACTGTTGATTAAGATGCTAAATTTGATATTACATTGTGGGTGTAAATGAATAGGCTTGGGCTTGATGCTGGTAACCCAATGCACAGGACAATGGTGACACCAGAATAAGATTCCTGTCCCTCCATTGACAGCTACGCAACAACCACTTTGACACTTCAAAAAAGTTGTGTAGCTGTCAACGGAGGGACAGAAAGTTCTCAGATTTCATCAAAGAGATCTTCATTTGTGTTCTGAAGATGAACGAAAGTCTTACGGGTTTGGAATGACATGAGGGTGAGTGATTAATGGCAGAATTTTCATTTTTGGGTGAACTATCCCTTTAACTGATCCCATGTCAGGGTCATTCATGTCAATTACATAATCCCAAAAGCTGGACAAATTTGAGAGCGTCTGCAGAACATATTGACCCTGACACTTACAGATGTGTTTAAAACAGCAGATCTATGTTGTTTGTTATGTTTAGGAAGATTATGCAAGGGTTTTATGCTCCTCCCTCCCCGTCCTCAGTCTGGACTATGAGAAAAAGCTCAAATTACAGCATCATTTCACCAACACGAGTACTGTCCATCCATTTCTTTAATGTTGTTATTAAACACAATTTTTATTCATAAAATAGACTACTTGTTTAATTTAATATCACCTGTTAGACAATAATACTAGTAATCAGTATGAAAAAAATGTGTATCATATATATGTTAATTTTAAAGTTTTATCTTCCTAAAAGCTAGATGGCAGTTTAAATGTGGAAAGGACAACGCAGCAATAACGTTATATCTTTAAGAAATCAGCTGAATAAACTGTGGATTAAAGCTGTTGTTGTTATTTAAACAGGAGGCCTTCGAGTCAGGCTAACGTTAACTTACCTCACTGGATAGCAACCTCTGTCGGTTTGGTTGAAACCCGTCGTTTAAACTTATATTAATCTCTAACTGTCTCTAAAATCGTTTCACAACCATTTAAAGCTTTATAGAAAAATCGCAAACACTGTGTCACAAAGCTGCTAGCAGGCTAGGGACGAAAACAAACCTGATAAACAAACACGCATGTGCTGACACAGCGAGAATAAAACTCATCTTACCAAAGCTCCGTCTCTGTTTGAAGGGTCTGTCAGATGGCATAACTGGACTTGAATGTGGTAAAAAATGAGCTATTATATGTTGAATTCTCGGTCAACTTCGCTTCTTTTCGAGCTCCTGACTCACTGCAAGCAAAACAGCTCGAGACAATGTACTAAAGTTCGTGATGTCATAGCAGGATTTAAAGGGGCAGGACCCGGGTTAAGTATAGACCTACAATAACAATATAGTTACAACGTTTCTTTGCTAATCTTGTACATTTACATTCTATAACTATATTGTATTTTAGTAATCCCTTATAATCGTTGTAATTAAGTTTTTTTTAACATTATACAGAATTTAACAGATCAGTAGTTGGCGTACAATCAAATCTGTCTATAAATCTAAACATTATGTTTTAAATTATGGCAAACAGCAGAGTACTCTTTCCATTTCATATGAAAATACAAAGCCAAAGAATAAATAAAAGGAAAAGCATTGTTGTTTTATTGTCCTTTTTAGCATAGACAAACAAGTACAGTATGTCATAGTGTCATGTTGATGCGTATAGATGATGAACAGCTGGAGTACTTGCAAAAGAGAGAATATGAGAGAACAATAAATTACAGAAAAAAGGCAAATGATTGGAATTATAAGCAAAATCAGTACAAACCTAATATTTATAATAAGCTGGATGCATCTTCCTTTAATGTAACTGTGTTACTATATAAACTTCACTTTACTGGAACATATGAAATGAAACACTTTTGGCCGTTATTTAGAGAGAAAAAAAATACTATGGCAATACAACTATGAAGAATTCAGGACTACTCTGTAGGATTTTGAATGACGATCAGGAAATAGTCCTTGTCTGTAAAGAGAACAGAAGAAAAAAAAAATTACAGTACTAATGTATGATCATATTCATCAGTCTATGTCAGATAAATACCAGACACATATTTGGCTTTGTGCAGATAGGCAGCAAAAATACAATATTAAGACATATTCAACCCTCATCTGGTTAGCTTTTATTTACAAAATGATCACCACTTAGCATTTTTAGAAATGCAAATTAAAAGAGGATTCCATAATTTTTCCTTTAACACTGAGATTCAATACTTTTTTTCAATCTACGTGATCTGGAAAAAACATGCGATAAATGTAATTGAATTTGTTTAACCTCTTAACTGTCACCCCCCTTTTTGAGAATTGATGTGAAAATGCACTACCCAAATTTAAACGCTTGTAATTCATGAACCCTTTGGACTAAAGACTTACGGTTGGTCTCATTTAAAAGACGACACTTGCCAGATTATTGTTGAAGTGGAATAAATTAATAGAATTAAATTATATAAAAGTTATTGAAGTTTAAGTTTATTGTTATGAAAATATAATAAAATATATATTTTTTCTTTTATTAAAATATATATAAATTAATATAGGTTTCAGCCTAAAAATGACAGAAAGTCAAAGCCATATATCTAACCAAGTTGTGTTCCAAATTTGAAGTTGATATCACAAAAATTGAAGTTCCCATGAGATTTTGTTTAGGCGTAATACCAATAATACCCACCGGGTGCCATTGCATTCCATTGAATTTAATTGTATGCATTCTGCCATAACAAATTAATACATTTCTATCCAAATATCACTTCTGTCACTAAATATGGAACCTTGAGACTCAGACCTTTCTGACAATATGTGTTTTGTCAAGATTAGAACATTTTTGATAATAAATGATGAAATATGATGCCCAAAAGGGGAGGGGCCTAATAAAAAAAATACTGTTTCTATGGTAACGCAACGTCCAATTTCAAAACGGTTTTCACAGGATGAATTCTGAGTTCGTAAGCTTTCAAACGAGACCTAATTTATGATAACTACTAAAATATGTGATGTAATAAAAAAGGTGATAAAAAAGATAATATTATATTTTAGAGGATAATATATAATATACTTTTTAGAGGATAATATTATTTTATAATTTTTTATTGACAAATACTAGATTATATATGTTTTATTGTGAACTTTTAGCATGCAAATCAAAGTTTGAATGATTAAAAGTGTAGTTGTTGACTTTTTGTTACAAAGGTGAAAACACCTGTAATGATACAGATTTTTTTTGATGCGCACTCTTGTCATATATTAATCCATTACTCTTCCAACATATATTTTTCTGCAAAATCATCAACATATATGTATTCTTGACTCTTAGACCTTTCCAACGATATATAGTTTGCCATGATTAGATTAGGATTTATTAGAACAATATTGAAGTAAACTTAAATATCCCGCTACCGGGATGGTGACAGTTAATGTTTAAGGTATGTTTCATGGAGCCAGATTCGGACTGTTGATATAGGTCAATTAATCAATTAACCACAATTCTAAAAAAAAAAAAAAAAAAAAAAATGATTTCAGTTTACATTACCTGCATTAACATTTACTTAACTTTTATTTTTGGGGGGGAATTTTAATCAAGTTAGATTGTTTTAATATAATAATAATAATGGTCCCACTTTATATTAGGTGTCTTTAACAACTATGAACTAACATTAAAATTAATAATTTGATACAATGAATTTATTGTGTACATTTTTATTGTGTACATACAGTTTTTTTTCCCATTGTACTTATCTTTTTTAAAATCCCTGCATTTAATTACAGCTGTAATTCATTGCTGTAATTTCATCTATAATTACACTGTTGACCCTTCCCTTACACCACCCTTAAACCTACCCATTCCCCAAAACCTGTCCCTAACCTTACCCGTACAGCACCTCGATAGCAACGAAAGTCTTTTGCAATACAATGAACACAATAAGTAGATTCTACTTATTTTTTTATGTAAGAAAATAGTAGTTAAGGACACCTAATATTAAATATGACCATAATAATTATTGTATTAATAATATATATATAATTTGGAGGTTTGCTGAGGCCCCCTGTTTGAGAACCACTGCACTAACCTAAATAACTAACTAGCATTACATAAGTGCACTTTTCTTTACCTGGGGCAATCATGACCTCATTCTTCTTTGATCGAATTCTAAGAAAGGTGAGATCATTCTGAGGGTCGATGTCCCTCACTATTCCCCGAGCTTTCATGAGCAACTGGTGGATATTACCAGCATACTGGACTGTGCTTGCGTTGTCAAGGGTGCTTTTAATGGGGATGCCTATTAAAAGAGAGCACATAGGGAAAACTGCAGATACAACAACAAAGATCTCTTTGTTTGATCAGTTCCATGCTGAAGCACATGACAACCAAACTAAAATATACATAACAGCTGCAACATTTCTCATGTGCCAGATACCTTCTGCATTAACAATGATGATTCCTTGTACTCCTTTCTGATTCTGGAGCCTTTTCATCGTCTCATCCACCTCAGCCTGCAACATAAACGCTTTATGGATTAAAACAGCCAAATTAACAGTAAAACCAGCTTTATGTCATAGCTTAATATCTAATATCCTTCGGAACAGTCGCACTGTGAAATCACTAAATGAGTCTCTTTAAAAAAACAACAACGTATTTTTGCCATTGTTTATTTTTTATTTTTACTCGAGCAGTAGTTGGCTAACGTTACTATACGGGCCATCTCGTAAATGACAACGCCCTGCATTCAATGTTAGCCCACAAAAACCTTAACCGAGACAATGACAAGCTAACAAACATGTACTTTCGATTATAGCACCATTTGATCAAGTATAAATGGTAAAATGTACTTGCCATTGTGAAGGTAAGTCGGTGTTTTCGTTGCTATGATTGATGGTGCAAACTCCGGAACTAGAAACATGTAGTATGTGAACGGTCGGTTATACTTTACTGCCATCCGCTGGACTGGAGGAAAGCAGGTCACTTACTGCGAGTTCAAATTTTAACAAAAAGGTATTTTACTACAAACTAGTGCTTTTAGATCTATTATTATACATATACTTTGAGGTTAACATGAATATGCATGCTTTTTTTATAATGTCTAGCTGGAAAACAAACAAACAAAATGTGGCAGTTTCTTGATTTTCTAGGAAGTTCTTCAGTCTTTGATGGTGTGAAGTAGATGTTTGCTATTTTATATTAAAAGGGACTACCTCTAGTTTCCATAAGTGGGTAAAAAAAAAAAAAAAAAACAGAGTAGGCTAAATAAAAGTAAACTTTTTTAACTAGCCTACTGTACTAAAACGTATATTGCCCAAAGTGACATGACAGATGACAGATGGAATAAAAAGCAGTTCAATGACAGACTTGTTCGGCTTGAATGTTTACTGAACCCCCCTGTGGTTCAATTTAATGTCTAGACATGCTTAAAAAAAAGTGAGCATGCTGCAAGTTATAGCCTACTGACTGGTGAGAAAAAAATAAAGGTTTAATTGGACTGATTTGTGGATAGGAACAAATGAAAATGAGGTTGCATAACCACTGTAAAGATGGTACAGGTATGGTCTGATGAGTGTGAGAGACATGAACAGGCACTGTGGATTTATGAGGTCATTTACTTCCTTTCCAAACTTTGCCTCAGGTTTTCCGCTTAAGAACTACTGCTAGGTCAGCTCTACTCTTAGCATACACATGGAAACTTTGACTCGTTCCATATGTGCAGACATGCATGACGGAGGGGGTGCATGGCGCCTCACATTTGGGTAAATTTAAAGCAAATATCATAGAATGACCATGTGATGGAGTAACAAAATAACAAAACACAAAGTTGGCAGTATTTTCACATGATCTGATTATACAATTAACTTTGGTTTTATCTGCACTATCTATTTATTAAAACTGAATTAGGTAATCTAACAGTTTGTGACCATTTTTTTCTCACGGTGGTTTACAAAACCTCATTGTGCCGAGTGTGTTCTACAACCAAAAAAAGGAAGTATATAACCACACACTTCATATATGCTTCATATAGTTGTATTTTCCACATACAACCAGAAAGCAAAACATGGCCATGTGAGAAAATAAGCAGCTGTGTAAACCATCATAAACAGCTGTTAAATTTGCTAGTATAGGATTTTACAAATTAAAATGTGCTAATTTATTCATTCACTTAGGCTATTTATTAGAATTGTTTTATCTGAGACTTTTTGAGCCAAGCAGAGGTGGACAGTAACAAAGTACATTTACTTGAGTACTGTAATACTCAAGTAAAGTACAGATACTCAAAAAGTGTACTTATTTTTTCTGCAAACTTTTCACTTTAACTTCACTATTTGAAAGACAAATATCATACTTTTTAGTCCACTAAAATTCTGCCAAGGTCCTTGAGTAGAAAGTAGTAACGTCAGTCAGGGGATGATTTTGGTTGCAGGTGTTGCATTTTGGTCGGAAGTGAAAGTCGGGATGACGTCAGAACCCGACTGATGTTGGTTTCTGACGTCAACCCGATTTTACAACCACATACAACATCTGTCCAACGTTGGAGATTAATGTGGATCAATCTGGTGTTGGATTCTGACATCAACCTGGTTTTCATTTTCAACGTTGGGTTCGGTCTTCTAAATGCAAATTTTATCATTGTTTTGGAGCCCACTAGCCCCAGGGTTCTCAAGTCTCACGCATTGGCCGTGACTCGAGACACACGCAATTCAACCAGTTCACACGCTCACACGCCACACCATGTATTTCTCACGCTGAAAAGGCAATGCCAACCAAGTTGTCCTGCAAGCTTTATATAACGTTGTATACGAGGCGCAGGCACACAAAGTGAAGTTTCCTGCCGCCAGCGCGTCCGTATCTCGGCCAGATTGCGGTCGTTACTAGGCAACATAGATGCGCGAACACACGGAAGTTGACGGAACATTCTCGGTCATCGCGCGAACGCATAGATGGCGCGAACGTACGCACACACATTCTCGGCCACCGTACGTTCGTTAACAATATCGCGCGAACACACGTCGTGATCATAGGTCGTGATGGAGAAGGTAAGTTGGAAGAAAGCTCGTCTAACATTTTTAGGCTAGAACATTTAATATATAGCCAAATACATTACTATTTGTGCAGTCAAAAACTCTACAACTACTTTGCAACCAAGCCAGAAGCTTTTGCTAAGGGAAATGTTAGTGGGTAGCCTATGGGAAGGAATGAAGTTTATTGAAGAATTGAATTTTATTTTAAATTATATATTATACTGTATTAATAGTCTTTCTAGTAACATTAAGGCTACATGTATTAAGGCAGAGTGCTCTGGGTAATATTTTATATCCTGTCAAAAACATACATTAATCATTGCCATTGCATTTGTATTTTTCAAAGATGTCAGGGAAAAATGCAAAAAGATTTGTTTTTCCAAACTGTTTGGAGCAATTTGTTGTATTTTAGTCATTTTGAAATATAACATTAAAGAGTATATTTGATGTGATGAATTGCTCTGTCATTTTATCAGATTTACCAATTGGTATAATTTTATTTTGTGCTGGTTAATTATGAACAATGGGTCAAATTGGGGGGCGGGGCTCCACTGGGGCTCCTCCCCTAACCGCATGTGATCTCACTCCAAGCTTTTGATAAAACTTGAGAACCCTGCACTAGCTTATAGATAACAGTAAGGCTAACATATTCATACTAAAAGCCAAAAAACTTTAAATAGGGCACTATTTGAGGAAACAGCCATTTGGGTGTCCGAAACCATTGTGTACGATATTGAGTGCACTTATTCAATCTCACATTCAATCCCACTACTGGAACTGTGTTCTAGAAATAAATTTGATATTGATATGAGGGTAGGTATGCAGACATAGATTCAGAGGCATAAGGTACAGTAAGTATTACATACATCAATACAGCAACAATAAAACAATGCATTGACATTTACTTTTTACTTTTGATATAGTTAAAAACAAGAAGCCTGCTTCTGTACTTTTACTTAAGTAAAAATCTGTCTTTACAACTTTTACTTGTAACAGAGTATTATTTGACCAGTAGTATCTGTACTGGCACTCAAGTAAGGAAGTTGTGTACTTTGTCCACCTCTGGAGCCAATACATTTTTTTTTATTATCCTGGAAAGAAGAAAAGAGGAACAAGTGTGTTGTTTTTTAAAGGGTTTGAACTATACTTTGGTGTGTTATAGTCACTGGATCACATTTCCTCACCCTGACAGTAGTCATAGACAAGATGAGACAACCCCTATTGGGCAATAGGTGGTGTCCAGTTACATATGAATAAGAGACAGGGATTTTTACACAGTTTGAAAATGTTCATGTTGGCTTTGTCATATTAATAGAGTTGCAGTTTGGCCTTTGTTTGGTAAAAGTCAGGCAATGTGTGTCTGAAGAAAGCTCGTATCTTAACATTATTTTAGCGGGAATCTGAGAGTTCAATGTCTCTGAATGTGAAGTAAAAGTATTAATTACGTGACAAGGAGATAACGAAGAGGACCAGGAGGTGCTCGACACTGAATGTGTAGGAGTTAGTAAAACTGCACACAAAGCTCGCTTTTAAAAGGTGGTTTTCTCCTGAGGGAACATGGCTCTGCTCCCAGATATCTACATTTTACAACGTGAAAGCGTCACTAATGATTCTCTGTTTCATGTCAAATTCTTGACTAGTAAAAAAGTGGATTCCTTACCGGCTATAAATAACATTTAAGATCTCACCTAAAGCTGCACTAACAGGATGCATGATATTTACATTTGAGCTTTTTCACGTTTACATTTGGGTTTACATTTGATAATGGATATACACTATGGATTGTTTCTATGTGCTTCAGGGCATGCACATACAAATGCTCTTCTAACTTGGGCAATAATTAACATGTTTGCATGAGTCAAAAAGAAAATGGCATGCTTGTATCTTACATCTCAGACTAGCTGTTGGTTCAGTCCGCAGCTGCTTATCATACTGTCCTTCAATTGCAGGTCCATCGCCAAACAGCTTTTGCCATCCCTGGAAATCATTACCAAAGCTTAAAGAAAACAGCAGAATCTAGCCCTGCAGCAGCAACTCGGTGTTGTCTGTCCCTGTTTGTTAAGATTGAATAGCGGTGTAAACACTATCTAACTATATGTATAACTATGATTCAACTCTATGGACCCTTTTCACATTTCAATATCTTGTGTAACTGACATTACTGAAGACAATGACATGATGCTAAACAAACTACGTACAAAACCGTGGCTAGAGTTGAGTCACAGATGCAAGGGACAGACCGTGATGATGCGTTTCCACAGTTATCAACATTGCAAAACTTGATAAAACACGTACAAGCAGAACACAATAACAGTTGTTCCCAATTTTCTACACTGCTGATTGTGGACACTATATCAGATTTCAGATTTCCATTTTTCTATAAAGCAACTTTACCTTAATTTATATAGATAATAAGTCATTTGCCTTCCTGTAAATCTACCTTTATTTAGAGTAAAATAAAGAAATGATGTGGCAAATTAACTGTTCAGCAACGTCTGCAATGTTCTTGAATGTCTATATAAACAAGATAAACAAGATCAGAATGACACCAACTAAATATCGGTCACATTTCAACAGAAATGCTGTTTGTTTGCCAAATGTCCAAATTTCAGTGTGTCCTGTTTACATTGAATTCAGGGCCAAAGTTAGACAGAAGTCTGTTAAACAACTAGATGTGACGTACTTACTTAATAGTTTCACATGAACAGAAAATAACAATATATTTACATGCTCACATATTTGTATGGACACAAACATGCTAGTTTTAATTCAAACTATTCAAACTGTGAATTACTCTGTGCCAAGACATCAACATCATAAAACGATGCAGTTACGTCATGTCATGACCTCTCATTTCAAAACGCCACGGCTGTTCAGACAAAACATCCGCTTTTGCTGTATATTCAGCTTTTAATTAAATCAAATCTAAAGTTCATATATGGTTAAAAAACATTATCTTCTTTTCCTTGGTTTGAGGTATGTGCAAAAGATTTACAAGAAAAGATCGAATTGGGTTTAATGAAATCACATGCAAACATATACTCTACCAACTTTCTTTAGTTGTTGATATAGGCTATATATATATATATTATATAGGCCTATATATATATATACAAATACGGGCATTGTAAATTACTTCTTTAACTGATGGGCACAAAAACTGTTGCTTTTACTCTTATCTTGGGTCTGTCCTGCAGTCTTCTGCAAAATTTAGTCACTGCTGTCTCAGAGATTGACAAAATGGATCCCTTCCATTCTTATCACTGTTTTAAACTTTCCATTTGTGCAATAAAGTGCTTCTTTCCACTTGCCCTCATTAGGGATGACATTTACCTTCTCTCTCTGATCTTTTATTTTAAATGATTGTGACACAAACAATGGCTATTAATGTCAATTAATGTCAAGCTAATTTATTTTGACTCTGAACAGCCTCAGTGGCCTGTCAGGAACTGCAGCACAGACTAAGCAATAGACAGCTATGAGAGAACCACACAAACCAGACACAGGAATCAGGATGGATGCCAAATGTGCAGATGAGCATTATAAGATTTTTATGTTTCTCTCATATTTGATTTACATCTCAACATTTCCCGTAGCTCCCTTTGCACAAGCCCTGCCCACATCACATTGTGGATCAATGTGTGGAAGAAATGTACTGTATATCTTGAGCATAACATTAGAAATAAATATAAGGCCTCACACATTGTTTTGCGCATTGCATTGGCTATAGGTTTAAATGGATTTTATATTAAAAGCTACATTCAATTTGCACACGTCGTCTATCTGGCTTTTATTAATCCCATGAATAAGAGGGCTTCATACTGACACCTATTGGTGTGGAGGCCTTTTTTCCCGCCATCACCACTTCAAAGCACCAGTTCTTTTTGCAGGTGTTTTCTGTCCTTCATTTATTCATATTGTTATTCTTTCTTTCTTTCTTTCTTTCTTTCTTTCTTTCTTTCTTTCTTTCTTTCTTTCTTTCTTTCTTTCTTTCTTTCTTTCTTTCTTTCTTTCTTTCTTTCTTTCTTTCTTTCTTTCTTTCTTTCTTTCTTTCTTTCTTTCTTTCTTTCTTTCTTTCTTTCTTTCTTTCTTTCTTTCTTTCTTTCTTTCTTTCTTTCTTTCTTTCTTTCTTTCTTTCTTTCTTTCTTTCTTTCTTTCTTTCTTTCTTTCTTTCTTTCTTTCTTTCTTCAAGTAAACACAACAGAAGTTGACCACTGTGCTTCACATACCATAAATCCAACAATATTTAAGAAAAAATAAAATAAAGAAATATCATTCGGACTGCAAAAGAAAACACAGATCAATTTAAATTTAAATAAATGCACGCTCCAAAAGATACAGCTTTAGTTTGAGTTTAAACTCATGATTGTGTGGTTTAAAGGGATGTTTGTCTTAGGAGATAAGAGAATGTCATTTCAAGGTTTTTAACATCACAGGACGATGTTGTGACGCAGTAATTTTCCATTGTTTTTCTCTTGGTATAATAACACTTGTTGGAATTGTACTGGCCAGACGAAGTCTGAGCGTTGAGACACACGCAAATTATGTTATAAACATATTTTTATTATCATCACTTCGTCTCCTGCTTCTGCTCTTTTCTTTGGCTTTCTCAGTCAAACTCTCAGGCTGATAGAAGGCTCTTAGTCTTGAGGTACCAGACAAGACTTTCTGTTGACAGGTTATGCTGGTTTGCACACCAGACAAAATAAATATCTTTTGACAAGATCCGGCGTCTGGGGCTAGATTTGATATTTCTGGCATAGGGATTCCATCCGAATCCAATCCGTGTTGGGTGTAATGCATTACTAAAGTATTCATTTATTAATTCATTAATTTAATTTAAAAGTAAAACTTTTCCTTGAAAAAAGTAAAGAATAGGATGACACTTAATTTTTCATTTTCTTCTGATGTAATTGCATTTTAGACTTAGACTAATTCTATATAAAATAGTGGATTTAACATCAAACTTAAACTAATTAATTGTAGCAAGTAATACATTTTTATAACAAACTTGGTTCATCAGGGCTGTGGGACAGTAGACTGTGTTTGTTATAAAAAACTGTATGAGTTTCTTTCTTTTGTTGAACACAAAAAAATATATTTTAAAGAATACAGTTGACGGTAGCCATTGACTTCCATATAGGAAAAAAATACTATGGAAGTCAGTGGGTGCCGTCAACTGTCTGGTTACCAACATTATATATTCTTTTGAGTTCGACAAAAGAAAGAAACTCATAAAGGTTTGGAATAACTCGAGGGTGAGTAAGTATAGGCTAATGACAAAATTTAAATTTTTGGGGTGAACTATCCCATTAAGAAACTTTAATTAATGCTGTCACCTTCACTTAACAAATCTGCTTCGCAGGTAAAATTAAATGAATTGCTAATTACAACATTTAAATCAAATGTAAAGTCTGTACAAATACTAGAAATCATGAAATAATGGAAATAATTAGGAATCATTTAACAAAGAGTAGCCTACACATTTCATGTAGAATACTTATAACCTTTGTGTCGTTTTGGTCGCTTGGGCTGCTACTTATAAAGGTCCAATCGATGCATTGCTGATCATGGTTTTGAGTATCGATACAGTATCTGCCCTTTCCAGTGAACAAAAAACGTGCAGTAATCTCAGACAATTTAATTGAAATATTTTAATCAAATCCACAAATTCGTTTGAAGAACCAAATTAGCCCGTTATCATGATTCGAATATCTGCCATCTGTCAAATCATCTTAGATGTCCTATTAAGCAAGGTATGAAGAATGGACCCCTGATATAGATATCAAACAGCTTTAACATCTCATGTAAACTCTATCCCTAATCCCCCATAACCCTAACTAACTCTATCCCTAAACACAACCCTCACAGAAAACTTTGTGTTTTTACATTAAAAAAATAATAATTTATTAAATTTAGTATGATGTTTTTACACAAAATAATGTCCCCACAAGGTCAAGAATTACTGGTACTATATCTTTATAGGGACATTTGGTCCCCAAGACGGAGGGTTTACCAGGACCACACACACACATACACACAGCAGACAGGACGTAGAGCTTGACATCATTTCTCCTCAGTCCATGCAAGACGTAGTTCTGCGTTTTAGTTCCCCACATTCGAGCTGAGAACAAGGGGTAAGTAGCCTAAACTTATCCTGCTTTCTAGACGACAGCATGTAATATTAAACTAAAACCTGTTTAAACTTTATCAAGCCCGATTTAAATATAGGCTACGTGATATATTGTGATGAGAGAAAGCGGTCTTAAACGGAGTTAAACTGAACTGCCATCTCAAAACTTGTTCTTTTTCCCCCGATCTAGTCTACTTATTTTTTAAGCCACCAATGCAATGCTAATCAATCCCATTTTACTACTAAACAACAGGTTAGGCTACAGTTACAAGATTTATTTCGAGTTGAACACGAGTGCACGAGTTTTCACCTCGAAGATTAAACTTGAGCTGAACTTAAAGTGGAAACAGTTCGAACGGTTTGACTCTTTGATAATAACCTATCCATGTTTGTTAAACTTAAACTGTTACTTTACTATCCTAAATTGTCCGTTAGATGTACGGATAGCTACTTAACGTTTTCGTTTGGATGTAGCTAAACCATGTCTCAAAAGAACGTAAGCTTCCTACCTTAGTTTTTTTGGCATGTAATCGGCGTTCAAGCGTTTGACTATACGCGTCGCCATATGATGCCCAAAATGCTGTCTAAAGGGTAAAGGCGAGTGACTAAATGCACCAGTTGTTTAGATTATATGGTTTTATTCTTGACCAGTTATAAGTACTTATTACTCTAGTGTGGAATACCTTTCAGTTTGTGTGCAAATTAATATTGTCAGATTTGATTGTCTCGGCCTACTACGAGACATTTAGAGTTACTTCGAGACCCAATTCATCCCATACATTTTTTGCCTAAGTAAGGTCGAAATGCGGATAATTTTATTGAGTAAAAAATTCGGTTTAATTAACCAGAGATATATAGGTCTGTGTGACTTAGTTGGTAGCAGCTGTCAAAAACTTGCCATAATAACTATTAGTCCCGAAAATAAGGTTACTGAGGAAAGTGACTTGCTACGAATATAATGTGAAATTATTAACCTACAGCACAGCAGTGTGGGTAGTACACTGTAAATGTTTACAGTGAAACAAACTGTAGCTACATACTGTAAGAATACAGTGATTGTGTAGCCTAACAAACATGTTGGTGACCGTATATTTTAAAGTTCTTAACTGTGTCATTAAATTATATAGTGCAACATAAAACATTCTACATAAAAGATTAAAACATTTTTTTACATTTTACAACTGTGATGGTTCATGCAGGGAATTCTGGGAATGTCAATTTCCATTGAATTAACTTTAAATAATAGTATTCAAATTAAATAATATGTTGGCTTTTTCAAAATTAACAAAAATGTAAATCAATACATCAATCCTTCTTCTAAAAGCCAATTATATGCATGTAAATAGAGAAACTTTCCTCCGGCTATTTTGACGCGTGTATGGTGTGTGAGTGAGTGGCGTAGTTGTCACAATGAGCGAGAAAGGTTGACATGGAGCAGCTAAATATTGAACCTCCGGGGAATCACCCGTTTTTAAAAAACTATGAAGAGATTAGAGTCTGCTGGCAAAAAGAGAACATGACGGAGCTCGTAATAAAACTGGAATCAACATTGGCTTGGCTTTTCGGAAATTGCAAGAACTGAGGGATTTGTAATGTTGTTAAAGCGCCGTGAAGATGGCGCTTATTATTCAATAGGTGACTCAAAGGTTTTTATTGAACAGATAAATTGCCATATCTTGCTCTCTAACGGAGTCCATTGTTAAGCATTATCTATTGTGAAGGGTAATTTCATTATGGTTGTTTTATCTGTGCTGGATTTTATTTTTTAAGGAAGAACCGTGTCTATTAATGGGCATAGTTAAAGTAACGTCTTTCAGATTCTTTCCATCTAAACTGGTTATATCTCTTAAAGGGATAGTTCACCCAAAAATGAAAAAAATCTGTCATCATTTGCTACCCATTGACTTCCATAGTGTTTTTTTCCTATATGGAAGTCGATGGCTACGGTCAACAGTCTGGTTTACCAACATTTTTCAAAATACCTTCTTTTGTGTTCAACAGAAGAAAGAAACTGATACAGATTTGGAATAACTTGAGGGTGAGTAAATGACAGATGACAGAAAAATTTTTTTTTGGGTGAACTATCCCTTTAAGCCTAGTAATGAATGTTTTATGAGCAATAGGGCCAAAAGTAACATGTGTACCTTTAACCATAACTTAATTTTACAATATTTTATGTGAAAGTGTACATATTGGCCTAAGGTACGATAATTCATACTTTTTACTTCTAAAAACAATATTTTATACTAAAATTACATATTTTGTCAATTATAATGTAATTTTACTGTATACGGTGAGGATAAGAGTACTGTTAAACATGTAACATGTTTTTATAGTAGCATTTTTACATTGTTTTTCTAGTCAAATGTACATATTTTACAGTGTAGCTGTTCCTGTTTCTTAAAGGGACTATATATAACTTTTTCCCCAAAATAAACGTAACAATAGCCTTTTTATTTTACCATTTATGACTCAAACATCTCCTGTTGAGCATACTGACATTTTGTCCGCTCACAGTGGGTGCACCTATAAGCCTGTATCCTATTTTTCCTATTTTCTGTCGGGTCGGATTTTTCCCGCGCTGTCGGCGGATGTGACGTCAAGCGCGTTCATGTTAAACGTTTCAGATCACTCTGCCACCACTGCTTGTCAGCACTTATCTCAAACAATATATGTATTTGACTGTTCTTACCTCTGTAAACATAATGTTGACCTCCTTGCAGCAGATGACTTGTGAACTGTGCACGTAAGAGAGCGAGCAGAAAGAAAGAGCAGTTCTGTTTTTTGGCCACAGGTGTCAGTCGTGAGTTTAAATTTCAGAAAAACGCATATAGCCTCTTTAAGCTTAGTTTTAGGGGTAAGCCATGTGAGTTGACTAAGGGGAAAGGAATTGAGGGCCCCCTTGTTTTGCATTTTGAAAGATAGTCTGGCTATCAGAGAGGCCGAATAATGAGCTATGCTTGAAGTGATATAGTGGGGGTGGGGGAACCTTTTTTTTATTTTGGTCTCATGTTGAGGAAACCACACCACACACATCTTCACAACAGTAAGGCAGAGATCAGATAATGTGAAACCCCAAAAAAAAACTTCCCTTAGCAGTCCACTCCACACCTCACTTGAAACTCTCACTGTAGTGTTAACATGGCCTGACTCTTTAACATGCCCTGAGCAAAACAAGCCTCTTACGCCTCTGCAAGTTAAAAAGCTCTGGTTGGCTTCCAAGGCAAATCTATTAGAGCAGGGTTTTTATCAGCACCTCAGCAGTTTTGATCGCTGTTTCGTAATTGCTAGTTTTTGCATAACTTTGTTTCTGGTGTTCGTCGGTGAATAGGAAACAAAAATGAAAAATATCAGACACTGTTTATGTTTGGCAACACAGAAGAACATGTTTATTTAAACAGTTTGGGTAAATCAAAGTGGCTGTAATTGCTTCCAGTGTTGACGTTTGCAGTTGTTGTTGTTTTTTAAGGTTGGCTGTAACCAACGTTGACATGATAGTGACATGCGCCACAATATTCAGATGATCAGTAAGATATGTTTCGGAGGTTGCAAAATTATTATTATTATATATTTGTAATTATTATTATACATTTTAATATACATTATATATTTAATTTTTATTTTATATTTCAAGATAACTGTACATAAACCATGGCAGAAAGTTTTCATATTTTTGCATTAAAAAAATATATAGATATAATTTAAATAACTTTTCTGAGGCTCTGTTTTGCTCATATTATATTATATAATTTATATTATATTATATTATGAATTGCTTTGAATTTTGCATTAAAAGCAGCTTGTGTTGGGGTAAAGGCTCAATGTTCTCAAAACTCATAAGACTCATTAACAAAGACCGCAATGCATTGTTAGCATTTAGTAACTAACATTTGCTTGCTGTATGGTTCTCTTCCAAACCCAGAGCGTACCTCAAGGCTCACACAGAAAGTTTGGACAGGAGTCCTGTGAAAAGGGGGTCCCTTTTGCTGAGTAAAGGGCACATTTCAATGAGCAATCAAATCTGAATAGTTTGGCAGACATTGAGGAGCCTCTTGTTTCAGTAATGTGAGAATCCCATTGGCTCTGGTGTTTAACATATTGGTATGCAAATGAATTAGTGCAATAAGGGTGTTTCCCTTGATGCAGAAGAATAACTAGTCTTTTAACTAGCTTTTCGTAGTTGTATTTTATCTGTTCTTTGACCATGCAAAGCCAGATTAGGCAGCAGTGTTGAGCCATGGTAACCTGACAGTCATGAGAAACTTTGTTATCTTAAAAAAAAAAAAAAAAAAAAATTAATCACACAACACAGGCTGCCCATGTACCATGCCCAGACCAAATATTACTTTGGCTTATTTGAATCCACTTGTATGGAAACTAATATGTCTTTCTTACAGCTGTTGTAATTTTGTAGTCTTGATTAGTGTTCTGAATGAACTGCTTGTTTCTCAGCTTAAGCGAATGAGAACGTTCTGGATTCATCAGCCCTGGATTGGCTACTTAAAGCTCCCTTGCGTTGCTTTTGAGATTAGTTCACTTTGAGTAATGAACGGTGGGGGAGACTCACTTTGCTGACTAGGTAGATTTGGCTGCTCTGGCCAGAGATGTAATTCTGTTTGGTCTGTAGTGAGACAGCTGTCTGGCAGGGAGAGACGGTTCTTCTGAATCAGCTGAACGTCAGCTGATCTCACATCCCCCACTCCATTACCAGCGTCTCCCTGCTCCGCCGGACACGGATCCCTAACAGATGAGGAAAGTCCTGGACATCCTGTTTCTCATAGGATCAAATTTCCGCTTTGCTCTGCAGTCACATTGGCTGTCGTTTCTGGGATAGCTTTGTTTTTTTTTTTAAGTAAAGCTGTTTGTTAAGGACTTCAAGTAGGCTATTTAAGTACCATGCATCAAGTCCAGAGCTTTAGACTGGGAATTGTGGGAGTAGCTGTTTGACACTCATCAATCTAAAGATGGATTTGCTGCATTGATGTGATTGGTCCTACGCAGTCAGCGGTGCTTTATTTATGTAGTTGTTCAGCTTGGATGTGGTGGAGAGTGTGAGGGAGGTTCAGACACATTTTTGCAGTCACAGGAGGCAACAGTTGTGACCTTTCTTCAACTTCCTCGATGTATTTTGGAGTGCTCTCAAATGTGTTTTTGAAGAGTAAATAGACTGACAACGTTCCTTCCTTTCTTCCTTTTAGGTCAGTTCATTACGATTGAACATAAAAACATGATTTTGAAAAAAAAAAAAAAACAGTGGCGAAATTATTCTTCCTTTTTACCACTGCCTCAAAGAATGAGTTTCCTCAGTGGAGTTTAGGATTGGATCACACAATAATTCTGTCATTGTTTACTCACCCTCACCCTCAAAACTCATGCGACTTAGTTATTCAATTATAAAGTTATAAAGAAATGAAATGCAATTACAATAAATGTTTACTGTAGCTTGAAAAATGATCCAGAAAAACTTAAAAGTAGTTCATATGTCTTCTGTGCTATATTTTAAGTCTGGTGGGTTTATGTGAGAAAGTGACTAAACTTTAAGTTGTTATTCACTGCAAATCTTGCAAAACTCCATTTGGCATGTTTATTAACATAATCTGATTTGTGAAGGAATCATTCAGACCACGTTGTAAAGTAAATCTGCCAATTCACTGAATTTCATCCATGAATCAGATCGTGACATAATGGAAAAATATCTCAAAATGTTGATGTTCTTGTGTTTTTTAGGGGCTTTGGCAGCAGTGGGTTTTCGCAGTGGAATGAAACATGAGCAGAGGCGCCTACAGCTGTACAGACAGGAAGTGAAGCTGCCTCATCTCCGACTCACTTCCTTCACTGTATTGAACATTAACAAACAGTTTGACTCCTTTTAGTGTGTTTCACCATGAAGCCTTGTGCTTTAGTTTTAAAAACTCATGACAGGATGGACAGATAGAACAAGGCCATAATGGACGATCCTGGATTGAAGATCCTGTCATTTTCCACCTCAGAGGCCTTTTTTTTTTTGTAAAGCAACTCATCATACACCATAAAAGCCCCAATCCATTTGGCAGGAACAAGCCAAGCCAGAAGTGAATGCATGTTACAGCAGTGGTACCTTTAAATCTTTTCCTCTGGAAAATCCACCCCAAGGTTTAGTTTGTCTTAGCCATGATGTTGAGAAGAAAACTGTACTTAGGTGCTTTGCTAGGTGCTATTTTGTTTTTAATGATAGCTGCTCACACCATTCAGAAGGCCGGCATTGTGCCCGTCACAGTTTTACCCTCTCACCACAATGTCAGGATACCAACCATGAACCAGACACAGTTACACCCTATCACAGAGCCAAGACGAGGTCATTCGTGTAGCTGTACATCCTGTATAGCAGACACGGGTGTGTCAAAGTGGTTTGACCAACACTATGATCATAAACAGAGACCTTACCTCACCGGCAGACACGATGACATAGATCTGCCCTCTCTGAAGTGGTGGCTGGTAAGAAGCAGATTATTTTGATTTTGATGGTTTAAAAAGGCCATATTATGCTCTTTTATAAAGTCTTGATTTTGTTTACTACTACAAAAGTACACTTTATTTTAAAAACACATATTTTACATTATTGCAGCACCTCTCTTTCCAGTCTGTCAGTAACACTCTGGGGTGTGTTTCCCATACAATGGCGTAACTCGCTGCTTAACTATCATAGAACGATGCATCGTTTAAGAAATCAAATAGAAAGTCACGACTGTTTCCTGAAACCAATGTCGCAAATTTGTCGTTCAACCATGTTGGTTAATGATGTCATGCAGGTAGAGTAATAACTTCTTTTAATCTTTGGGATCGAATTAATGCCAGATTTTTTGCTATAAATTGCAGACATGGCATCTGAGGACTAATTCTAATTTTTCTCAGTTATTTTGCTTTATTTCCAGATTCAATCATAGGCTCTTTCTTTCGTGCTAGAACACTTTCGCACATGCACACTCTTCAAAAATGGTGCTTTAAATCTCTTGACAAACTAAAAGACGTGAATGAAATTTGTATATATTCTAAATGAAAGATATGATTGTACTGAATGCCAGCTTGCTTATTTTGCTCAAGATAAGGATTGAAGTCCACATGTCAAGCAAACAAGAAACTGTGCTTCTAACCATAGGTCGAGATCTGTCGTTTTAACCACACAACTTTGCAATGCGGTTTACTATGGTTTCAGGAAACAGACTCGTTGAACCGTGCTGATAATGACAGAACTTGCGACTAGTTAGCTAACAATCCTTTTGTGAAACTCACCTTTGTTTAGTTCTGGGCTGCGTTCAGCCCCGACAAAAAGTTGCAAAACGTTTTTTAAACGAAAACGGTGGTGCGTTGAACACCCTGTTCTGATGACGCAAGAGTTGCAACTATGGCAGCTGAGAAGGCTATTCTTTGTGTTCTTTTTGAAGAATTTTCGGAGCCCCATGAAATCAGTATAAATACGTGTTTAATACTGAAAAATACGCTCAATGTTACAGTCACTGCCCTTGCAGTCCAGATTAAAAGAGAACATCCCAATCGAGTGAAGGGATTTGTAAGAAATGTGGTTCCTAATTATTGTAATCCAACATTTGCCTCGCATTTCAGGATGAAAAGACAAACATGTCTTCTAATATCTTCAATTGTTGCGTATACCGAGCTGCAGCGAACACATTTCCCTTTGTGCGAGCTGACTCTTTAATATCGCGTGGTTTATATACAGTACATGTTGCTGCTGATTGGGCTGACATTTTTGACACACTCACCAAACAAGAGAAAACGTATCTCAAACCCCGTTGCACACTGTGACTGTTTCCAGAAAACATGTCGTTCAACCCGGAAACCGTAGCGAAACGTTGCGCACTGGTTTGAGCTTGAACGTGCCCCTGGTCTCTAAAGTCCCTTCTTCCGAAAAGCTCAATGTGCTGTGATTGGTCAGCTGCTTTGAGCATGTTTAGGAAATGTCACGCCTCTTACCATAACCGCGAGTTTCAGGGACTTCAGAAACAGTGCTCCCTGGTATAGAGAATAAGGATGTGTTGCACTTGGCATGTTTGGTTTGATTAAACGAGCCCTGGTGCGATTACTCTGTTAGTGCAGGTCATTTGAATAAGGGTGTATTCACACCTGCCTTGTTTGGTTCGATTGAATCGAACTCTAGTTCGTTTCCCCCCTTGGTGCGGACCTTTTGGGCAGGTGTGAATACAGCAATCGAACTCGGGTGCGGACCAAACAACCGAACCGAGACCCAGCTGAAGAGGTGGTCTCGGTACGGTTCCAAACGAACTCTGGTACGGTTCGTTTACGGTGTGAACATGAACCGACCCAATTGCAAGAAAGCACTGCGCCTTTGAGTTAAAAGGCTTCCGTAGTCGGAGATTTTGGCATAATGGTTTGTGTTATTGTTGTTCAAGTGCGAAAGAGAATTCCATTCCGGCGCGCTGTCTGGCCACACGATACTGTTGCGCGTCTTTCTGCGTGCCGTGTGTGCGTCATTGGAATGGAATGAATGAATGAGTGTGTGCATCAGGACATTCACATACAGCGCGTTCTCTTTAGTCTAATCGCGCATAGATGCAAAAAAAAGCTTTTGCAGTTCATATAATGTAACGATAGTTACAATACAAGGATGACGCTGCATTAAACTGAACAAATTCAAATCGCAAGCGTTAACATTGACAGCACTTTTTAGCAGTAGCCTATATACAATAAGAATCTCGTTATTTGAATGTGTGAACATAGCCCCTCTCTATGAATCAAAACTTTATACCTTATCCATCTTCTGCGCAGTTTCTTCATATTGCGTTTGTACAGAATAACACAAAATTAGTAAAATAACAAATATTGCAGTACGAAATATCTCCATGCTGAACCTTTTTGCACTTCCTGATTTCCCTACTTGAGAATCCTTGTCCAATGAATGGACGACCTTAGCACACGTGTGGTTTTGTTGACAAATTTTGGTTCACTTGCAAAAAGAGCAGTGTGAAAGCGAACCGTACCAAAAAAAAAAAAAAAAAATTATTTGGTCCGGACCAAAGCAAGTGAACTATCGGACTTTCCTGGTGTGAATACACCCTAAGTGTAAACGCTGCAATCCGAACCCTGGTGCGCACCAAACAAGCGGACAGAAACCGCTGAAGAGATTAGTCTCGGTCCGCTTCCAAATTAAGGGTGTATTCACACCAGGAAAGTCCGATAGTTCACTTGCTTTGGTCCGGATCAAATAATTTTTTTTTTTTTTTTTTTTTGGTTCGGTTCGCTTTCACACTGCTCTTTTTGCAAGTGAACCAAAATTTGTAAACAAAACCACCCGTGTGCTAAGGTCGTCCATTCATTGGACAAGGATTCTCAAGTAGGGAAATCAGGAAGTGCAAAAAAGGCTTAACGTAAATTAACGCAGCATCATCCTTGTATTGTAACTATCGTTACATTATATGAACTGCAAATGTTTTTTTTTTTGCATCTATGCGCGATTAGACTAAAGAGAACGCTCTGTATGTGAATCTCCTGATGCACACACTCATTCATTCATTCCATTCCAATGATGCACACACGACGCGCAGAAAGACGCGCAACAGATGTAATGTAGTAGGCTACAACAGATCACTTTCCCATAACGCAACTCCGACTATGGAAGCCTGTTAACTCAAAGGCGCAGTGCTTTCTTGCAATTGGGTCGGTTCATGTTCACACCGTAAACGAACCGTACCAGAGTTCGTTTGGAACCGTACCGAGACCACCTCTTCAGCTGGGTCTGGGTTCGGTTGTTTGGTCCGCACCCGAGTTCGATTGCTGTATTCACACCTGCCCAAAAGGTCCACACCAAGGGGGGAAACGAACTAGAGTTCGATTTAGGGCTGTGTTGAAAAAATCGATTCACCAATTCTGAATCGATTTTCATATTAATTTCTAAAGATCGATCCGTAACTCAGAGGATCGATTTAATAATAGGCTTACATTTTCCCCGTGAACTTGCCGCGATTGGGAGATCCCTATGCGCATTGAAAGGCTTTCACTCAGCGCGCACATTGTTACAACAACGGGCTTTGAGTGAGTCATTCGTTCATTCAACAAACACGTTCAAAAAAGCTGATTCATTAAAAGAGATGTAATGAAACAAGGTGTTAATTATTTTTAACTTTGAGTTCCACTTTTCAAGGCTCAGCTGAGCAGCAATGCGTCGCATGGGTAACGCTGAAGCTGATGCTTCACTTATTAGAGACCAATATGGCATTGATTCAATGCGTGACTCGCTGATTTTATTTCCCCGCGGCTTCCTCGCGCTGTGGAATGCTGACCAGCGCTGCTGCTGACGCGCATTTATGGTAAATACCCGTGACGTGAACGTTAAAAGGATGATAGCCTACGACAAATATTTCGCTTTCCTTTGACACGGCAACCTTTTTCAAGAATACATATGACTTCAAAGACAGACGCAGGTAATCCGCACGCGCTCTGCCGATCTCTCTCATTCACTGTCTGTGCGAAGCCTCTGTAGGCTACACATCACCACGATAAACAGTCTTGTTTGTTATCATTATGAACTTGTTTAACATTCAATACACATGCATGAAGTTCAAAACAAGCAGTTAAATGTCTATAATAGCCTAATAGTATCAATATGTTGCATAACTACAGTCCTGTAATTCAGGTAACAGCTGGAAAAAACAAAAACACTTATCTAAATCTCGAAAATCGGATCAGATCGGATCGGATCGAATCGAATAATGATAATCGATTCAAGATCTTGAGAATCGGAATCGAATCGATTCTTGAAATTTGAATCGAAACCCAGCTCTAGTTCGATTTAATCGAACCAAACAAGGCAGGTGTGAATACACCCTAACTCTGGTGCTTTTTGAATGAAACATGAACGCAACATGGACCAAAGACATGTAAACAAACTAAAAACGGGACACGATGTCACAAGATACGACCCTAAAAAAGAACAGAATGCTCAAGCCGCTGCCGCTGGTCAAAATTCCATCATATATAGGCTACGCACATACAACGAGCATATTTATCTCGGCACACAGCATTGTTTTGGATGTTCGGTAAGTTACGTTGCTAAATATACATAATAAAAGCCGACCAATCAGGTTGTGATCATACCCCTATGCCTTTAAGGTTCGCCATCTTTAGGTTCGGTATTAAAATGACAATGGCCTCGTTTACACTGCAGGTCTTGATGCCCAATTCTGATTTGTTGCCTATATCCGATTTTTTTTACCGTCCGTTTACACGTTCTTTAAATTGTGACCCATATCCGAGTCATGTGTTTACACTTGACTGAAACATCACGCATGTTTAAAGGGGTCTTCTTGCTCAGATGGACGAACGTGCAGTGAGATCTCAGGACAGGTGGGAACATACAACACGATCTCATAAAAGTGAGTATATAGCACAAATTTTATTTCTCATGCCATTTATACGCCAAAAATAGTTTTTGCTTGCATTTGATACGCACTGTAAACGTGCGTATTAAACGCCATAAAGTGCGTATCATGCACGCAAAAACTATTTTTGGCGTAAATGCCACGTGAAAAAAAAATCGTGCAATAAACGCACTTTCATGAGATCGTGGCGGGCTTTAACGAGGAGCAGTGGGTCCGAAATTTTAGGATGAGCAAGCCAACCTTTGATATGTTGTGTCAACGTGTGTCCACATTCCTCTCCTACAACGACACAATGTTTCATCGGGCCATCCGTCCATCCGCAGATGCGCGTCGGGGTTTCTCTCGTCATTAAACCGCGGAGACGCAGCCTAATGCCTCGGAAAATCCGATCTGCCCGTTTACATGACAGTCGCATTGGCACATATCCGATTTACATCTGATTTATTTCCACATATGAACGAGGCCTGAAACCGATCTCGAAATATCCGAATGCATGCGTTTTTTTCCTGTTTACACTGTCATAGAACACATCCGATCTGTGTCGCATACGAGTAAAAAATCGGAATTGGGTCACATTTCACTGACAGTGTAAACGAGGCCAATGTGAACGTTAAGTGGACCAGGACTAATATTTGTTTTTGGTCCGGACCAAACGAACCATGTGAACCGAACTACAAGTGTGAACACACCCTAAGTCCTTTTGATGCGCCACTTTGCAGACCGTTACATGCACAAACAGCAACATTACACACTAAAGAAAGTAAAAAAAAGAAAGAAAGCATAATAGGTCCTCTTTAAGTTCTGCATCTATTAAGTGCATATATTATATTAATCTGCATATTATATTAATCAATCATTTTTATATTTTAAGTGAATTAATTACATGATATTCTGATTAATTAACTAAATAATTCACATAATTCAAAGACATTTTTATAATCCAATACATAAAAAGATTTAAAGGGGTGGTTGATTATGATTCACTTTTCTAACTTTAGTTAGTGTGTAATGTTGCTGTTTGAGCATAAACAACATCTGCAAAGTTACAACGCTCAAAGCAAAGTAATAGTTTTGCTTTTAGAGAACTTGTTTTTTAAGGACTACAACAAACGGCTGATAGGGACTACATGACATTCCGTTAGTGGTTAGTGACATCACTAACCCTAAAATTTACATAAACCCTGCCCCCAGGTCCATGAGAAGAGTTATTGTAGTAGAGCACATTTGTGAGTCTGCTCAAGCTGTCGCATCCGTCTTTTCACATGCAATACAGTACGTAACACAAATGCAATATCATGTCACTCTGTAGGCATCTTACAACAGTTCCGACACGAGCGATTTTATAGATTATCATGACAGAATATGCTAATTGAAGATCGTTAACTCCATATCAGCAACATAAATTCATCAACTAACCATTCAGAAATGTCCTGTTGCATTCTGCATGTTGTCACTTCTTCATGAGTCTTTCCATCATTGTCAGACTCCAGTTTAAACATAAAAGCCAGAACAGTTTCTGACATTTTAGTGCTTGTCTGCGTAAGGTAGTCGGAGCTGCTAACTCACACACACAAACACACACACACACACAAGCTCTTGAAACTCCGCTCTCTGTACCGGGAGAAGCAGCTCATTAACATTTAAAGGGACACACACAAAATGACGTGTTTTTACTGACCCTCAAAAACGGACAATTTTAACATGCTGTAAAAAATGATCTGTGGGGGATTTTGAGCTAAAATTTCACATACACACTAGGGCTGCAACGATTAGTCGACGTTGTCGACAACGTCGACAATAAAAATTTGTCGACAAATATCTTTGTTGTCGAGTAGTCGTTTGATCTCACGTGACCCAATGCAAGGGCCTGCAATCCCGCGATTTGACCGCTACGGCGCTGTAGCGCTAGAGTGTAGTGCAGCCCTTACAAATGCTATTGCGGTAGAAGAGAAAACAGCGCGAATTATGACAGTGCAAACGAATCCGAACTAGCAAGGTTTAGGTTTGGGAAAGTTTCACAAAACTTCAAATCAAGAATGCTGTCGTGTGCAATTTTCACGGGAGCACAACATGCATGTTGGAGTGCAAGAGGAAACATCCCGGCAAAAGAGGAGCCGGTGAGAAGTGAGTGTTCTCCAGCTGGAGCTTACTAACCAGCGGTAAATCTCTCTTTATTAGAGAATGTAATACTACTAATAATAGTAATAATATTATCAATAGTAATATAATTACAGTAATGTGATGACTTATTTTGTATAGAATAATGCTTGATTGAGCTTAGGAGTCAGGGCTGTTTTTATTATTGTAACACTATTAGTATATTAGGTATTATTATAGTCTTATCATCACTTGCCTGTATTTTGTTCAATAATCATGAAGACTTACAAAACGAGATGTTATATCCTTCCTATGACATAGGAATAATATCATGGCAGTTACTTTATCATACTATAAATTAAAAGGTGAATGAGAACGTCTCTGTCAGCTCAATTGTCATGTAAAAAAAGATTGTAATTTTATAATTATAAAAATTGTTTGCAGATTAATATTTTACCATTCTTTGTGTCCTGAAGTAAATGTCCCTTTTTCTGTTTCAGTTCTAAGAAAAGCAGTGGGCCTATTAAACAATGCTTAGAGAGCATTTGTGTGTGATTTGAGTTGGACCGAAATCTGAAAACTTAAAGAGAATGACCTGTTTAGTTGGCTCAAAGTTCATTAAAACAACTATTTCAAAAGCTGAAGTGATTTTCTTTTTTTATATTATAGTTAGAATATGTATAACTCAATGTTTTAACTAATTGGAAAAGCTGAATAATCGTTCCAAACTTACTGATTAGTCTGCGAAATAATCGACGATTAGTCGATTAATCGTTCTAATAATCGTTAGATTAATCGATTATCAAAATAATCGTTTGTTGCAGCCCTAATACACACTCTGGGGACAACAGAGACTTATTTTACATATTGTAAAAAGGAGCATTATACCACCCCTTTAATAACTGAGACATACAGTAAACTGAACAAGTTTCACAGACATTTGATGAACTAAAATGGCATAATGAGTCCCAGAACAAAGAGGGAGTCAATATCAAAAGTAGCTGTCAGCATCTGGTGTGGCCACCAGCTAATTTAAGTTCTACAGGACTTCTCGTTCTCATGGACTGTACCAGATTTGCCTGTTCTTGCTGTGAGATGTTATTCCACTTTTCCACCAAGGCACTTGCAAGTTCTCGAACACATATTAGAGACACATATGGTTACAGGTGGTTTGGCACTGCAAGGACGATCAGCTGTCTTTCCTGTTTCCCTGTAACAGTCTTAAGCCCAATTTATACTTCTACATCGAACTCACGTGTGTAGCACGTGTACTCATCGGCGTACCCTGACGTGCACCTCTCCAAAAATGTAACAACTTGTCAATTCTACGCGAACCGCAAGCGCTGTAATTGGTCTGCTAGAACCCTTACCTCGGGTTTCACATGCTCCCTCTGCATGTGTGGAGTCAACGCGGACAACGACGCAGAAGTATAAATGAAAACCAACGCATAGCCTACAGCGTAGAGGCTCCGGTGTAGGTCTGAAGCCTTTAGGTGTCTTACATTGCAGTTTATTGCTCTGTCCACATCTGCAGGCCTCATGACTTCCTGCAGGTGGACTAAAGCATGTTCACGCAAGAGATCAGGGACCCTGGGCATCTATCTTGTGTTGTTTTTTCAGTGTCAGTAAAAAGGTCCCAAGTTATTGGAAACGTGACTTTGTCTACCGCCTGTAAACTGTTAGTGTCTTAAGGACTGTTCCACAGGTGCACATGCAATCATTTTGTTTTTTGTAGCTTTGGTTGCATCAGTTTAGACAGTCGTTTCAAATGGAAACCCAAGTCTGGGTTTTCCCCGGGTATTGGGCTACTTTTACACTGTTGCTGCGAGTAGTTTTTCAAGTCCACTGGTTAAAGTGACCCAACACCACAACTTCCAACTAATGATTGGATTAGTTTTTTTTGTTTTGATTGGGATAGTTTTTATGATAAATTGGACGGGTATTGTTGTGCAGACCTGGCAACTCTGCCAGATTGGGCTCCAGCTGCGGCACCCTGTTGGGGGTGAAGGGAGACCAGATGATTAGATAAATATGTGATCATTTCATCAAAAAACTCAACTCTCAATATGTAGATTTAGCTCAAAAGGACTTGTTTTTTCAATTTCTGCAATGAGTGGGACAGTTAATGTTGGATTTGTTCCTTGATTCATTTGCTAGTCTCTAGACAGCCATCGGCCTTTCTAAGATAGAGACAGAATAGCTCTTGCGATTCTCAGGCATGCCTCTGAAGTCATAGCTGTAGATATCATTTTCATTTCCCTTTTCTGGCACACGGACACGTCAGGGAAAGACAACAGCTGGTGTGTTCATTCCAGACCATCTCAAGTTCACTTACTACCAGCCTATCTGTTTGCCAAACATCATTTAAGTGATGGCTGTGGATCCCAGAGTCATTATCTGGTTTCCTTAAACAAAAAAGTAATTTCCCCTTGGGAACAAGGGCACAAATAGGCCCTTCGGCCCAGCCATGTGTTTCAGTAAGGTTTAATTTAGCCTAATTAAAGGCTTTCAGACCTTTGCAGGCAATGGCACTAAGAGTGCACTCAGATTAGCCTGAAATTGGTTTGCTTTAGTGTCTTGGGTTTCCATGGCACATCGCAGCATTTTTAATAATGCATTAAGAAAATATACAATAACACCAAAGACCATTGCTGGGATAGTCATCTTTTCTTTTAACATTAAAGATGTAGAGATTAGTTGTGAAAAAAAAAAAATTATTTAAATTTTGAGGTTCCGCTCTATAATTTTTATTAATGATATTGCTTTGCAGTCTTTGCAGTCATCTGATGGAACGATCGAGGATGTCACCCAGAAGATGTTTAAGATAATTTCCCCTCCACCTAAAGACAAAATTCCACGGCAAAACCAGTGCCGGAAATGTGCAGTTGTTGGAAACTCAGGCAATCTGTCGAAGTCCAAAAACGGAGCCTTGATAGATTCCCATTCAGCTGTTATTAGGTGTGTTTTCTGCTCTTTATGTGTCTAGTCTAAATACAACATTTGAAGAGGATCAAAAAAGTTCATCAAATCTGTCCTAAGACAAGAATGGGTATTTGTCAAAATTCATGTATAATTTTAATGAAAGGTTTTGATCCACTTCTAATTTTGACTAATGTAGTTCACCCGAAAATTAAAATTCATCAATACAACACAAAAAAGATATTTTGAAAACATTGTTTTTGTCCATACTAAATTTTTATGGGCCCAAAAATTTGTACCTCCTTAATGTTCATTGTAAAGACAAAACATCATTGAGAATTTTCAAAAGATTCTCTTTAAAAATCCTTTCACATTTCAACCACATTAAGGAATTAAAATGTGAATGCTGGTTCATGTTGACTGTAAAAGTGTCTAAGAGAGAAACCTGAAAATACTATTTTAAAAATGGATTATTATTGTAGCCAATATTTTTTTATTTTTTTATTTTTACTAATGCATTTCCACTCAAACGTTCCACAGAATGAATAAGGCCGTAACTGTGGGTTATGAAGAGGATGTTGGTAATCGAACCACCCACCACTTCCTGTACCCAGAGAGTGCGATCGATCTGAGACCTGGTGTCCATCTCGTCCTTCTTCCTTTCAAATTGAAAGACATGCAGTGGTTGTCCAGCGCCCTTTCCACAGGAGAGATCAAAATGTACTTCAAAATATTTCTGAAAATTGTGCAACATAGCTTTTAATTGAACTAAAATTACTCTAAAAATGACTATAAATTGTTTGTATATCCTGAACAGGACGTACATGAGAGTGAAAAATCGTGTAGAAGCTGACAAAGACAAGGTGAGTGTAAATCATGCTAAAGCATGTAAATCCATAAACACATCCATCTGTTAAGCCTAACTTTACCGTCTGTGTGTGCTGACCAGGTGATGGTTGTGAATCCAGCCTTCTTTAAGTACACACATGAAAACTGGACAGAGCGTCATGGAAGGTATCCGTCCACTGGGATAGTAGCCATTATATTTGCTTTGCATCTTTGTGATGAGGTTTGTATTTCTATTTACAGCTAAGATAATCATTTCTGCATCACTAGATGATTTCAATCATGATGTTCAATCTCAACAGGTGTCAGTGTTTGGATATGGGGCAGACAAGCAAGGAAACTGGCACCACTATTGGGAGAACAACAGATACGCAGGTGCCTTTCGAAAGACTGGGGTCCACAACGCGGATTTCGAGACTAAGATCATTCATAGGCTCAGCGCAGAGGGCAAAATCAAACTGTACAGATGAGCCTGTAATTATGGCCTTTATTGACTCAGTAATGCTCAGTGCCATGTAAATGCCAGGCCAGGACTTGCACTGCAGCCGTATGGAAGCCAAAGAGACGCAGATCTGTGATCCACCCTACCATTAATTGACCACTGTGAACTGCACTGAACCAAACCCACAGACATCAAGCTGTAGTCCTAAGACCTAATTAACTCCTCCTGTTCTCTAACAGCATTTTACTCGCTACGTGCCTGAAGAAAAAGACTGATGTTGCCTTCCTCCCCAGTCAGGCATTGAAACGTTGAAGAAGAAGAACAGTAAGCAAATTGGCTTGATCTAAGCCTCCTTATATACTTCTTTCTTATTCAAGCTGACTAGCCTCACACAGTGTCTGCACTGCAAATGTGCAATTTGTGACAACTAGATGGGTTTCGCGTATAATCGACAAAGCTGTCTAAACTGCAAGAAAGATGTTGATCATCAGCTCCATTCACTTGCAGATGTTATAAAAAGCCAGTTTTCAGTGCCTTAAAGTCAACATGAAGCAGCATTCGCAACCCACTTTTCCTAACAAAATATCCAATGAAGAAATAAAGGGCGGGTTTGATTTAGGGATGTTCCGATACCACTTTTTCACTTCCGATACCGATGCCGCAGCTTTGGCTATTTGCCGATACCGATATCAATCCGATATTTTTCTTTTATTCTATTCTATTTTATTCTTGAACTAATACTAATAAAATATATGGAAGCACTTTGCTCAATTAGCAACTTAAAAACATCTCGCTCAAATGGAGAACAAATACTTCTTGAATATGGTCGACAGTTGATTAACAGTGATTAACAGTAACAGTTGATTATGAAAGACTGCCAGTGCCACCCTTTATTCAAACACTACAAAAACAATACAGGTAGGCTACTTAAAGGGTAACTAAACACTAAACCAACTTTTTTTAATTAATGATCTGTAAGACTGGGGCTTTATTAGTGCTGTTCATTCGTTCGAGTAACTTTTTTGACATTTGGGTATAAAGTGTTTTAATTCTACAATATATGGTGTAAAAACGTCTGAGTGCTGCCCTCTTCAGGTTGAACGGTGGCTACTGCAGTTGAATTTTCCTATTGGATGTTTGCGGTAGTTCGTGATGGTAGCGGTGAGAGCTGACGTAAGCAGGTTTCAGCTTACCACGCCCTTGGTACGAGCTACCACGTCCATGGCAGTATAAAAACCATCGTCAAAACCACTGTAGCGAGTCAGGAGTTGGATTTGCGAGTATTGAAAACGATCAGGATAGAGTATCCGTTCATCCCCTCTATCTCCGCTGGGCTCCGCCCACTTTTCCAGCATTTTTCAAATATTGCCAGTGGGTGGAGTCAGGCTCTGACCTGGGGATTAGGCACCCTTTAAAGCTACCAACAGGTTTAAAGTTAATCATTAACAAGCTTTAAAATTACCCATTGATCCGTGTACTTTTGCGCTCATTCGTTTTTCCTTTTTTAACCCGTAAAACGAAAAATTAAGTCGTATTTTTAAAATTCAAAGTTGAACACCGAAATTTGAATTTGGACCGCATGCACACCAAAGGCTGCGCAAAAAATAAATAAATATTGACGTAAGTTATATATAAATAAGTTATTTTCTGTATGACCAGAATGATAGTGTATAAGTTGTTTCCACTGTTGAAAGGAAAACGCAAGTGTTTGCGCCCGCGCTCCATGCCATGCACAAACCATTGCTTGGATATGCGTCAAAATCTTGTGTACAGTTTACAGCCTACGGTTTATAAACTGAGGAGACGGATTGCAAAATCGTGTTTATAGTACACCGAAGGTAGTGGGAGGGAGTGTCTGTTGTGAGTTTAGGGGGCAAGTCCGCTAGAGATGTGTGTGTTTGTGTGAGTGAGTGAATGAGACTACTGCCTGCTGAACAGAGGATCGCTGATAGAAGGATATGAAGTGCCGGTGTTTCGGCTACAAAAACCCGCCGAACTGACCCGAAACCAGACCAATTTTTATCAACCCGCCCAAACCCATTTTTGCCCGCAAAATAGACTGCAAAACCACCCAAATCTGCAGGCTGCACCGCTTAACTGGATGTCGCAGCAAGGGAAATGCTAATATTCAAGCATTGTTGGATAGGTATCGGATCATATTTTTTTCTCCCCTCCGATCTCCGATTTAGCGTTCTGGGCCAGTATCGGCACGATACCGATGCTGTGGATTGGATCGGGACACCCCTAGTTTGATTTGAACCATTGATAATTGATTGGATTGTGAAAAGTGGGTGTTAAAGGGGTCCTATTGTGCCCGTTTACGAAGTGTTGATTTTATTTTGGGGGTGTAGCCTACTAGAGTTTTCATGCTTGATTGTTCAAAAAACACATTATTTTTCACTTATTTTACATATTACAGCTTCTCTCTCCCCAGTCTGGTTGAACGTGTTGTTTTCGATGAAGCCCCTCCTTCCGAAATACGAAATGTGCTGTGATTGGTTAGCTGGCCTAGTGTGTTGTGATTGGCAGCGTTTAGCGCATGTTCGGGAAATGTCCCGCCCCTTCATAACCGCAAGCTCTACTCAGATGTAAATATTAACGATGGTGATCGATATTAACGATAACTTTTTCGTGCCCGATTCAGACCCTGACAATGTTAACAATCAAGAGGATTGTGCAGAACAGGTTTCAAGCACGGACTTAGCAAGCACGGATTTCACAGGACGTTTCAGAGTGGTATGTTTTTTGTGTCATTTTCTTATAGATACGATGTAATCCACCATTTAATCATATTTGTCGGAAATCTATGGTTTAAGGGGCGGTGAACAGTCTTACAAAAGCAAGAGCTTACAAAAGCTAAAGTAAACACTACATCAATACTGTAATGTTAAATAGCAGGCTAGCGGAGGCAAAGCTTTCCTTTCCTTTACATCATAGCTATCGTAGCACTTACAAATAATAAGACATACTTACAAGTTCTGATCAATACACAACAGATTGTCCCGACAAAATGGCAATGGCTATGTCTTTCAGGAGAAGCTTTTGTGCGTATAGCCTGCATTGTTCTCTCTTCTAGAAGCTGTTTTCTGTAAAACGACAAATGTTGAGGTTTATAATGTTCAGAAACAGTGTTAAAAATAAATTTTAACCTCTCTAAGTTCGTCAGCCTTAGGCAAACTTTTGCTGGGGTGTAAAAAACAGCTTCAACAACTCTTCCTCTTCTCTAAAGCAGCCCAACATGGCCTCACCCCCTTTGTTGCGTGTTCCCGGGGACAGGGTTTATGTAAATTTTAGGGTTTGTGAATTCACCAACCCAGGAAGAAGCTCGTTGTAGTCCCTACCAGCCATTTGTTGTAGTCCTTAAAAAGTGATTTCTGTAAAAGAAAATATATCCCTTTGCATTAAACTTTAAGCATCGTAACTTTACAGATGTTGTTTATGCTCAAACAGCAACATTACACACTAACCAAAGTTAAAAAAGTGAAATCATAATCAAGGACCCCTTTAAATATCAGATTGGACCATAATGACTGGTGGTTGGTTGGACAGTTTACTTATGTCAACTGAAAAGGAATAAGGTGGAGCAAGTTGTTGAATTTTAGTGAAAAATTATGGGGAAAAAATTCTTCATTCATTTGTTTATTTTTTCTTTGAAGTAATGCACATTGATAAATTGTGCAAAATAAGACCAGTATTAAAATAGTATGAAGGGATATTTCACTTTTATCTTTGCAACACAAAAGAAGATATTTTGGAGAACGTTGGGGTTCAAACAACATTAGACCCCATTAAAAAAAAAAAACTTTCTCAAAATATATTTTTTGTGTTCTGCAGTAGGGTTGTCAAATGTACCGGTATACTAAAAAAAAAGTTGACAGTACCAGCATGTCTGCAGTACCGATAGTAACGCGTATGGGGTATTTTCGGTACCCGCTGATAGATGCTGCTTTTAAACCCTCTTGTTCATGCTTTAAACTTTAACCTGCAGTGCATTAAAGCATTTTAGATTTAAGTTTGTGGATTATAAGGTTTCAGAAGATCGAATAAGCAATAAACACATTTTGGAAAACCAGAAATTATAGCGTATTAAGACATTCACAAATGTTATTTTAGATTTCACATCAGACAATTACAGATGCACTGACATTGTTCAAGTCACCACACATTTTCTGCATTGATATTTGAAGGACTCTTCTAATCTTAAAGTTTTCTTCTAATTTAACCATACTGCCAATGAAATCAACTAATTATACCCAAAACACATGCTGGAAGATGTATATCACACAGAGCTGTGAAAGTATTCTAGATTGTAGTTGAGAGTGTGGAGTTTCCTATGGGAGCGTTATTCGTGTTTAATAGCATTATATACCTTTAGACCAAAGCCGTCCCTAAAGTGATGCATCTGGTCTCAGTGGCCTTAAAATGACCCATACTCATACACGCATGCACTCATACAACAGTCTGTCTTGTGATTTACAGTTCTGGATATAGCAAATGCTGTACTTTCATACATGTTTGAATCATTATCTTTTCTTCCTGAAATACAATTGATCTCTGTATTTTTGTAGTTGAAATTACTGGTGGTAGATGTTCTGTGGTTGTTGTTTTTTTCCTTTTCTAGTTTGCATTGTGAACTTTAAGGACTGTGACGAGGTTGAAACTTGAGCTGTAATTTCGATGTTTGTTGCCAAGTATTACCACACGTGTGTTTGTTCTGTGGTTTTATGTTCTTGAATGTATTTTGGCTTTGCATTGCTTCATGTCAGTCAGTGGATATCAAAGTTTACAGAGTTTTCATGGAAAGGAGAGTCACAGAAAATCTGAAAATACACAGAAAATCTGAAAATACACAAACACTCAAATCAGGACATTGAAGATTTAGAGTTTGGACAAAATTCAGTTTTAATCTAATTAGAAACAAAACCAAAGCATAAACAATAAAAATTATTTGAATTCAAAAGTCACAGTTTAGGGCATCCAGTACAGTATTAAAAAAATATTTGATAATTTTGCATAAATAAAAATACAGAAAAACATACAAGCCTTTTTTTTCTTTTCTTTTTTTATGATACACGATACATAAATATCTCGCAACACCCTAGTTTTCCATTCAGGTTCTTTAACAAATAAAAAGCAAATGCTGAAACCACATTTTCAACTTGTACTGTAATACATGGCTGTGTGTATATACAAGATCCTCTGATCCAAGTAGTGAAATAGTTTAATTAAAATGGACTATTTATTCCACCTCCCTGCTGGAATAATTATCTAGGAGGAGTCTGAGCAGTACAGTCATGAAAAGCTGTGGCCAAATTACTTTTTATCGTTTTGTTTACATCTCATATATTCAAACAACATGTGACCGCAGATGCAATATTACCTGGGTGTGACATAATTTAAAAAAAATGTCTTCTGCCACAAGTAGTTCTCTACTCTAAAGCACTTTAAGAAGTTAGTACATGTTCAAAGACTGTTGAGCTGAATGTGATGGTTTGATCCCATTATAATGGCCAAATTGTGTGGTGTGTGTGCACATATTTGTAAGCTTCTGTGTTCATGGTGTTTTTTGTGTGAACCTGTGATTAATCTGTGGTCTGTTTTCAATAAACCATTTACTTAACCATTCTTTCAGTTATGATTTTATCTGAAGTTACAGAAACAATGGCATTTCACCCAAAATCAAAAGAAAATTCATTTTGGAGTAAAGACGTTTTAGGAACATTAAGGTTTTATTAAAACTATTTTTTTTATCCTGGGATATATATATTGAAATTATTTTTAAAGCACTTTTTATACCAAAAACATTTACTTCATTCATTTTATTATTGAAACTAGTAGTATTTTTGTGCCATTTATGTAACAAAATACTGTACAGTATTTAATAAAGAGAATAATGAATGATAATGATGATTCAAAATTAGAATGGAATTAAAAATAACTGAGAATTGTGTGCTAAATTATTGAGAAAATGTCACAATACAAATATTCTTGGTATATAGAAAAACTTTTTTCTTTTAAATGTAGGTGAAATATGACCTGAATGTGTTTTTGTGCTATTCATCCAAGCACATGGTTTTCATCATTCATTCATTTGTTCATTCTTTTCTTTTCTAAAATAATTATGTTGTTACCAAGTTACCCAGTGACAGAGAATTGTGCTTTAAAGCCGTTTTTTTTTGTCTCCATTTCTTAGCAATCTCGACATTACACTTCCTCAATACAATTCTGTGGCCTGACATAAATGATTACTCACATTCGAGTTCAGTCCAATGTAACAAATGACATGCGGTTCATGCTGTGTGTGCTTTTGGAGCAGTTTTAGGATGGTACATTTTACTCAACGAGCGTTCGGTTAGGATGGATCATGAGGCATGATTCTCATGTCTGAGGGACCTGAACAACCACAAACTATGAGAATTTTTGTCCACAGCACAACTCGTTCCACATATCCCATCTCTCCTGGCGCTGTGAGTGCTGCTTTGTTATGCTGATTCTTCATTACCGATGGTTCTGTGGGTAGACTTCAAGCCCCTCATTTCCCAGGGTGCTTTGGCAGTAAAGTCAACCGTGCTATGATTTCAGGTCCTGGCCGGCTTCATTCGGTGAGCATAGAGACAAACGATGCTGGAAATAAGCCTGTTCTGTCTGGCTGTCCCTCGATGTAGCCATGCTGAAAGGAAGAAATTACTGGCTCTGGTTAGAGTCCTCAAAAGGAAGGATAAGAAATTCAATTAAATGAAAGGGCGGCGCATAACAACATGTAATGAAGAAATAATGTCATAAACAAGGGCTGCGCTTCCTGACTGAATGAAAATGAAAAAAGCAATGCTTCGAACACAGAGGATGCGGGATGTTTAAAAAAAAAAAATACAATTCACGATCCATTTCACTTTCAAAGCTCTTTCCTGCATGCAAAGAGTCTCTCTATGAATCTATAAGAAATGTATTCTTTTGATGGGCCATCTAGAGGCTATTTTTCTGTAGAAGCATCTGCAGGATATTAGACAAGCCCTCTGGAGACATGGGCGGCTCTCTGACTCAGAATAAAACATGGACCCTGAGAGCTCTGCTCTGATCAGTTCCATCTGCTCCCATGGGATTGTGGGAGAGATCTGCACACACAGCATGACTGTAAAAGGCTAACAAGAACCCTACCGCTTCCTCGTCAAAACCATCTTTAACCGTAACAAGGCTTTCGAGCCATTTATCACAGCGATACTTCAAAGGGCCGAAAACAACTGAGAATTAAGTAAAAAAAAACGCAAAAACAGAATGTAAAACAAGAAAGCACAATAGAGCTGTTCATCTAGAAAGAATTTTTATGTCAAAGATTCCCTCAGGATTCTGCCATTGGTTTTTAAATAACGGTTTTGGATTTGCTGTGGTTACCTGAAGATACGAATGAAATGAAAATAACTGGAAAAAAATTCTTAAATAACTACTTAAGGCGAGACACTACAGGTGAATAGGGTAATTTTTTTAACTAGCAGATATCACCATGAAACTTTCCCAGTTGATTACCTACATTAAGATGAGAAAAAAATGTATTACAAGTTTTCTGTAATTTAATGTTTAAATATGCAAATTAGGCATTATCTACTTAAATATGTGCTAATTTACATATTTCAAAAAATGAAATCTGAGTATTGGATAAAGCCAGGTTCAAAATTCTTTTTTCATTGTGTTCACATATTAGATGGGAAAAAAAATACAGAGGGATTTATGGATATCTACTTTTGTTATCCTATAAATCAGAATATACTGTCAATAGCCTTAAAAAAAAGATTTTTGCCCTGTTTTTTGGAATAAAATGTTATATAAATCGGGCTAGGAATAATATATTTACAAATCCCTCTGTAAATGTCTTCACAATATAACTAGGTACAAGACTGGAAAGTTTGGTGTATATGGGTGCTACCGAAGTGGAGATTTCGGACTTTGAGTATGAGAGAACAGTCATTTTGAGAAAACGGGCTTTAAAGGCCATGGTGCAGGTTTTTTTTTTTTTTTTTTTTTGCCAGTTTTCTAGTTGGTAATAAACATTTAAACAGTTATCCATTGTATTTTATGTTGTAGGGGATTACAAAAAAGAAATATAATACGGAAAAGTCGGTGATGTGTTAGCATTTACCAATAGCCTAGCGAGGATTCTAATTTCTCCCACAATGCATTGCATGACGTCACATGAGGTACTCGCTGTTGGACAACAGACGAAAGCCCGCGAGTAACGTTAGTAGCTAACGGTAGCTAGTGAAAGAGTGACAGTGTCAGATAAGTAAATATATCGAGATAGATAGATAGATATCATAAGCATAACATAGATAGATAGTGAGAGATAGCATAGCATAACAGCTTAGAGATAGAGAAGAGTAAGCTAGATAATAAGTAGACAAAATGGTTTATTACTGTGTTTGTGGCGGGTGCAAAACTTTATCAAAACTGGACATAGGGTCCATTGTTTCCCCAAGGTCAAAGGGATCTTCCGAAACTGGGTGCAATTTGTCAAGATTAGGCGAGCAGATTTTTCAGCTAAATTAGCTCTGTCGCCGCCTACTCGAGAATATGCAGCGCGCATTTCAAAGAGGAGGATTAATTTACCACGCAGGGGATGCCAAGATGGTCTCACTTAGTTTAAAGAGTGAGAGGATGGCTAAGTTACTTCCTACCGCCGTGCCGTCTGTGAATGCAAACATCTCTGCTTGCCCTGTCCCGAGGTCGAGAGACACCGTCTGCCGCAAGCGAGATATTGCCACGGTAAGTTCATGCTAACGTTAGTGTTTACAAGCTGCGTGTTAGCAAGCTCTGTGTGTATTTTGTATAGCTACCGTGTTCCCTTTGACACAGCCTCCACTACAAGGACGATCACTCTGACATTAGAAGAGCATTTTTCGTGATTCACGAATTTGAGCCAAAACAAAATTGCCCTGAAGTAAAAGTCCATATCGTCATGAAAGCTTCATGGCTAGTGTTTGGATCAGTGGTGATGATCATTAAGCGGCTTTCGCAATCGTGTGTTTGCTTTTTGTGTTAGACTGCTACGGTTCTCTTTCACATTTGACCGTGACCGTGTCGTCAGGGCTGTAGTGGAGGCTAAACGCAGTTTACCCACCGCTGAAATTATGTCAGAAACAGTTTATCCACTTCTCACTTCAGAGTTTAGCTACCTCTCAGTAAATTCACTACCTCGTAGAGTTTATGTAACTTTACCACATGTATTACCACTAGTATTGGTGTAAACATTTAATAGTAACATTCAAATCATCAAATATGTTCTGAATTTCTTTTATGTATTTTTTAAAACATTTAGTAGCGCATATCAGGGTCCACTGTACTGTAATCTCCCTGGCAATCTCGTAACATTCTGTTTACTGTTTATGTTTGCTATAATTCATATGCAGGACAATTTCATGTGTTTCCATTAGTGGCAATGATCTTTATACAATATTATTATTATGTCTGCAGGTTATGCAACATCATTAATGAAGGCCCTTCGGGAAAGCTACACCAATTCACCTGCAGCTCTTCCAGAGGTTAGCGCCAGTTTGTCCTGATGCACCCGCCCCCATCGCCAAATCCTTAAAACAGGTTCCTGAGGAGGCCGTCAGCCTCTACCTAGCCCGGCAGTCACGCTACAAGAACCTAATTTCACATTATTTTCTTTCCACAGACAAGTCCAATGATTTAGTTGTAAGTATTCATTTAGTGGTGGTTTCCTGCATTCTGCATGTTTTTTTTTTCTTTGTGTGCTGTTGCTTTGGTTTTACTTTGCACAAAATCATTACTTTTTTTCTTAGGCTATTGATTCCCGTGATCTTGCTTATAAATTCCGATTCCGCCATTAGCCTACCTTCGTGATCACGCAAAGAGGTCTGGAGAGGCGGTCCGTTCAGAATTACAACCAACAAAAAATATAAGTGCATGTACAAATTTGCAGTAATGTTCGGTAAATATAAACTCTATATATATATATACACACACACACAATTCATTTATTTAAATGGGTTAGGGTTATGTGTGTATATATGCATAGGCGTACAAACATACATACATGCATATATATTATAAATAATATAATATATACTTCAGGTTACCAGAAGTTAGCTAACTTTAATGAAGAGTTGGTCATGTGAGCTATAGCTAGCTGCAAGTAACCCATTATCTTCCAATAAGCATTAACTAAAACTGGCTACATAAAATATACTGACTAGATTCACGAGAGGTCGGCTAATGTGTGTAAAAGTAAAAAAAAAAATACAGTAATTTCATTATTTTACCAGCGAGCGTACTTCGGAAGCACTGAAAATGAATGGGGTTCAATGCTGGAACTATCAGTGTTTGGAACTATTGGCCGCTCCACGACACGCGTTACTTGCGCATTTTTAAGTTCCTATGGCGGTCTATGGGAGTGTCGCAACTCTCTCTCTCTATGGCTCTGGACCACACTATTGCAGGCAAAAGAAACAATGTGCAAACGTTTCAGGTCTAGCCCTTCATCAGTGGGCTTTTTTTTATATATAGATTTGTTTACTTGCAACCTGTGTCTTTGTTCAGTAATCTTTGTCCTTGTTCAGTAAATGTTTAGTAACCATTACAAGCAATGCCAATAAACAGTTTTTTTTTTCTTATAGAAATTCATGTGTTCTGTGTACTTTATAACATTTTGAGGGCAAATTGGGCAATCACAACAGAATAAGCAATTATTATTTTTATACATTTTCATCCAAACGAGGCGATTGAAAGCCCTGATAGGTCTGGTCACGACTTTGGAATTGTTGTCTGATGGTTGAAACCACACGAGAGGCTTCTTATACTCCTGCCTAAAACTCCATAAGCCCAGGCCAGCGTATAGCCTGCCTGTACGCAGTGTAGCGGTATTGCCTAGGGATAAGTAGGAAAGATTCTTAAGTTTTAAACTCTGTTAGTAGGTTGGAAACGTCTCTGATGCATGTTTATTGTGTATGCAACACATCTCCTGTCACCTATAGCTGTTGTTCAAAGGACTCGGTGTAAAAAATAAAAAGGTAAAGTAAACATAAACCATAAACCATGAACATACTCGTGCGTGCTGGCTTGAAGGGGAGCATTATCCTGCATGAAGTGTGAGTATGCTATGTGTAGCACAAACGGATTCAGGCATTATATCCAGGATGCTGCGTTAGGCACGTTACAACTGCTGGCCGCGGGGTGAGGTGTCAATAGCCGCGTTTCCATTACCCTTCAAATTGCGCAAATTGAAATTGCGAATTAAAAATACGCTCAATGGAAACACGTCAATTTCGCAAAAACTCCCATTTATCGCAAAAAAGTTTTTACGCTCGCATGAGGTGGTTTTTCAGGCAATTCGAAAAAGGAATATTTCGCAAAACTGCAATGGAAACAGTTTTTGCGCAATTACAGTCACCTGACTTAGAGAAGGCGCGTGTGTTTGGGGTCCGTGTAGGCTATTGCGTCCATTCGTTTTTCCTTTAACTCATATGAAAAACGAAAAAACATGCTTTCTTCTTTATTAGTTTTTAGACTGGTGAAAAAATATTCACATACAAACTTAACTGTTCCCTCGATCGGTTTAACAAATCGTGCCCACGGATTAAATAACTGTAGGCCTACCCACGATATCCTAATCCGCGCTCTCAGATTTGTAAATATCAGTTCTTTGTAATTTCTTGAATTTTCTAAAAAACGACATTTAGCCCGGTACATCTTTAAAGTCCTTTTTTGGGGGTGAGAAAAAAGCTCAGTAGGCTATAATAGAATAGCAAAAAAAAGACTTCTCATACAAAAAAAGAAATAACACAAAGTCATTTTCAATTCATCAATTTATAATATACATATTACTGTCTTAAGTGAACTCATTTATAGTTATAAACGCAAATGATAATAATAATTATTATTATATTACATTTATTAGGCTACATATTTAGAAGACGCTTTTATCCAAAAAAGGAACAAAGCAATTCGTCAAATGTCATTCATAATACAGGTTAGACAATAATAATACAGGGCTAAGATTATCACAAATAAACACAAGATTTTGACGCATATCCAAGGGTTTGTGCGGAGTGTTGAGCGCGCACTGCATGACGGAGGCGCGGGCGCGAACACTTGCATTTTCCTGTCAACAGTGGAAACAACTTAAAATACTCTATTATTTATGGTCATACAGAAAATAATAATACATAATCCGCAACTACTTTTATTTGTGTAAACTCACAATAACAAGAAAACGTTCTTCTTTTGTAAAATAAAAGAAAACAATCAGGCGCGCTTTCATGATCTCCGTGAACTGGAACATGTCTCAGAAATGAACTGAAACAAAATATAGCCTATGTAGGCTAAAGTTTGAAATGTCCACTTTTAAACGAACAAATTCAAATCGAAAGCAAATACCTTCTGATTATGTAATCCATATGAAAGGTGCATTTCTCTAAAGGCGCATCCGCTTTACAGCGGAGATGAAGATATGTTTGCAGTCGGCACTAACACTATATTTTATTAATAAACAATTAAAATGCCTCGTTATTTTTTCAGACACATTTATTATCATTAGCCTATAATCACCTATAAATCACATCTCTGTAGGCTATGGTTCCAGAGACATGGCTCTTCTTATTCAGCACTGCGGGAAAAATATCATCGGGTTCTAATTTGGAACCCATTTTTTTCATATTAATTTGTGAATATTTTAAATGTTTAATAAAGGGTCAAAAAGTCATAAACAAAAATCTGAAAATTCGTCTATATTTATTTTTTTGCGCAGCATTTGGTGTGTAGTAGGCAACAGTTCAAATTCAAAATTTGTTGTTTAACTTTGCGCTTTAAAAATACAACAACCGTTCATTTTTCGTTTTTCAATTAGCCGGGTTAAAAAAGGAAAAACAAATGGACGCAAAAGTACACGGACCGTTTGGACAGAATACGAGACAAGAGTTCTTTATTAAATTCATAAAAGAAAAAAATAATTGCAGTAATACTGGATTCTAAACCTCAAAGAAATGCCACAATCAAGACCTTGGAGCAGAAATGAGGGAGAAACACCTCATGTGCCGTTCACAGTATATTAGGGTCTTTCCTTACCATTAATGCTTGGATAACACACCACGTCTCCTTCACATGTGATATAGGCTATAAACCTACCAACGCCCGTTTCCATGATTTTTGGAATGACTTATCGCGAGAGGAAAAAATGACGTTTTAGTCGCATAACATAGGTTAATGGAAACGCCGTCATTTCGCAATAGTTTTTTATCGATATTTAGAAAAAATCGCAAAAGTTTTGCGCAAATCTGTAATGGAAACGCGGCTAATGACAGTCACGGGGAAAACTAGTTAGCACTATCAATCACACTGACTGAAGACATGACCAGCCTACTCGTCGTCAGCTACGTTTGCAAACAACATTTTCACTGGAGATAGAGGTGAAAGCAGGACACTCGGCCTGGCAAACAGATACTCAAATTATACTCGAAATTTACTCAATGATGCCTTATTAATTTCAGTATATTTAAAGTAGCCTATGCCTCCTCTGTAGAAAATGGTTATATTACAAGACACAAATTCAGATAGCCTTCTCAGAGCCTGTTTTATTAAAGGTTTGAATGAATGAAATGTCTCTTCTGTATTAGAAAAATAAATATATAATTATTACAGGTTTGAATGAATGAAATAATGTCTCTTCTGTATTAGAAAAATAAATATATAAATAAGAAATAACTAAAAGAAATACCTCCAAATTTAACAAAAATAGCTCTCACAAGCTTACAAAAACAAACTAACAAAATGTATCTTTAGTCTTCCTCTTTATCCTGTTTTTCTTCCTCATCCTCCTTGTTTGCCCATCTATGTTTTGCTTTAGAGCTGATCTTTCCCAGAAGTTTTGAAAACCAGGAAATTTTCATAATTTAAAAAAAAAAACCCAGCCAGGACAGGACGTGAAAACAGGACTGTTGGTCACCCTAACCTAGTCTAAAGTCTAGGTCTAGCGCGTACATTCAGATGCTATTTTAAGCGCGCATGCTTGGCCATACAGAATGAACAACGCGCATACACTGTAGATGATTCTCTCATCTACACAGATGCATTTTACTTTTTGCAAATGATACATTATTATAAGGAAAACTATTTAAACACGAGTGAAATCATTGTTGTGTTCATGACGATAGGAAAAATAGGCATAAAGCGTACACATTTACCCAAATTATTATGTGCATGTTTAACCGAAGCTAATTTGGGTGGGTTTGTCCCATCCCCGGCCCAATGTCACTTCTCTTTATTTTACGGCCCTGACGAGAACATCGATCTCCTCGGCTGTGAACCATCAGAACTGTAACTAAACCAAGCGCGCCGCTGCCTGCGTCTACCTCATGTGACGTCATCGCCGAGTCGCGTAAAAAAATAACCGTTACTAACCAAAAACGTAAAAAACTGGACTTTAACACCATTTTGGAGACATTTCTAACTTTATATACATATCTTAACTGCTTTATGTACCCATTAATCGACAGTGGTGTTTAACCTGCACCATGGCCTTTAAAGATTTAGCATCAGCCAATGAGATTGCGCATTTGCGCCCTTTTACTTTCACGATTGGTTGCTGATAAAAAGGAAATGACCATATTTGGATCCGACAACATTGTACAAGAGAGAGAGAGCTTTCTAACGGTGTGTGTGATGACAGGGTGCAGATCGCGATCGCGGAGCAACGGATGATTTACAACGCCAACTTTTGATGAATTTATGAGAAATCTACAGACGCAAACAGACAAAGTGTAGTAAAATAGAGACCTAAATGTGTATTTCGGACTTTTTTCACCACAAGTCTGAAAGAAGACATGTTTTTGAAGACAAATATCCCGAAATCTCAAAATTGACCAGTGAAAAAAACCCTATGTTTTTGCCTGCCGTGTCTCGCCTTAAATAACTAAAACTGAAATAAATAAAGCTATATAAAAATATCTCAAAACAAAATTACAAAAGAACATAAAATATAATATGAAAATATAAAGGCTAATTCAAAATATGAATAAATACTATAATAGTATATAAATAATACTAAAATAACAGTGTAGCGCGATATATAAGCATCTTACCTTTAAAAAGCACACGACGGTTTCAAAATACACGTTTGAGATATGACTGTGTAATTTATGTTGTTGAGCTAAACAGGGAAGTTTCTTATAATAATTCTACCCACAGAGCTTTTTTCTCATTTACTAAAAAAAATATCAGACATTCCCAAGGGAACCCATGGCAAATTAGCCTTCCGGATTGGCCTTAAAATTGATGTTATGACTTAGTTCTATTATTAAACAGTTCTCTGAAATGCTTGAATCTGATTGGTCAATTGCAATATTCTGCAAATATTTTCGTATATAATGACCACTAAACTTTAAAATTGACCACAGTCCCAGGAAATTAATTTCCTACATCTGTGCTAGTTTCGTGTCTTTCACGCTCTCTTTCAAATTGATCTCAAATCAGTTGTTCTTTTGTTCTTATACTCACCCACCAATCAGCATCTTCCTCCCCGAGTACCACCAGAACGTCACCCTCATTGAAGGTGAGCTCATCGTGATGATCTGCCACACAGTCGTACATGGCCTTCACACGCCTCAACTTCGACTTCATCTAAACACAAGAACAACAACAACAAAAACTGCATCATGTGGCTTCTTACTAATATTGCTTTCCTTTTAAACTGTCAATTTGTTGATGGGAAAACCTCAAGTATGAGAAACATGTCAAGAAACGCCTGTGTCTTTCCAACGGCCAAAAACACATGCAATAAAACACCATTCCTCTAGACCCTGCAGAGAAAACCAGCTCATGAATTCCCACATGGAAACAGACTGGTTTAAGCCGGTTTGATGCTCGGAAGGCCAGCAGAGCACAGACATGTAAAACAGCTGGTGAAGCTAGTTTTCTAAAGAAATTAATACTTTTATTTATTATTTAACACACAGATTAATATATATTAAGCAATATAACTGTTTTTAACATGTTTTAGCAAATTTGTACCATAAATTATTATATTGTTAACATGTTTAGGACGTTGCTAGCATGAATTGGCATGTTTTTGCACATTGCTAGCATGAATTAGCACATTGCTAACATGTTTTAACACATTGTTAGCATTAATTAGCATGTTTTTGCACATAGCTAGCATGAATTAGCTAATTGTTAGCATGATTTAGCACGTTGCTAGCATGAATTAGCTAATTGTTAGCATGATTTAGCACGTTGCAAGCATGATTTGGCACATTGCTAGCTAGACTGGAGTAATGATGTTGAAAATTCAGCTTTACCATCACAGGAATGAATTACATTTTAAAATATATTCAAATAGAAACCAACTATTTTAAATTGTAATAATATTTACTGTGTTTTTGATCAAATAAATGCAGCTTGGTGAGCATAAGAGACTTCTTTCAAAAACATTTCAAATCCGACCCAAATTACATGGTCAAATGAGACTTTTTCTTAGGGATCTTGCTAAGATTTTTCTTCAGAGGGAAAAGACCTGTAAGAAATAAGGACATTTCTCCAGTTTCTCACCAAAGTTTTTCTGGGCAGTGGGTGAGGAGCAGTGTGGCAGGAGGAAGAGGAGCTTCCGTTAGTCTCCAGGCTAAAGGAGCGGGGGGAGGTGGGAGACAGGCCCGGGGTGTGACGTCCAGCGCTGCTGATGGGTTGTGGTGTTTGGTACAGAAAGTGAGACGAGCTGCTTTCCCCATCTGCTCGAAAGCCTGCTGAGAGAGAGATTACAGCCACGACACATTGTAAGAAGAAACATGGGCCGAGAAAAGGAAAACAACTTAACTGAGAACAATATAATGGAAAGATAACCGGACAGTTAAAGCATTACCTCGTTCTGGTAGCTCAGATAAGGAGTTGAGAGTAGATGTCGTGTATTTGGGAGAACCTGAGCTGAAACAAAAAGTCTTACGATCAGTATGTTAGTTAGCATTATTCCAGCAAATAGCCAAGAGAGGTCAGCATTTGTGGCTCCAAAAAGCACTTACACACACTTCTGGAAAGGTGAGTCTGGACCACCGAAGCTTATCGGACATGAAGGTACTCCATAATCTGGAAAAAGAAAGTAACGACAGAAAGAAAACACATTCATGTAAGTCGATGAGCTTAAATATTTAAACATATATTTTGTTAACACTTTACAACGTTTCATTAGTTAACATTAGTTAACATGAACTAAGAATTAACAGTGCGTCTACAGCATTTATTAAGAATAAGATCATGTTAATTTCGACATTTAGCCTACTGGTACATATTTAAAAACAGTTTTTTACATGATGTGTAACAATGTGTGTTTAGAGTTTTGCAAATTGTGTCTAACTGCCTGAACTTATTTAACGTTTTGCATAAAGAGTAGTTTATTTGACAAATGGGTTTAGGCCAATGAGAATTTGGTTCTTATCAATTGTAAAAAAAAAAAAAAAAAAAAAAAAAAAAACCTGTACTAAAAGTATATTCACTAGAAATGCCCTTGACTTTTCCATGATTTTATAGAATGTTATTCATTTCTATGACTTTTTCAGGCCTGGGAATCATGATTTTAAATTCCCAGATATTTCCATGTTTTCCATGACAACGGCAATATGCATCTTTCCAAGTTTGGCACATACCTGTAGGTCCCTGCCGTGTAGAGTGGGGGCTGGGGGGCACCTGAGGGGCGGGCTCAGAGTAGGTGCGCTTGTGTCGGATGATAAGAGGGGGAGGAGGGGTTCGTTTCTTACTGCTGATTACTTCATGGGACGTCCAGCCATCAGGGGAGCTCATGGGAGGGGGAGGAGGGGGGACGTTTGGAGCTGGAAAGGACATGAGGAGAGTAAACAAGACTGAAGAGAAGAGAAGAGAAGAGAAGAGAAGAGAAGAGAAGAGAAGAGAAGAGAAGAGAAGAGAAGAGAAGAGAAGAGAAGAGAAGAGAAGAGAAGAGAAGAGAAGAATAGAGAAGAGAAGAGAAGAGAAGAGAAGAGAAGAGAAGAGAAGAGTTTTCTCACCTCTGACCCGGGGTGGGAGTGGCGGTGCTGGTGATGAAGGGGGTGGCGGAGGGGGACTGTCAAGGCTGCGCGTCTGAGAGTTGGGACTGGCATACACGTCCCTCCGGTTATCCCCTCGGGCCATTGCTAGCCTCCGACCCACGTTGAACAACCCCCCTCCGCCACTGTGAGAGGCAGAGTTACTGTGATACAAGCTGAACGGCCGTCCTAAGCGCTCCTTCTTCACTGGGCCCATCTACAAATATGGGCCATCACTGTTACACATCAGACCATGAATTGCACGCTACACAAATACAATCGGTGCATCCGAAATCGCATACTTCTGAGTAGGTACTACATTTGAATTTACTTCGGTATTGTTAAAAAAGTGCGTTCTATATAGTATGAATATGGGTAATATGAATGAAATTCGGACGTACTACATCTGTCAGATGCATTGCTTCACTGCCATTCATAAATCCTCTCCCGTAGCCTCATGGGATAGTAAAGTGTCCACTGAATACCTACTTCAGAATCTCATCGGAAGTATAGGTCATCCGGGTACTTTTCGCCTACCGTTTTCATATACTATGTATTCGGACAAACTACTCTGTTGGCGTACTGTTTTTCGCACACTATATAGTAGGGAAGTATTCAATTTCAGATGCAGTGAAGGTCTCATGTATTATGCTCTATTAGCATATATGTGAGTTTGTTCTGTAAGTTATGGGTTGTGTAGTCTTCGTATGTTGTCACCTTGTCATCTAGGTCGTCATCACTCTCGTAAAGGTCATCCTGCCGGAGTCTCCACTCATATTCCACGTGCACATGCATGTTAAACTGGTTGTTCTGTGACTGGTGGATCTGAACATGACACATCATTACTTTACATGTAGATCAATCCCTTTTTGACAATTGGATTTCCATGACTTTTCTAGTTTTTGAGATAATTGGGTGAGGACTTTTAAAGATTCAATTTGTAGAGATTGCTGATGCAGTTTTCATTTGGATGTCAAGTAACAATCCTTGAAATTAATCAGTTCAACAAAGTTTTACAAATGTCTCGATCCAAAATTATGAGTTGAGATTCAAATGCAGGAAGGCAACTCTGTGTACCTTAAGAAACCATTAACATTGCATATCAGTGAATCACACAGGATGTCACACTCAACAGACCGGCCATTTCACAGTTCACACCGCAAACGTGAGCGGCTCGTGAGCAGCGCGTCAGCGTAACTACATCGTCACTGCAGCTGCAGACGCGCGAGAGCATTCACACTGGAAGCGTTTGTACAGCGTCACAGCAACGGCTCCAAAGCTACATATAAGTGAGCATTTCTTTACAAAGACAACTATCTTTTTTTTTTTTTAAACATATCGAAGTATGACTGAAAAGACCAGGGGCCTCATGTACAAAGACTTGCGTTGAATTCATATTAAAACATGTTCTTACTTAATTGCATAATATAATATTTTAATAAAACTCGTGTGACAATAATGTCAAATAATTTATCAATTACAAATTATAAGCAATATCTGACAGCTGGTGGTGCGATAGAACAATTCGTAGTGTAATGTTTGCCACTTCACTTTATTGCCTCTATGAGTCGCCAACGGACAAAAATCATGACAAATATACGTACGCCAGACATGAAGTTTACTTGGAGGAACGCACATTCTTACGTTAATTTCACTGTTAGTACATCTGGCCGTGAACGTGAAAGCTGGCGTACGCTGTGTTTTTGTGCGTACGCAGTGTTGATACATGAGGCCCCTGATCAGAGCTGTTTTCTTGGTTGTTTTTGTTGTTTACATTTACATGCAATTGTTGTACACCTCCCCATCTCAACAAACTTCAAGACTATCAAGTTTATTAATGAACAACTTCTAAAAACAAATTTATAGTTGTCTTTGTAAAGAAATGCTCACTTATATGTAGCTTTGGAGCCCCTGCTGGAGCCGCTCACGCTTGCGGTATGAAACGGCCGTAACTCTACACAAGCACTCAAAAAGAGCAATATCTAGCCAATTAAATATTTTAGAGCAGAGTATAACTATTTATATATTTAAAATGTATTTATTAAGGACACATTAAATTCAACAATAATTATTTGATTGAATCGATTTTAAATAAATGCTGTTTTGAAACTTTCTTTACATCAACAAATCCTGAAGGCATACCTGTTTTTAACATTGCTAATAATACGAGTGTTTCTTGAGCACCAAATATAAGATATTCAAATATAAGAATGATTTCTGAAGGATCATAAGACACTGAAGACTGGAGTAATGGCGGCTGAAAATCCATCACAGTTGTAAATTACGTTTTAAAATATATTAAAATGCAAAACAGTTATTTATTCAATAGTAATACTAGTTAACAATATTACTGTTGTACTGTATTTATGACCAAATAAATGCAGCCTTGAAAGTCGACTTTCAAAAACATTAAAAAATCTTACCAACACCAAACTTTTGAATGGTAGTGTATGGTTTAGAAATATAAATTATTCTAGCTATATTCCGCTTTAAATTATTTTATTTGATTATTATTTTATAACATATTTTTATAAAATGTATTTAGTAAACATACTTTTTTAGTCATGATATCACTTTCTAAATGATATTAAAGGTGTGCTGGGGACCCTGCTTATAGAAAAGACCATGACCATGATGTACCTGAAGTGTACAGCAAACGTTTTGTTCAATAAAAGTGAAAATAAACAGGTTACACCAATATGCATATCCTAATGATAAAGACTTGCTTTAACAGGTTACTGCTGGACAGCATTTTGACTCACCAGCTCCTCACACAGTGTGTGCTTCAGTCTGCGAGCCACGTCCAGTCCCGTCTCTCCATTATCATTCTCTATCATAGAACAGCAATTATCATCAGCTCAATGATCATCCTGATCTGTAATTAACTCCTGACAAATGAGCCAACAGCCAATCCAGCCTTCAAAAGAACACGATGAGCCTCCTTGCTTTAACAATGACTGATAAGATGCTGATAAAACCCCATATGTAGCATCAATTAATATTAAAACACATTTTCAATCATGAAATAACTCAAAGCAAAAATGTTTTGCTGGTTTTAGGGTTTGAAGGTCTCACTCACTGATATGTGTGTTGGCCTTGGCTCGGAGCAGAAGTTTAAGGCACTCAGTTTTGTTGTGCTGGCAGCAGTAATGCAAAGCAGTGTTTCCCTTCATTGTCTGAGCATCCAGGTTATTACTGAAACATATAACAAGGAAAGACACGTGATAATCCATATCTGCCATAATCCATAATCCAGATCACCAACAAGTTTTCAGAATAAAAAATGTGTTATTTTTTACTGACCTATTGTGGAACAGGAAGTCAGCCACATGGAGTGATGTTCTGTCAGCCAATAGAACAGCTAAGTGTAGTGCAGTTTCCCCCTTTTCCTGTCATAACATTTTGCTATTAAAAAGGGAAGACCTAACATATACAAAGGTAAAATATGCATGTACTTAAGCAGGAAATGAGAAGGCGAGACGTGTTTGCTGACCTGTAGGTGGCATGGCAGTGGCTGGCTGAGTTCCGTTCTCTCAGCGTACAGCTGTAACAGGCTGAAGACGTCTCGACTGCGAACAGCATCCTGCAGATATTTGCGTTTTGTTTCTGGTGAGCTGCTGCTACGCTGTGCAAACTGCCATTCCATATACTTTGAGAGTATGAAGTCTTTACGTACGGCCCTGTCAATAACAATCAATATTTTTTAGTACATCTTTTATTGGGTATCAAAATGGCAGTGATATTCAACAGATGTCCGATACCAATAAATTGTGCAGTGATATTTAAAAAATTAGCATCTCTGCAATGCCTACAGGCAAGTCACAGATGGTAAGAGACAGAATAACTGGAGCTCTCATTAGTGCAACTCTCCTCTCTTTTCATGGTACCATGTTGGACAGATGTAGGTTAAAACACTACAGAGATTGCCATTAGAAAAAAATCCAGCCTGAGTCCTGAGACAGGCAAACAGCTGTCAGAGCTCTTAAAGGGGCCACTCTTTCAATGCACTTTTTGTGTGTGTCTGAAGTCAACTCAGTTATGCAAGGATTCTTGCATTAAAAAAACTGTTATTTAGTTATACATGACCATTTACACCTTCTTTCTGACCCTTAAAATTGCACAGGTTTTTTTTTTTTTTGCTACTGTACCTTTAAGACTTAGACCTTCAACTACCATTCAAAGGTTTGGGGTCAGATTTTTTTCTTGAAATATATTAATACTTGTATTCCGCTTAAATGTGTAGCTAAAAAATGACAGTACAATATTTACAGTGTTACAAACTATTTATATTTCAAATAAATTATGTTCTTTTAAACTTTCTATTCATAAAATAATCATTTTGAATCCAAATAAAAAAGTTTAACCAAATTCATGGTCTCCACAAAAATATTAAGCAGCACAACTGTTTAATTCTGCTGTAAATTCAGGTTTGCCATCAGAGGAACAAATTTCATTTTAAAATATATATTTTTTTAAAACGTAATCTTAAATTGTAATAATATTTCACAACATTAACTTATTAAGTAACAATCCCCCCGACAAAGTTGTCAAATAATGAAACAGGTGTTGAAATTTAAACATGGAGAAAGGAAAAGCTGCGTCGGGTGGCAGAATGAGAATCTGGAACAGACAAACATTGGAGTGAACTAAGCATTTCCTGTGACATATAACATCCCTAAAGTAGTCCCTGGAAATATGTATGTTATTTCAGGGCTCTGTGCAAGAATCTAATAATAGCATTTATTTTTAGCATCCTGTTCATTTAGTCCAGCTGGTTCTAGAATAGTGTACACAACCATACTTTCCTCCCATCGATCGTGACAGCAGGGTAAATCAATCCGTTCAGTTTGAAGATTAAAGTAATTTGGATGTTCTTGAGCTTTCAAATTACTTTCAAGAATGATCAATTTAAAATAAATTAAAAAAGCTCTGCACCATCTGCAGACAGGTTAATTGTGTACAGAGAGGTTACGCCCGGCCCAGCCATGAAGATGCTATTTTGCAGGGAAAAATTGAGAGGGAATTGAGTGCGCATGTTATTGGAAATGCTAAAGACATTGGGTGCTATGGGGACACAGAGACTCCAAGTGTCGAAACCATTTGGCTGGCGTTTGAAGAGTAATTACAGAGCTGCTCATCACTCACATGTCACTCTCTGCTGACGGCTTCACAGAGGGACTAGGAAGATTGGCTTCCACAATTTCATTAAAACCTGAATTCCCCACGTTTCTCGCCAACTAATGAGCAAAAGAGAGAGAAAGAGACATAAATCTGCGGGTAGTGGTTAAGAACATGAGAAATCACTAATGTTGTCATACTCTCAACTCTGTCAAACTCTCTCTATAACCAGCTAAACAAAGCATGAATTGATTTTCCTCATTTGTTCACTGTGAATTCTTACCAGCAATTCTGAAGTGCCTAGTTTGTCCAGAGAAAGTGATTGAATACGTGAATAATGTACACCCATTTCCCGATGGATCCCTGAGCACTCGATGCACGTCAGAATTCCCAGGTTTATAGAGATCCAAGTCGGATCTGAAAGCAAAGAGCGTAAAGAAAACACATCAGCTGCTTCTAAATGAAATTTTCTTAACCTTAAACTGAGATAAAAATACATTAAAGCAAAATATAAATCTAAATAATAATAAATAAAAAAAACTGATTATATGAAAAATTATATGAAAATAATATGGAAATATGAAAATAAATCTAATTACAAATATTTAAAGAAAATACTATAATAGTATATAAATAACAATAAAATAACACTGGCCCAGTGTGAACCTGCTACAGTGATATTCAATGATATTTACGCTTGTACTTTTTGCAATGGCGATAGAAGGTGCAGCCAAAGAAAATCTGAACTCAGCACTTTTTATAGGAAACATGTCTATAAATCCTGCAGGCTGTTCTCTCATACACTCACTGGGTTTTAATTTAATTAAACATGATTTATGGACAGGCATTTAAAGAAACAGCATGAACAGAGGACCAGTCTCCAAAAGTATCCAGCTGCAGAACCGCAGCACCAGCCGTTTCAGAACCACAGCCACAGAACCGGAAGTGGGGGGCGGGGCTTACACGTAAATTTCTTTAGAATTAGAATCAATCTTTATTGTGGAGATTTTCCTTTGGCTCACCAAACATACAAGACAGATAAACATACAGACAATGTCTCAAACATAGTAAAGGAAATATAAAAAATATATATAAAAAAGATACAATGTAAAATATCATAATGAAAATAAATATACTTAAATACATTAAGATAACTCATTTGTTGTTGTCACTTCATTTGGTTAAGGATACTAATGGCATTTGGGATAAAATATTTTTTTTTAAAGTACTTTTAGCCAGAGGCACCCTGAAGCGCCTCCCAGACTTCAGAGGGTGAGTACTATATCTACAGTGATTTTCCTAGCTTTCTTCCTCATTCTGTCAGTGTATATTTGGGTCAGGTGTTTTGGGGTTTCTCCTACTATTTTACTAGCCATTAACACTATCCTGTTAAGCTTGTTCTTAAGTTTGCAGTTTAAATGGCCAAAACAAGCAGAGAGATGAAAGGTTAAAACACTTTCAATGTGTGTGATGTACACTAGCTCAATAATCTGAGCACTGACGCCCAGGCAGTTCAGTCTTCTGAGGAGACTAAGTCGTTGTGAGCATTGCTTAAAAATATAATGATCAATACAATTTTGCTCATTGTACATCAAGATATCTTATTCATATTATATGAACAGAAGTGACTTTATTTAAATATTGAATGTAGACATAGATCCGATCAAAATCCATGTGAAAACAGCTTATATTTAACAAAAGAAAATTACATGTAAAAGGGTAGCGCAACTATGACTGATTCACCCCTCACCTTCTGTGGCTGCGGTTCTGAAACTGTGGTTCTAGGGTGCCCTTTTCCAAAGCCGCTGTTTTCTTAAACTGCTTAGTTTCAATTTCGAACCCCGTTTTAGTCCAATAGCACTGTTATAATAGATATAAAAGACTCAATCATATAAACAATGTCTGTGAGAATTGTTTGAGTCAAGACACTTTAACATCAGTGCACTCCTAAGAGTTGACAAAACTCACATTTAACAGGAAAATACAGGAATCAAAGAGGACACCAGTTTTATTCTTGCCTATTTCTTGGGGTAATCTCCCTGATAGCACAAGTACATCTCTGAGATGTCTATTTGATGTCTGCATTTGCATCTGCAAGATATGTATTTTTTTCTGCAATATGTCTCCAGGACGTTTCCTGTTAGATGTCATATTGACTTTTAGAAGATGTCTTTAAGATGTTTATGATTTAGAAAGTATGTAAAACTGCTTTTTCTAAGACGTTTATCAGATGTTTTTACACAACAGATCAGATGCTTTACAGATTAACAGATCTTTAGCCGACATCTTACAGATGTAGGCTAACTTACCTGTACTGTATATATTTAATTTTCAATAAAATGTATAAACCATATACATTTACAGTACCGCGAGATAGTCTGTTCTAGATTTTTTGTCAAATATATGCTATGTTCTTTGTGTATAAAATATACAATGTGCTTTAAATGGTTATTCACTACTTTAACGACAAGACCAGTCGATGTAGGCCTAGCTGTTGTGGAAAAAACGAATAAAGAAAACCAATTATAGCAGGCTCCCCTCCACCATCTTCAAAGTTATGGCACGCCTAACTCCAAGTTTCCCATTATTAATTACGACTTGAGAGGGCGTTCATGCCCAATTTCCGACTAGGAAACTCGTATAGGCCTACTTTAATTCCGAAAGCACGTGAAGGCAGCATCCAGAAGGACAACCACTATCTCACTATCGTTACTTCAGGAGGTCAGTGAGATAGTGGTTGTCCTTCTGGACACTAAATGATTAGCATAGTCATGTACCATGATATGTTCGGTTCAGAAAACATCATAGCACATGTCCAGAAACATTTGTGCTACTGTAAAGACTTTATTTTTGTACCTGTGGCCCCACAGTCACAGCAAACGTTGTTTCCAGGAATGCGGCGAATATCCTCAGTGATAGATCGCGTCAGATCCTCCACGCTGTTCTCCCCACTTGTCCTCCTCTCATCCAGAGCCACATTTAAAGCCTCCTGCTTACTGTTTGTCAGCACTGATATCCACCTGATATTTTTTAGGAAGGCGCAATAACAAATACAACCATTAGAGGGCGACAAGAAACTTCAGATCAAATTTCCGTGGCACCGTGCATAGAAAAGTCATTTGCGACTACTGGTCCAGCTCTGAGAGGTCAGTTCATTTGCAATTAATGAGAAAATGCCCTTGATTACAGCTCAGGGAGTTTTGTAAACAGTGCACAGACTTTGTGTACTTCTAGTCAGTGAATATCCTCTCTAGGATTCATTTCTGAAAAGCTGCGCTATAATGCGACTATCAATAATCTTTTCTTTGCTCCTCTTCAACTCTGACATTTATCTGAAGATGGAAGCCTGGGTTGTGATCTGACATGAGAAGCACTTCAATCATCATACATGCAGCAACATCTGAGGAAGAAATGTTACATATTTCTCTTTCTCTCCAAGAAAGGAGTAATGATGCTGTTCCTGTGTCAAGATGGAAAGGTCAAATCGGAAGAGGTGTGTGTGCTGAAAATTATACAAGCTCTTTCCTATCTGACGGCCTCAACACATTCTCATCTGACAGTCACATGAGTGGACTGAGACTCGGGCAGATCAGTGTCTGGCAGAAAAAAAGGCATTTCTCTTTAAAGAGTCCATGAAATCAGAATCAGATTTTTGTGGCTTTTAGTTCATGTCTGTGAGCTTTAAGGTCATCTTTATGCTGCATGGTGTACAGTGACAAAATTCACTTTTAGCAGATATACACTAATGTTCAAGAGTTTGGGGTTGGTAAGATTTTTTGTTATTTTTGAAAGAAGTTTCTTATGCTCACAGGAATATTTTGAAATATTATTATAATTTAATATAATTGTTTCTTATATGAATATATTATTTATTCCTGTGTTATCAAAATGGCATTTTCAGCATCATTACTCCAGTCTACAGAGTAACATGATCCTTCAGAAATCATTCTAATATGCTGATTTGATGCTCAAGAAACATTTCATTTTACAAAAAATATTCATTTATTCTGCATTTATTCTGGTTTATGTCTAATCAGATGCTTTCAAGAATGAGAATGTCATGCCCCTTAATAACACCTGCAACCAATTAGCAAGTATAAAAATATCGTTCACAACTGTGACGTAAACTAAAGCCTGTTGAGAATTTAAATAAAAAGCCCTTTGATATGTCCTGCTCAAACTTCCTATTTCAATGGGAAATACGCTAATACATAATTTTTAAATATCTCTGTATTCATTTAAGATACATTTTGTGCATAGTTATACAAAAATGTATTATGAATAATAGTTTGCATTGCTTTTTATTGTTTGGATTTATGTGCAATTATGTCAAAATTACTCACTGAGGTACATAAATGATTGAGTAGGTTTTTTAAGTGTGAATAAACAAAAGAAATACTTACGCCACACAATCAGACTCATCATCAGCCAGGAAATGGTAAGTGCGATTATCTATAAAAAAAAATCAAATAAAAAAAACACACACACACACTCATTAATCCTTGTAAATTCAAAATGTATCCTCAGCTGGCACCAGCTAACATGTAATCAGCAAACAATCAGGAGAGATTAAACAGGTTTGAGGTCCTTTGTTAAAATACAAGTGGCAGGAAAGAGCAAACGATTGTGCTCAAGTGCAAATAGTGAATTTAAATAGTGCCCTGTTTTCAGAACAACCTGCATTTGTTTCAAGGACTCTAGTATTGTTTTGCAAAATATTTCATGATTGTTACATAACGTAATAATGACACTAGAGACCTGAGGCCAGAATAATGCATGGACGCATGCAGATACAATTATGCAGTTCACTTCACTAAAAACAGCCTGAGGCTGGTTCGCTTCAGCTTGGCGTGAAGATCCTGAAATCTACCTTTGATATTTCTTTCTCAGTTATATATCACATGGGAGAGTGTATGATGAGCCGAACGCTTGGTTGGGGAATGCTGAGAGAGTGCGTGGTTAACTCACGTGAGATGAGGTCAAAGCATTTCTTGTCTTCCAGACTTGGTTTGACTTGACAGGTGAGGAGGTTCAGTTTAGCTGGTGATTTATTAGGCTGCAATGAAGGGATAGCGCATCACTAAAGGCCTGTCTAGTGCAATTTTGTGTACATCTCAATTGTATTGTGTGCATAACAGCATTGGTTTCGGCCATTGAGAATGCAACTAAACATTATGAAAGTATAAAATATAAAATAATAATATAAATAAATATGTATCATTATATAAATACATATCTAAGTAAAAGCTATAAATAAATATACACTATTCAAAAATATGTGTAGGATTTTTTTTAATAAATGAATAATTTAATTTAGCAAGGATGTATTAAATTGATCAAAAATGACAATAAAGACATTTATAATGTTACAAAAAATATATTTCAAATAAATGCTGCTCTTTTGAACTTTCTGTTCCTCAAAGAATGATTTATCAAATGTATCACAAATGTTTCTTAAGCACCAAATCAGCATATCAGAATGATTTCTGAAGGATCATGTGACACTGAAGACTGGAGTAAGGATGCTAAAAAAATTCAGCTTTGTCATTACAGGAACAAATTATATAGAAAATATAGAAAATTTTAATAGTATTACACAATATTACAGTTTTTACTGTATTTTTGATTAAATAAATGTAGCCTTGGTGAGCATAAGAGACTTTTTCAAAAACCTTAAAAATCTCCCAACTTATATCCCCAAACATTTAGTAATGTAAATATACCTTTAAAACAAAATATTCACAAAATAAATGACAAAAAAACAAATTATAGAGTCCAATGCGTCATATTTGGGATCCCAAAAAATAAACAACATTAGACAATAATAATAAAAAACATCCACATAGTATGATATTTCCAGGTGTAAAATGCCATATTAAGGTGCATTTTTTGATATCATGTACACGTTTTTCATGACAAAAATTTCAGAAGTGGTCTGCACAGGCCTTACAGACATCTCTGAGAAAATCTGGGTAACACTTCAACACTTCATATTAAGTATATCCTCCTGGGACCCAAGAATAGACTTTTGTCCACTGTAATGGACATTATATTTTAGTGAATTTCTCTGACATCATACATGTCACATAACACAACCTGGGTGTCCTGTAAAGAGCACATTCAGGACTTTTCAGAGATACCAAATGTTTGGAGGTTTCACCATGAAAACAACTTCTCCTTGGTCTTTAAAAATGTCTGACATTAATTTAGTGATCAAATGTAGCATTCTTATGGAAATATGATAATATATTGTAATTATAATTTAAATTGGACTACTTTTTCAAATTGTATTTCATAAAACAACATCTCAGGAAAATGTTAAGGGGTTTCAAATAAAAAAATTACTTTCTGTTACAGAACAGGGCATTGATTTCAAACGTGTCCACTGTAGAGGACATCAGGACTAAAATCATGTTTATCAGGCATTCTGGGAGACACAACAAGTGAATATGGAAATAAATTATACATCAATATTCCTATGAAATATTAGATATTATTATTAAAATGTTGCCAATTATTACTCTAATTATTACACTTATTTTTTCATTAAATGTTGCTCCAAGAACACATTAATGTGCAAATTAGATACAGTGTATAGATACATTGCATTGAATGGGAATATTAATTTATGGCCATTTTACCCACATATTGCAAAAAGTAAAATGGTGTATCAATTCATTCCATTATTTCTTTCATAACATAGTTGAGAATAATCTTTATACAAATTTTGGTTGAAAAAATCCTGAAACCCCAAAATGTATTGGTGATTGAAAAAAAATCCCATTGTTTTTGCCTATACATATAATTTCATGTCATTTTATTTTTTAAACAACTTAGTCCTGGCGTCCACTACAGAGGACATAGCATAACGTATGAATAAAATATTATTTTATATATATGTTTTTTTACCATTTGTTTATTGTGCTCTAAACAGTGTGATGACATGGGAAAAAACTCTATTCAAAAAACTTTTTTTTCTGGGTCTCAAAGCACTTATAAATCATTTGCAAACTATTAGTTTATAGTTAATTAATAGTTTATAAACTCTGTCACTGTAATGTCCAATAAAGGTTGGTTTAAAGCACTTCATTAATTAAACAATAACAATAATTACAGTGACAATTGTATATACGGTAGTCTATTAACTATAAACTATTTGTAAATCAAAATTTGTTTATATTTACAAAATACAATTATGTTGGTCAGTGAAAACATTGGAAATCTTTTCTTTGTACTTTTGTCAGTTAAAAAAAGGTTCAAGAGAATTAACAAATCACAGATTGTGAATTGTATTGAATTTACAAAATGTCCCAACTTTTCTGGAAATGGGGTTGTACTTCATTACTGTAAATTATGTTCGGTATATGTTTTGGGTGGATTTTTGTCTTGTCTTTCAGTTCTGTGTCCCAGTTTCATGTGTTTTAGTTAGTTTCACTGGTTACTCATGTTAGTGTTTGCAACTGTCATTGATTATGTGATTAGTTTAGTCTGTGTATTTAAGCCTGTTTCTTTCATTTCATTGTCCGTTCTCGTTACAGCTCTTTGTTCTACTAAAACGTTGTGCTTTCTTCTTGCAACCACACGTGACATTTTGAATGTATCCACATTTTTTCACAGAAACCAGCAGAAGGAAAAAACTGTTTGCTGCTGTATTTACAGAGAGTGATGTGAGTACTCACGGTTCCATGAGCGATGGTAAGATAGCAGTTCTGCACAGAACATTTCCTCTTCTGCCACATCTTCCTCAACCTATCAGAGAAATGAGATTACGGCACAGCATCCACATCACATTCTCCTCAATCAACACAAAGCTATACAGTGAATGCAGTGACAGATCTGTGTGTAACTCCCAGGAGAGCGTGTCCTACCACACATGAATAATTTGAAATGAAGGGCTAACAGAGCACTTCCAAAAGCATTTATCAGGGAAATCTAAATGAAAGTGTGGATTATACGTCATGTTTGAAGAATGCAGGATCCGGGAACAGAAATTCAATAATATCATGGCCATTTGCTACAACATGAATTCATTTACCCATCACTTCTCTTGTAGAGGTAGCCTGATTTCTCTGTGCCATATTGCTTGTTGCCTTGAAGCTGATGCATGCTGTACACGGTCTGTCTGCTTAGAGAATCCTGAACAACAGAAGCATAAACTGGAAAGTCATGGTTTGTTTATACGTGGCGCCCCAAAAAGCTTTTTGGATTTCCATTGCCTCTATGCATGGGCTTTTGCACACGGCAGCTTAAAGGGATAGTTCCTGTATTGTTTATTTTATGTATTTATTTTTGTGGGAACAAAATAGAAGACGTTTAGCAGAATGTTCTCACTTCTCTTTTTCATACAATGAAAGTCAATGGGAACAGGGGCTTTCAACTACAAAAATGACAAAAAAGCACCACAAAATTAGTCCATATGACTTTTCTGATAGATTCACAGTTTATTTCTATGGAAAAGAGCAGTGAGAAAATTCTGCGAAATATCTTCTTTATTATTCCATGGAAGAAAGAAATTCATGAAGGTTTAGACTGAAATGAGGGGGAGTAAATTAGGACAGAAGTTAAATTTTTGTCTGAACTTAAATGTAAAGTCTAAACTACACAAGCTGAGGAGAAAGTCACAAAATTCTCATAGCTAACACTGAGAGGAAGTACTGGCTCACACTCATGAAGAAGGGTTAATACATGCAGGACATGCACAATAGATGAATATCACTCATGCAGTGGGTACAAATTTAATAATAAAAAAGGAATATTCCGTTTTAAATTATGTCCACAGAAAATAATGAAATGATGTCAACAGGAAATAGATTCAAATATACACAATTCTGTACATTATTTTTTTTAGAATGTATAAATGATTACAACAATAATATAATTACAATGGACATCTATGGGGCAAGAGTACAAAGATTGTAGTGTTGAAGTCGACAGCATACTGTTGAAAGCTTAACTTGTGTTTAACCTGGAATATATCCAAAATATGAACAGCTTTCAGAAACAAAAACATGAAAATTGGATATGATTTTTGCAGCAAGTTTGACAGCAAATTGTTATATTCCTCGTGAGAATGTCACACTATATTGCAAATGCTAATTTTTTCAACCAAAGTGGGAAACATGAGGTGACAGTTCACATGCATGTGTTTATGAGTAATTAGGGCCACTCGATAACATCACATGACAATTTAAAAAAACATCTCAACTTACTCTCCTGGACTGCTGTTTTTTCAGTGAGGCATTTAGAAAAAACGATTTTGTTAATAGCTGCTCTTCACAGTCATTCCAAGCACTTAAAAAATTGTTGTGGAAGATGATTGACAGTAACAAATATATTGATCCCCTCCACCATCATCCCATTAAATACCTGAGTAAGACTAACAAATTACTCCATAAGACCCTATCTATTTATTACCCTGACAAATTATGTATACCGCCATGCACTGCAACATAACATGCTATTGATTTTTGTGAATCAATAGTTGTGGGTGACCTCTGAAACAGGAAAAACAGAACACGGCGGTGGATTAAACACCGCAGTCCTCCTATAAAACTGAACACAGAGCCAGTGTATGTACTGCTCACTGCAGAAATACTATGTGAAAAGTGGCCGGGCTAGTTGTCACACTTTTTTCTCTATTATATATATATATATATATATATATATATATATATATATTTATTTCTCAGTGTAGGCTTATCTTTGAAAATCAGCTTACTGAGAAATAGCCATTGTTCCAATCTGTATCTCCATACATATAAGCCTTCAATTAAACAATGTGAGATCATATCCAGAGGAAGTGTTATAAAATCCTAAACTGAACAGCAAGGAGTGTAAGAGGTAAAAATAAGCATGAGAAATTTGTGAAAGAGCTAAAGCGGGAAAAAATGTGTGTGCAAACGGAGCGGGAATGAAGAGTAAATAGTGTCAATCTTTACCTCTTTGAATTCGGGCTGTAGAGCAGGTCTGAGCTGATCTCTGAGAGAACAGAGCTGTCTCTTCTCCTCATCCTGCTTATGTTTGATCTGTATAAACACACACATACACACAAACACACTCTTAAATTCCTCTAAACACATACACTTCCTCTCCTCCTTGTACATTCCTCCAGCCGTGTTTTTCTAAGCATGATTACTTAAGCTTTAGGTGAGACAATTGCCCTTTCATTAAGTTGTCTGTCACTCACAACATCACTGCAGCTAAAAGAAACCGCCTGCTTTACCCACCACAAATTTGCCCTTAAATGGGATTTACTGTTACCAACTGCTTACAGTGCTGATTTCTTCCCTGATTGTGTCAGCATGAGGTAGATCGGCAGAGGCTGGTAACCTTGATGTGCCGTGATCCAAGCAAACAAAAGCCACACTGTTGTGGTTCTTCAAGGTCTAGAGTGAAATCTAGGACGTTAGCTGCTAAGGCAATATTTCTCATTTTCGCTTAGTTTCCATTTTTCATCTAATATTTCAATTTGATTTCAGCTTTATTTCACAAACCTACAATATACACTCACCTAAAGGATTATTAGGAACACCATACTGTGTTTGACCCCCTTTCGCCTTCAGAACTGCCTTAATTTTACGTGGCATTGATTCAACAACGTGCTGAAAGCATTCTTTAGAAATGTTGGCCCATATTGATAGGATAGCATCTTGCAGTTAATGGAGATTTGTGGGATGCACATCCAGGGCACGAAGCTCCCGTTCCACCACATCCCAAAGATGCTCTATTTGGTTGAGATCTGGTGACTGTGGGGGCCATTTTAGTACAGTGAACTCATTGTCATGTTCAAGAAACCAATTTGAAATGATTCGAGCTTTGTGACATGGTGCATTATCCTGCTGGAAGTAGCCATCAGAGGATGGGTACATGGTGGCCATAAAGGGATGGACATGGTAAGAAACAATGCTCAGATAGGCCGTGGCATTTAAACAATGCCCAATTGGCACTAAGGGGCCTAAAGTGTGCCAAGAAAACATCCCCCACACCATTACACCACCACCACCAGCCTGCACAGTGGTAACAAGGCATGATGGATCTATGTTCTCATTCTGTTTACGCCAAATTCTGACTCTACCATCTGAATGTCTCAACAGAAATCGAGACTCATCAGACCAGGCAACATTTTTCCAGTCTTCAACTGTCCAATTTTAGTGAGCTCTTGCAAATTGTAGCCTCTTTTTCCTATTTGTAGTGGAGATGAGTGGTACCCGGTGGGGTCTTCTGCTGTTGTAGCCCATCCGCCTCAAGGTTGTGCGTGTTGTGGCTTCACAAATGCTTTGCTGCATACCTCGGTTGTAACGAGTGGTTATTTCAGTCAAAGTTGCCCTTCTATCAGCTTGAATCAGTCGGCCCATTCTCCTCTGACCTCCAGCATCAACAAGGCATTTTCGCCCACAGGACTTCCGCATACTGGATGTTTTTCCCTTTTCACACCATTCTTTGTAAACCCTAGAAATAGTTGTGCGTGAAAATCCCAGTAACTGAGCAGATTGTGAAATACTCAAACCGGCCCGTCTGGCACCAACAACCATGCCACACTCAAAATTGCTTAAATCACCTTTCTTTCCCATTCTGACATTCAGTTTGGAGTTCAGGAGATTGTCTTGACCAGGACCACACCCCTAAATGCATTGAAGCAACTGCCATGTGATTGGTTGATTAGATAATTGCATTAATGAGAAATTGAACAGGTGTTCCTAATAATCCTTTAGGTGAGTGTATAATATACATACAATAGTTTTAGTTAACAGTAATAAGTTTGGTTGCTAGAAATTTTAGAGAAAATGTGTATGCTTGTTACCAGGTCAAGCAACAAAATCAGCAGGCTAACCAGCTAAACCAGTTAAACAGCAGTTTGACCAGACTAGGAGTCCAGATAGACTAGCTTAATCTACATTTAGGATAGTTTAAGTTTATTATCTTTTGTTTAAATCTCTAACACCACTAACAGTTAGTGTTGGGTATGTCACTCAAGTAATTACATCTTCAATAGTGTAATTATATCAATGTACTAATTACTCTATTACATTACTTATTAAGTACAGTCTTCCTATGTCAACCTCGGCCAGTTGAACAATACAAGGATAGACATGAAACTGCTCTTTTCATTCTTTCAAATAAATAATATAAAATTGCATAAATTATTCTTGAACTGACCAAATAATTTAAGAGGGTTACATTAAAAACATAAATCTCTATGTTAAATCCACTATTGTTTAATATAGAATTATTTTATAGTCTATAATGCAATTACATCAGAAGTAACTAATTAAATGAAGGAAAAATTAAAAGTAATCCCTTGCTTTACTTTTTCAAGTTAATAAATTACAGTAATTAATTACTTAATAATGCATTACATACCAACACTGCTAACACTTCAATGTGAGTCACTTGGTTATATCAGTGTGGTTGTAGACGTATTGAGATGATCGACTTAACTATTTTTAGCCAACAAACTATTGATCTGGGCTGGGCTGACTATATAAAACGGAGATGAAGGAACATTGTTAGCTTGGGGGATGATGGGATACCATAAAAATGCAGAACAACTGCCCAAAAGTCATTCGCTGCTCAGCATGAGCAATCTACTCTGAGATTGAGATATATTTGGCTGAGAATGAACAAAGGATGCAAAGGATCCTCAGCACTTTTCAATTTAAAAATAATGACCTCGTCTATGGGATGGTATATGAAGAAATATTAATACACTAGGGGACTGTAGGACAGCATGGACTGAGTGATCAGGGCCAATATCATGCTCATCCTGAGCTTCATTGCTGCAAAGTAAGTTGTGCTCTGAATACCGATTAGCCCGGTCTGCCTCATGAACACACACACTCAGGGCTGATCCTGTTTGTCTGAATGGATTTTGAGTATACAGGGCCAAACTATCAAATTGCTTGACAGATGATGTACAGGTAATCTGTCTGAATTATTTCACGCTAGTTTGGTTTTCAACGCCTTTCAATGCATTTTGACCTTTCCACAAGTGAGCCATTACTCCCTAAATGGTAAAAAGTTTTAATTGAAAGGTCAGTTTAATATAATGATGCTAAACTAAAAAGTAGAGCTGACAAGCGCTACAAATATTTGGACAATTCTTTACTTTTTTTCACATTAAAGTCTTAATCATGTTAAGGGATAGAATGTGGTGGGTAATTAATAATAATAATAATGTCATTTAAATGATACGTTTTATAATATTCAGAATTAGTAATAGTAATTGTAAGAGTTATGTTTGCTTTCATTGTGTTTTAGTTCAGTTTTCCCTGTTCTTGCTTTGCATGCATTCTCATTCATTGTTTGTTGCCTTGGCTTCTAATTAAGTTACACACTTGTTTCCTTTTAGTTCATTAGCTTGTATATATAAATTGCCCTGATATATGTATGTATTTATTTATTTATTATTTTTGGATTATAAATACAGTAGTAATGATAGGCTAATTAGTAATAATTCAATAATAATAAAAAGAACAACTATAACAACAACAATTATTATTTATATGCCAATATATTATTATTATTAGTGGTAGTAGTATTAGTATCTCTTTCCCCTTCAAACAGCATTACAATGTAGTTTGGTTAAACCTGTCGCCGTCAGTTTGAGGTTTCAGTATTTTGTATAGGAAGCCTTAGGCAGCACAAAAGCATGAATGAAAGCATAGGAAAAAAAACAACACTTTAGAGGGCCGTTCACCCTGATTTCTTCCACTTTCGTAAGTGTGTTTGCGGCTTATTGTCATTGTAAGGTGGGATTTGAGCCACAGCATGTCATCTGCCCCACATTAAGAACATTTGTGTGCAAGCAGCAAGCATGGGCGGAATCACTCACAGCGCTCAGCTGTCCCGTAAAGACCTCAATGTACTGCTTCAGCTTTTCCGTTGTAGCCAGACACTCCTGAAAGAAACTGACAGGGGAAAGCAATTTTAATCATAGATCCCGTAAGAAAACAGCGTCAATTGTCAAGGCTGCATCTCTCTTCCCCTCTCGCTCTTCTTTCAATGGTTTCTCATCCTCTCAAATTCCAGTCACACTTAAAACAGCGTGACAGACTCGAGCGTGGAGGGATGTGACTATAAAGCATGCATTGAACACTGATGGTGTTGGTGCCAAGCAGACACAGGTGCACTGCCTGGCCCAGAGATTTCTCCAAACACGGATGACTTTGTTCATTTTGCCATGGTCTGGTTCCTTTCATTGGACGACTCTGTTGTGGGGGACTGATTATATTGCTTTACGAGGACTTTTCATCTGAAGGATTGTTATATATAGAAATGCATAATAAACTTCCAAAACCTTCAAAATCACAGTTTTATCACTGACTTACTTGCACTGAGAGTGGTAGTGTTTGATGAGGTTCTGTAGCAGGTCTACTCCTTTCTTGGTCTTAATTTCATTTACTTTGATGAGGTACTGTTTAAGAGGAAAACCGATGAGAATAGAAAAAAGAAAAACGTTATTTTAGAAAGTAATAATATTTCACAATAGTACTATTGTACTTCATTTATTAATTTTTTTGCAAATAAATGCAGCCTTGGTGAGAATTAGAGATGTTTTTCATAACCATAAAAAAAAATGACCAACCCCAAAATTTTAGTAGTGTGGGTAGTTTGTGTGTAGATATACATACAGTCAGAGACTGTTTAGAGCAGGGGTTCTCAACCAGGGGCCAGGGGCCCACTAGGGGGCCTCAAGATGACTTAAAATTATTTAAAATAAGAAGAAACAAGCATAAAAAAAACCTAAAACAACTCAAAATCAAGATATTTCAGTAACTGTCTTGTTCTGTTTTGGTTTCATTTTCATTCTGTCCCCTGTGCTGCTTTTTCTGGCTTCTGTTTGTTTGAGTTTCTGTTTAGTGTTTATGATTTCTGATTGGATCTCTGTGCGTGTGCATTTATACCCTTAGTTTCCTTTGTTCATTGTTCCGTGTCATCTCAGTATTATGTGGTTAAGTTATTCTTTTCTCTTTATAATATCACAATTAATTATTTTTTCCACACAGTATAACTGGGATCATCATATTCGCCCTTGGTGGGCATCAAAAAGTTTGAAAACCCCTGGTTTAAAGTAATAGTAACCTGGGAAATGTTTTACCCATTCAAATTTACCGACAATAACACAGATGAGCTGATCTCAGCATTAATCTAACAACATCTGTCATGTTCCTCTATTGCAGCTTACACAAACACGATCTTACTTCACACATCTGTAGCTGGAACATCCTGCGCTCTTTCTCCATCTCTTCTGCAATCTCTCCTCCGCTCACCTCTGTGCGCACCATACCGTACTGCTTCGCCAGTTCCCTCTTCTCTTTCTCGATCTTAGTGCTGAAGGGGACAGAACGCATATGACAGTGTGGTCATGACTTTTGTATTGTGTAGTACTACATAACAGAAAACTGATGGTATGTATCTGATTTGTGGTTACAGTAAATTAGAAACACAATACAAAAGTATTGTAAGAGAAGTGAAGCGAGACACTTACGAGAATTACAATTAAATGAAGAACAGAGATTAGAAGGAGCAAAATAACGATACAGGAAGTGCTGTAAGAATCTCTGGTAACAATTAAGGATCAGGAAGTTAGATTAGAAGGTCATGGGTTTTCGATATTGCTATGTTAAACCTATAACTTACCGTTTTTAACTTTAAAGTATTTTATTTTCGCTTACTAATAGATTACAATGACAACTAATTGTGATTAATCTCTTTTGTATACATTTGTGTAGATGACACACATATGCGAATGTAGTTTGTAGAAGGGTCATTCAACGGAAATGTCAATTTTTCTGTCCCTAGCCTTTACAGAAATATTACACTTAAAAAAACACTTTAGAATTACAATTTCTTTACATTTAAAAATAAAACAATATGTTATTTGAACAATTACACCTTCTTGAGCCATCAAGTGGCAATATTTTATTTTTTATTAATTATATTGAATTCCAAACACCACAGAAGTGCCCGTCCCCACAGTCATGTACAGAGGGAAAATGCTTTATTTTGAGGTCAATAACAGGTTTTTACACCATTTAAAATACAATAATGTATACATAACTATCTAATATATTATGTAAATGACATAAAAAATGAAATGCAGAATAAATATTATAAAATTTATAATGAAAGTAGTGGTCCCCTGGAGTTGTGTCACTGGTATTACCGTTAAACAAAAATCTCTTATTTTGAAATAAAGATCACACTGATGACATCACTTGACTTCCTTCTTCCAATTTCCGGAATTTCTATGAAGAAAAGCCCATAATAAATCCTCTGTCTCTTTTCAGTCATCAGAAATATTCTCATTTATCTCATGATTTCATATGAAGCTTTTAGTTGAAGTCACTGGTATGACCTAATTTATTGTTAAGTAATTGTAAAAAAAAAAATGAGAATACAAATGTATTAAACTACTTAATTTAGTTAGTATACCATGATTGACAACATCTGGTTTGATACCTTGCAGCAGCCATTTTGTAAAATGAATTTTTCATGAAAATTGTCACTGGTGTTACTGTCACTGGTATCACCTTTCTTATGGGTAACACCAGTGACTCCCATTTATAGATAAACTTTACTCAAAGCTATTCATTTAGATTATTTGCCAAATGTAACAATTTAGTCTCATCTACTTAATTATAGTTGAAGAATAATGATATTTGGTCTTATGCATGTCATTGGTGATTCATTGTGTCACTGGTGTTACCGGGGTTTTTTTCTGTCACATTAAATACAATGCCATGTGACATGATAATAATTTTACATCCATTTAATTCTGCTACACTCAAAAGTTAAGATTTAAAGGATTGCATCATTACTTGATTTGAACTGGTTTTCAAATATTTTCATTGTTATAGCAAATACAAGGTTGCACAAATGAACTAACCTCATTCAAGCACACTTTTAACAAGCCTGATTAAAATAAATAAAACATAATCTCCTTATTTGTTGCATTATTATTATTGTTTGGTAACTCTGACTACATGTGCTGAAAAATTTTTGAACTAATATTTTATAAAAACATTTAATATTGCCAAAGAAGTAAGGTAACCCCAGTGACAAAAAAATGGTACATGCGATCTTTAAATAAATGCACAAAAAATATAAACAATCATTAAGCTGTCATTTATGCATATTCATAAAGTCAAAGGGTAATCTAATAATGTGGTGTAAGTTTAAATGTTAGAAAAAGAAATACATTTTAAGACATCTTGCCATACCAAAAGAGGACGTTTCTGTAGAATGACCCAGAATGTATTTTTACAAAAAAAGAAGTGAATTTCATAGTATTAATGTTATTGCTACATGATATCCATTTTAATATGTGCAAAAAGGACTACATTCCTGATTTGGTGTCCATGAAGGAACATGTTGGGAAATACTGGTTTAAACAACCATGTCTTGTAATAAAGGTGTGAAGTAATGTGAAAAGGAGAACAAGTGAAAGTGACTGTGATCCTGCAGTGAATATGTAACAGAAAATATATCCTACACAGTTTCTAAAATTGGTTGTTGTTTGAAACACACACACATACACAGAGAGAGAGAGAGAGAGAGAGAGAGAGAGAGAGAGAGAGAGAGAGAGAGAGAGAGAGAGAGAGAGAGAGAGAGAGAGAGAGAGAGAGAGAGAGAGAGAGAGACCAGAGATAAAATGTTTTCTTTTTGTCTTTCTTATTTTGAAGCTTTTACAATATCTCAACTAATGAATCAAAATAATCCAACACTCAGTGGGTGTCAAAAAACACAGGCACAAATGGCTGGAATTAGCCTAATTTAAAACCAGTGTTATAAAAAGCACTCACAATTTATTTTCATAATCTCTCCATGCTTTGTCAAAGGGCTTTTTCAGGTCCTGACGAGATGAAAACAAGGAGTTAGAACAGAGTCAGACTTACATCATCTTACAGTAAAAGACGAGAATCGAGACAGAATTAAGAGAAGTAATCATCTGTCTTGTTACCATCTGCTCACATTAAACACCGTGCTTGTGGTAATGATCTATGTAATGGATTTCTGCTTGTAGAGGCAGAGAACACGTCTTGTTGCCTTCTGGGATATAATATCCAGTGCATCTCATTTGCATCATATACTGGAACACTAACAGAGCAACAAATGTAAGTTACATGGTACCATATGTTTTGGACTTGGTACAATTGTCATTTCCTCTTTTTTGGGTACCATAAGAAAATGGTATCATTCACTATAATGGTATAAAACATGTCCTGGCAAAGGTAATATTTATACAAATATTTTAAATTTGATTTATTCAAATATGCTGAACTTATAAAATTAGTAATTGCCATTTTTTTTAAACCTATGAAGTTTATACTTTTAACTTACTTTAATTAAATACTTCACATTTATTCTGAATTTATAGTATGTACAATATTTTATTTATTTTATATTTAATAACATTTTTATTGTTTTTTTTTTTTTTACCTTTTTGCATCGCAAATTATATTATCAGCCTAACTATTTTAATACTTGTATATAAAGGAAGATAAAATACTAAAATCACAATAATTTACAAAGCAATCACAAGACAGTATTGTATTGAAGAGTTCAACTTACACCTTTGACCTCTTTCAGATCCCCTTTTACCAGCGAGTCCAGGAAGAAGTTAATGTTGTGCAACATGCTCTTCAACTGATAAAACGGAAATATTAAAACGGAAATTGTGAGCTGGCAAAACCCATTTATTGCCAGTTTATGTCAGCGTTTGCTTGCTTTCTTGCAAACAAACACATTAAAACAAGTTTTACTAAAATCAATTTAATAGGAACACATCTAGAAAGGATAAGGAACTGTGGACAGGGAGGTGAGAAAACCTTTGGAGGGAAGCTAAGCTGTTTGCAGATAAGGCATATCTTGTAAGACCAAACTGTGACTAATATTAAAAACACTCTTTGGGATTATTCAGAAGCCTGACAGAAAACATTCCCTGAAGCTCCATGAGTCTCACCAAGTTCTTCATTGGCATCAGCAGTTCTTTGGAGAATTCTGCAAACTTATTAAAGGCAGAGGCCACTTCCTGTTCTCCATTGTTGCGGAAATTCACAGCCAACTTCTCCATGGAATTGATGTATGACTCCAAATGTGATATGTGGTCTGGAGAAAGAAAAGCAGAGGAACTTCAGCACAAACCAGGAAAATATAACCAAGAAAACAGGAACATTTGACTAAAAGCATATGACACACAAAAAAAAAAACAGATAGAGGTGTTGATGGGTTTGGGTCTCATAGGGGCATTTGCCTTCCACTTCATTCATATTCATACGTAGGAGGAAATGCTTTGCATGCCCTGCCAGTCTCTCTAATGAACTATCAAAGAAACAAAAATGAATGCATGCTGCCTACCTACAGTCTGATACAGCATGATATGGTAACGCTTCCTTTTACAGTCCTGTTACCCATATGTACTTATTATTGTAATTACAATTACTGGGTAATAACTAGGTTCTAACCCTGAACCTACCCCTAAACCTACCCCTAACCCATGTACTTACCTTATATTAGCCAGTACTTTAGGTAAGTACACGTAAGTACTGTACTGTAAAAGGAAGCGTTACCCATGAAATAAAAACAAATATGGCATAGTGAATACTTGCACCTAATCAAATCACCTGACTAAACGAGAAATGATACCCTTTCAGGTACTTTCTCACACATTTAAACACAAATAAACCCAACAGATTCAATATTATTTTATGTTACCTTGACCAGAGAAATGCTTTGCTTTGGCTGCTTTCTTCATTTTCTGCAAGATTGTGCGGTCAGAGTCCAAGGCCTTTTGAAAGAAAAAAGTTAGGAATCAACATTGAGTTAGGGATTCCCATTCGGCAGATACCAGTTGTTTTTTTAAACTGGATTAGTGAATAAGTGTAGTTTGCAGGAATAAATTACATTTTAAAATATATATCAAAATTTCTTATATATCAAAAAAGTTAGGTATCAAAACACCTTTCATAATATTATTACTGTTTTTTATTGTATTTTTGATCAAACAAATGCAGCCTTGGTGAGCATAAGAGACTTCTTTCAAAAACATTAAAAGATCTTACAGACCCCAAACGTTTGACCGGTATTGTATCATAAATGCAGTGTAAGTCAGTTTGGATAAAAGCATCTGCCAAATGCATAAATGTAAATCTATTGTAATTCCAGACTATTCATATAACATCACTTCAGTTTGTTTAAAATATTATTGAAATTCCCACAAACACAAAGCACACATAAAGGCACACAAGTATTGCTTAGCACAAACACAACTTGAAATGGCTCCTTACAGAAACACATTTCCCGGTTCAAAAACAGCAATTACATGCAATCATGAAATGATTATGAAATCATGAAAGGCTGAGAGAGTTTGCCCTCTGAAACTGGACAGCTGAAATTACACCTGCTACACCACGCTATACTAAAATCTAATCTACTAAATTAAGCAACAATCTGGTTACTATAAGGCAGCAAATGGAGCATGAAGTCTGATTTTTGTGTCACTAAATAAGCAAGAGCAAACATGGAAAAATGAATGAACAGCTTCATAGTCGCTTGCCATCTGAGAGCATGATACATTGCTGTGTGTGGTTCAAAATAGTGTGACTGTTGTGTGCTGGGGTGAAATCGTCCACAATTTGTCACGTTTTAAAATGTATTTTTACCTACCACAACAGTGTATGGCTGATGTACAATAAGAAAACATGTGATTCATTATGGGGCCATTTAAACAAGATTCCAGATTTCATTCCATATAGTATTGACATATGCCTGCAGGCTTACAGTCTATGAAAGTCTAGTTTCTACACAGATTTAATGGGAAACCGTATATCCTGTCCCAATTATCCCTCCCTTCACTCAAGATAAACAGTGTGCTCCTCAGGGTGTATGAAGCCCTGAAGAGGGTTGTAACACTTCCCTAGCTCATATCCCATCAGCCCGTTTAGCACCGTCCTGAACAGCTCCCATCTTTTTAACCACAGGTGATTTAGCATAATCACATTTTCACAAAGATATAAAGTCTCCATAGTCGTATTGAATATTTAAGACTTGAGGGAGTCCCCAAAGAGCTTTTGACAAAGCAGATTTTTTTGTTTGCTCCAGTTCAGAAAAAAAAAAAAAAAAGAGATTAGCTGCCATGTTCTGTAAGTGCCACTAATGATCAAATTGAGAAGTCTGTTATCTACAACAGTACATTTAGAAAGCACTGCAAAATGTGAATCAACTTAAAACAGTGTTTTTACTAATACAACCACATCATATAATTCAATGCATGGAAGAACTGCATTGCGCATGAACTCCAGCCCTCTAAAGGCTGGAATACACTTCAGGAGGACTTTTCCCCAGATTTTACAGACTGGAAGAGTTGACATTAAGGCAGGAATACACTTGACCTTTCAAACCTAAACAGATTTTAAAACACTAATCATCATACACTTTGGCGAAAGTAAATAGTTACAGAGAAAAACTGGGCATCATACACTAAATGACTAAGAATCACAAACTACCTGACTTTCATGTCATCCATACTCAACAAACTCACCCAGAAACATCAATAAAACAATAAAGGGGATGGATGTCAGTTAAGGGCCATTTATACAGAATGCTTTTTTTTTGCTGTAAGTCACCATGAAATCAAAAGTGACAAATCATTTTTTTCTTTTTTTATATTGCAGTATTTAGTACAAATGATTTAATCATGCATATCACTAATTTATTTTATTGTATTATGTGCCCTCATAATCTTTAATCAAAAAACTCCCCCTACAGATTTATTGTAGACACATATTTTCTCTTCACTGATGACTTTTACTGGGCGGGACAACCTGTCACTCACATGAGATCACAGCAATAGCAAACCACAACCATCCAATTAATTCCAGATAGACAAAATCAAGTCCCGCCCTATACATTTTTTCTTGTTCAAGAAGCGTTTCACATGGATATACACATCACAGTAGAAAAGAAAAGACTATTGCAACTTCTGTGTCATGCTGATTTTAAAAATATGAGACGCAGGACAGTGGAAATGAAAAAAGAAACATGTCTTTGTTGAACTTCTTTTAACTTGAGCGAGGCGTGAGCGCAATGTAGCACATTTAAAAGCAGCATGGGGAAAAACTAAAATCGTGTTGGATTTTGTGAACAGTGTGAACAGTCACACATTTATACAGTAGGGAGTCAAATAATGGACAGTTTGAGTTACGACTGTTTTTAAATATGGAAGTCGATTCCAAAAATCGACTGCATTCATAACATTCTTGTCATGTTAATTTTACTGAATGTTAAGTGCACAAGAGGAATTTCATAACATGATTAAAACTCAGTAACATAACTACACAGAAAACAGTTTAACTAGATTCTTTGTTCTCCTTAGCCTTGATGAAATCAACTTCCTTCACAAAAAAAAAATCCCAGTTTCTATGGAGACTTCTTCCTGTTTCAAAGCCAGGGACCTCTGTCTCTAACACTCGTGTCTTATCTTGCTGTTTTTATTCTCTAAGGAAACAGGCCTGTCAAATGCCAGCATAAAGGATTATACGCCATTAATATTCATTGGTGTTACACATGATAGTGTGAAGTGGAAAATGTAATTCACTGTTATTACCGTAGTTCAGAGAGCCCGTAATGAACTCCTCATACAGCACAATTGAGAAACATGTTGGGCATGATGTGAAATCATCTGACACTGAGCAAGAGTCAACTGTCATACAACCAACACTTAAAGGGATAGCTGATCCCAAAATGAAAATGCTGGCACTATTTACTCACTCTCAAACTTCTATGATCTTTTTTCTTCTGTGCGACACAAAAGGAGAAATTGATTGTAGAATTTCCAAGCTGCTCTTTTCCGAATGAATGCTGACCACGGAGGCCAACATAAATTTAGTTTGTTTCTCACACAACACTATGGCTTCAGAAGACTTGTAATACAGTGTAAAAGTCATATGGACTATTTTTATGATGCTTTATGTTGTTATTTTGGTCTTTGAAATGTGCTAGTGAGTCACCACCCACTTCCCTTTGTGTTCCACTGAAGAAAGTCATACAGGTTTGGAATGAAGGTGAATACATACTGACAAAATATATATTTTTTGGCAAACTATCTCTTTAAATTAAGCAACCAGGAACCGAACACATTTAGACGCAGAGCAGCAAGTTTGCATAAAGGATGTTTAGCTTTCTTATTTTTAGCCCTTCCATTTAGCTCTGTTATGTGTACACTGGGCCAATAACAATTCAACCGTGTGGTATTTTACCTGGAACGGCATTCCATGCTGAAATTCACATTCCCCTGACTAGGCAGAGTGTGAATTCTGTACTCAGCATGACTAACCTCACAGATCTTTTGTTCTATATTGCAGCAATGGTGCCTGGCTTTTTGGATTGGCTTTTGTGTGCATTAAGTGCTTGGGAAATTCCCTACAGCACACATTAGAACAAAGTAGGACCAGTGATAAACAGCCATAAATACTAATGGTAAACAGGGACAGTTTAAAGACTGGCTTACGAAGGTTGTGACCAAAAATGTAGTTGTTGTTCAGTTTACATTTAAATTTTTACACAAAAAGAACCGCCATCTGATTATGCCTATACCATTGTGCTTGGGAGGGAACCATTGAACTCTTTTACATAGTGTGTTTCCTTAAACTGCAGAAACTCTGTTTAAACTTTGTTGTGAATGTTTTTCACACCAATATGAAATAATATCATATATTTGGGATACCCTGATTGGATCCTATAATATTATAATATGGCATAGAATATATTTAGCATGCGATTCAGTGGGCAATCATTTTAATGAATGGATGGATAAATATAAAATTTAGAACATTTACATTTAAACATTTAGAATTTCATATTAGTGAAAATGAAAAATAGTCATATTTAAAAAAAAAAAACATTTTTTACTTTTATTTACTGAAATATAACATAGAAAATAAAATTTAGAATTAAATTATTTGTTGATTCTGCTCCGGTTTTCACCCACATATGAAATAATATCTTAATAGTGGATAATACTGTATCTATTATTATAATATAATATGTCATATATCGTTTTTAATTATAGGGATAGTTCTAAAAAAAATCCTAGTTATTGTACAAATTGTCAGTTAACAACAGTGCTGCTTCTCATATTTTAAATAAAATCGTATTTATTTTAAGTTTATTTTAAGCCAATCCACCGTCGGTGTATGAATAAGTGAGTGAATGGGTGAATGTGAGGCAAAATGTAAAGCGCTTTGGTGGCCATTGGGTCTGTAAAAGCGCTATATAAATGCAGTCCATTTACCATTACCATTACCAAGTTAATTTTCCCAAGCTTGTTTCTATTCCCATGGGAGAGAAAAAAGTATATATTTACTGAAACAATTCAAGAACTCAAATGTTCATTTAAGTCCAATTTAAAGAACTTCAAATGTCAATCATTCACAACAGAACACAATGCTTCTTGTACTGACACATAAAAGACATACCATAAGACATGCAGTAATAATGTTTTGAGGTCTGAGGCATTTTATAATTGAGGAGCACGACCAGATGTTTATCTCCCTCTTTTGTGCTTAGTGAAGCACAGCCCACACGGACACACAGTTCACTTTCTTCACCACTGGTGGATTTGAGCTCCTTAACCAAGATGGCCAGAATTGAAACTAAATCAATACCACAATAATACCTCATAGCCATGGTAGAGTTCACTTCCTCACAGTCATTAAATGTCAATTATGAGTAAGATAAGGTAAAAAGTAACTAGAAACTACCTGGTCATTTTTCCACTGGCATCTGGGGTAGCCCATTAGTTTATACAAAACAAAATGTAGTCCAGATCTACTATGACCGCTTATTTCGACCTGTGTGTCTCATAAAGTGGTGAAGCAAGCTATTTATATTGTGCCCACAGTGCTCTAAAGACTAAAGATAATAGTTTGAGGTAAACACACACACATGCTGAGAAATAGCATCACTCAGATGAAGCTCAGCAACATGAGGAATCCAGTGCAGGTTTATCATGAAGTCAGCAGATGTTTTATGATATAAAATAACATGCTGATACCACTTCCTTTGCAAGTGCAAGGTGTTGCCAAGGGGCTTTATGACATTCTGAAATAAACCTTTTAATGGATGTTCAAAATAAGACTCTTCTAAGGAACTCAAAACTAGATATTTTGAGAAGTCTTGGTTACCATTGACTACCACTGTATGAAACAAAAGCCCACCGAGACACTTCTCACAATAATAACGATTTGGTTGAGTAAATGATGACTGTTCATTTTTGGATGAATTGCCCCTTTAGTTTAAGTCCAAAAGAAAATTGGATCAATGTTTGTGGAATTCCTAGGTAAGTGCATCAAATTGACTTTCATAGCACTAAGTGCTGCAGTAATTCACAATAGTGCATTTAACTGGGTCCCTGGGGAAACAATGCCACAGGGTAAATAAATACTTTTACCTATTGAATTAATTTCATTTTATTTTAAAGGTGCTCTCAGTAGTATTATTTTTCTAAAAGATTAACATAATTCATTTCAATTCATTTGAAATATTCTACTAATTTCTTTAGGCCTATGTGTAAAACGTTTTAATGAGGAAAACACGAATGAGTGTACCTTTGTTCATTCTTAACAAATATTTCAGGAATGAGGATAATAGTTGTATCAGGTGTCTCCACTCTGAATGAATGGGTAACCCTGCTTTACTTTTTACAGAAAAAACAAGGCATGACACAACAGCCTCGGCTGCTCCTGTTGGTGTGGCAGATTATCCAAGCACTCCAATTATCTTTCTTTATTCCTCTCCAGTGCATCTGCTAATGTATAATAAAAATCCCAAATCGCCCAAATATTTAGTGTTGAAGAGAGATAGCAGAGGTGTGTATTGGATCATCATCAGAAATGTCCAGGGAAATATCTCCAGCTCCTGCTTTGTCATTAAGTCACATGACCCAAACACAGACTCTATTATTGTATGGGATTCCTATTATCTCTCTTGAGCTCAGTGCAGATTAAGGCAAAGCATCTGTGTTGTCTAATATCTGGTTGGTGATTAATCAATCTTGACTTCTCACGAGTTCAAACATAAAAAGGCAAGTGAGATTCAACTTTAAATGAACTGCACAGGTCAGATTAATACTGTACCGAGAGATTATCAATAGGGTTGAAAACATTCACTATTTAAAGGAATATTTAACCCATACAATTTAAATGTCCAAACATTTTCATGTCCATACAATGAAAGTCAATGGGGTCCAATGTTATTTTGAGCTCCATTGACTTATAATATGGAGAAAATCATCCTTCAATATATCTTCTTTCGTGTTCCACCGAAAAATAGTCATACAAGTTTGGAACAACATAAGGGTGAGTAAGTGATTTTTCATTTTTGGTTTATTAAATCCCTTTAAGTCATATATTTCATAGATTTGCCCTCCTGTGCTTCTAATAAGTTGTTTTGAAGGGCTTGTCCAAGCAGCAGGATTTGCTTCAGCGCCTGTAAATCTGCACTAAGGCAGATTAAACTGAGGTGTCCTGGTCTGAGACGAGTCGTGAGGTTTCTGGGTTTTGGATAGTGGAGGCTGACAAGTTCAGAAGAAAGACCACCACTCGGTCTCTCTTATAACCCTTTTGTCCTGAACCCCCCTGAGGCTGTGCGTGTGCAAAGCTCACTATATAAGGTTCATACCCTGTCACAATCAGGCATGTAATGTGATGCACTGTTCAATTTGTATGGCTGTGCATTGCACAGACCAGGTCATCGCCATGGTTACTTCACATTCCACTATGTCACTCTTATTAAAGCAGTCATCATTCAATTGTTACCACCCTGACCCCACTGTATGATTCAAATAGGCACAACTGGGGTTCAAAATATAATATGTGTGTGTGTGTGTGTGTGTGTGTGTGTGTGTGTGTGCGCGCGCGTGCGTGCGTGCATGTGTGTGTGTGAACATCATTTTAAACAATTTATATATATATATATATATATATATGTATACACTCACCGGCCACTTTATTAGGTACCCCATGCTAGTAACGGGTTGGACCCCCTTTTGCCTTCAGAACTGCCTCAATTCTTCGTGGCATAGATTCAACAAGGTGCTGGAAGCATTCCTCAGGGAGTTTGGTCCATATTGACATGATGGCATCACACAGTTGCCGCAGATTTGTCGGCTGCACATCCATGATGCGAATCTCCCGTTCCACCACATCCCAAAGATGCTCTATTGGGTTGAGATCTGGTGACTGTGGAGGCCATTTTAGTACAGTGAACTCATTGTCATGTTCAAGAAACCAATTTGAAATGATTAGAGCTTTGTGACATGGTGGAAGTAGCCATCAGAGGATGGGTACATGGTGGCCATAAAGGGATGGACATGGTCAGAAACAATGCTCAGGTGGGCCGTGGCATTTAAACGATGCCCAATTGGCACTAAGGGGCCTAAAGTGTGCCAGGAAAACATCCCCCACACCATTACACCACCACCACCAGCCTGCACAGTGGTAACAAGGCATGATGGTTCCATGTTCTCATTCTGTTTACGCCAAATTCTGACTCTAACATCTGAATGTCTCAACAGAAATCGAGACTCATCAGACCAGGCAACATTTTTCCAGTCTTCAACTGTTCAATTTTGGTGAGCTCTTGCAAATTGTACCCTCTTTTTTCTATTTGTAGTGGAGATGAGTGGTACCCGGTGGAGTCTTCTGCTGTTGTAGCCCATCCGCCTCAAGGTTGTGCGTGTTGTGGCTTCACAAATGCTTTGCTGCATACCTCGGTTGTAACGAGTGGTTATTTCAGTCACTGTTGCCCTTCTATCAGCTCGAACCAGTCTGGCCATTCTCCTCTGACCTCTGGCATCAACAAGGCATTTCCGCCCACAGAACTGCCGCTCACTGGATGTTTTTTCTTTTTCGGACCATTCTCTGTAAACCCTAGAGATGGTTGTGCGTGAAAATCCCAGTAGATTAGCAGTTTCTGAAATACTCAGACCAGCCCTTCTGGCACCAACAATCATGCCACGTTCAAAGTCACTCAAATCAACTTTCTTCCCCATACTGATGCTCGGTTTGAACTGCAGGAGATTGTCTTGACCATGTCTACATGCCTAAATGCACTGAGTTGCCGCCATGTGATTGGCTGCTTAGAAATTAAGTGTTAACGAGCAGTTGGACAGGTGTACCTAATAAAGTGGCCGGTGAGTGTGTATGTGTGTCTGCGTGTCTGTGTGAGTGTGTGTATATACTAACACAAGCACACACACATATAATCACAAGCTTTTATGTTTAGATGCGATAAATCACGATTAATCGGTTTGACAGGTTATATATATATATAATATATTTTTTTAATGACAAAACGACACCTCTGTGCTGCATTTTATTGTAAGTAAATGCACCTTTTTGTACCTGTGGCAAACATCAGCCAAAATACTTCTCACCATGATTTCTGTAACAAGATGACATTCACTAACAGGACAAGATCCTGGATCAACATCCTTTGTTGGTCCTGGAGCAACATCTCTGACTATCAACCAATCCTCCCACCCCTAACCCAAAAATCAGAAGGCAATGATTGGTGGAGCGTTGTTTCAACAATAACAACAATGGATGCGAATCCAGAAACATGACGGTCATATTCATGCTGGTTCCTTAGCTCCAGAAGATTCATGAATTCTAAGCCGGCTTTTGTTTATGCAGCTCAATAAACAGTGGATGAAAGGCACGTGCTCGTGATAATAGGCAACAGCAGAAGCTCGTATTGACGCACGAGCAGGGATATGATATAAGAAGCGCGAGATAGCGGCAAAATACGAAGTAAAGAGTAAAATATAAAATTACAAAAAGAAGATTGCAAAACTTAGGTGCCATTTAATTTACAATAACGAAGAGGAAATGTGGATGTTAACGCGTAATGAAATGTGAGATCCTTCCTCTTTCAGTTGCACGATATGATACAGAAACCACAGAAAAAGGAGCGTACATAATATTAATTAATTTTAACAAATTTAAAAGCAACCTGATTAGATGACTACAATAAAATTCTACGCTTTAACTGATTATTTAGCTTGAAGTCACATGTTTGGGGTTTTGGAAATACGCTCAGCCCAATCGATTCAACAAGACAAAGAGCATCAGTATCTGCTGTAGTAATGTTTGAAGCAGTGTTCGTAGGGGGGAAATATGAAAGACAACACGTTCATTGGCTTAAGCATTTCTGCAATGCAAAACGGCACTGTAAAACATGATAAAGAGCATATTGCCTTCATAAAAAAACACACATTGAGACCTGCTCCTGATATTGGACAGTACAGAACACATTCGTTTCATTCATCATGCTGCTACAACTGTCAAAGACAAAATAACAAGCTATTACAAAAGACGGCAGCACACAAAGGCACAATTTTACCTCCTCAATAAGGTTGGCGGAATTTCGGCAACTTGTCATTTTGGTGTAGAAGGAAGAGGTGGTGGGAGAGCTGTAGTCCTCCAAAGTCTCCACGATAAACTCATCCACTGATATGAACTCAGGCATTTTGGAGGAAAAATAGGAAAATGCAAATTCTCAAAGAAATGTTCACAGTAAGCCCATTAAAAAGGGTGATATTGTTGGTGAGGAAGTAGCTAGAAAAATGTCAAGCTGTTTGAAAAGTTCGCACAGCGGTGAAGTAAAGTGCAGCAGTGTTATGTTTGGCTATAGCGGCGAACGCGCATAAAGAGGAAACCGGAGGGTTTAGTGTCAGTCTAGCGTTGACTGTTCGATAGTACGCATGCGCAGTTGGCCGACGGACCCCACAAAGCACATCAGGCTGGGATGATTAATAATGGTGAAATTATTATAAGCATCTACTGTGGTCAATATGTTAGAAAGCCATAGATAAAAACAATTGAACTGTAATAATAAAACCAAAATAAACCTGTTACACATTCTTGAAAGCTATTCGCATTTATGAATGACCTTACCACCAGATATTTATTATTACTTATTTAATCTCATCTAGTCTCTTAGTTTAATTGATATGCAATAACTGTTTATTCATTTATTTATTTAATGAATTAATACATTAATCAACAATTTATAATAAGTTATAATAAAATAATATGAACATGTATTATTTTATTGTGCAGGAAAATAATTGTGTAGAGATTCAGTTTTCTAAATGTTATCATTCACCCAAGCAAATAAAAAAAAAAATAAACACGCTTTATCAGAGACAAATTACTTCAACTATATCAAATAGTGGTGGGGATTTTAATTCATCACAGTGAATCGAATCTTTCAAATCTGTTGATTCGTTCAGTGACTGGTTACTGGTTACAGTACGTTCAGCCAGTAGGTGGCAGCAAAGTGGCAACAAATGTCTTTTTGTGTATTGAGTGAATCACTGAATCTTTTTCAGATTCGTGAAAAAGCGTTTGGAAGCGATTTGGAAAAAAAGCGTTTGGAAACTCAGAAGCGTTTTCCCAAAAAACGACAAAGTACACTGTAAAAAATGATATTATGAATAAGTTATGACAACATATACAGTTAGGTCCATATATATTTGGACACAGGAACAATTTTCACACTTTTGGCTCTGTATGCCACCAGAATAAAATTAAAACCGTTTACCGTTTTTTAATCCATTCAGCTGATCTCCGGTTCTGGCGGTACCACTTTTAGCATAGCTTAGCATACATCATTGAAGTGGACAAGACCATTAGCATTTCTAAAGAAAAATGACCAAAGAGTTTTGATATTTTTCCTATTTAAAACTTGACTCTTCTGTAGTTACATCGTGCACTAAGACCGACGGAAAATGTAAAGATGCGATTTTCTAGGCTGATATGGCTAGGAACTATACTCTCATTCCTGCGTAATAATCAAGAAACTTCACTGCCGTACCATGAGAGCAGCAGGCGTAATGATATGACGCAGCGCCTGAAAATAGGCCACCTTCCGTCAACACAACGGAACTATTTTCAGGCGCTGCGTCATATCATTACGCCTGCTGCTCTCATGGTACGGCAGTAAAGTTTCTTGATTATTACGCAGGAATGAGAGTATAGTTCCATACCAGCCTAGAAAATCGCAACTTTTCATTTTCCGTCGGTCTTAGTGCACGATGTAACTACAGAAGAGTCAAGTTTTAAATAGGAAAAATATCAAAACTCTTTGGTCATTTTTTTTTGGAGAAATGCTAATGGTCTTGTCAACTCCAATGATGTATGCTAAGCTATGCTAAAAGTGGTACCGCCAGAACCGGAGATCGGCTGAATGGATTCAAAAACGGTAAAAACTCAACAGTTTAACTCTGGGGGAGTTGTAAAATGAGCCTATTTCCAAAAAAAGTGGAGTATCCCTTTAAGTCTGGAACTCATGGACATCACCAAAGACTGGGTTTCCTGCTTTGTGATGCTTTGCCAGGCCTTAACTGCAGCTGTCTTCAGTTGTTGTTTGTTCGTGGGTCTTTCTGCCTTTAGTTTTGCCTTCAGCAAGTGAAATGCATGTTCGATCGGTTTGAGATCAGGTGGTTGACTCGGCCATTGCAAAATTTTCCACTTCTTTTCCTTAAAAAACTCCTGGGTTGCTTTTGCGGTGTGTTTTGGATCATTGTCCCTCTGTACCGTGAAGCGCCTTCCAATCAACTTTGCTGCATTTGGCTGAATCTGGACAGACAGTATATTCCTATACACTTCAGAATTCATCCGGCCGCTTCTGTCTTCTGTCACATCATCAATAAACACCAGTGATCCAGTTCCACTGGAAGCCATTCATGCCCATGCCATCACACTGCCTCCACCATGTTTTACAGATGACGATGTATGCTTTGGATCATGAGCTGTTCCAAGCCTTTTCCATACTTTTTTCTTACCGTCATTTTGGTACAGGTTGATCTTAGTTTCATCCGTCCAAAGAATGCTTTTCCAGAACTGGTCAGGCTTTTTTAGATGTTTTTTGGCATAGTCTAATCTGACCTTTCTATTCTTGATGCTTATGAATGGTTTGCACCTTGTGGTGAACCCTCTGTATTTGCTCTCGTGAAGTCTTCGCTTGATTGTAGACTTTGACAATGACACGCCTACCTCCTGGAGAGTGTCCTTCACTTGGCTGGATGCTGTGAATGGGTTTTTCTTTATCATGGAGAGGATCCTGCGATCATCTACCACTGTTGTCTTCCGTGGACGTCCAGGCCTTTTTATGTTGCTGAGCTCACCAGTGCATTCTTTTTTTCTCAGAATGTACCAAACTGTTGATTTGGCCACTCCTAATATTCCAGCTATCTCTCGGATGGATTTATTTTGTTTTTGAAGCCTAATGATGGCCTGTTTGACTTGCATGGAGAGCTCCTTTGAACGCATGATGTAGGTTCACAGCAATAGATTCCAAATGCAAATACATCAACTTCAGACCTGTTACCTGCTTAATTGATAAAGAAATAACGAAGGAATAGCCCACACCTGTCCAAGAAACCACTTTTGATTCAATTGTCCAATTACTTTTGGTCCCTTGAAAAATGGGGGTGGCTACTCTCAAGAGCTGTAATTCCTAAACCCTTCCTCCAATTTGGATTTAAATACTCTCAAATTAAACCTGAGAGTGTGCACTTTCAGCCCATATCCATTATATAACTATAGCTTGAATATGTTTTGGTAAATATCTGAAAAAGAAAAAAAATTGTGCCTGTGTCCAAATATATATGGACCTAACTGTATGTGGCAAGCAGGACGAGGCAGAGGGCCGTGAGGCCGGTGGCGTGATTACTAACGAGCGTCACCTGTGTGCCACAACGACATCTCCTCCGTAAGCTATACGGAAGCATAAAAGGAGGAACAATGGCAGTGAAGGATGAGAGAAGTCCAGGCCTGGTCTTCTCTCGTCCTTCCCTGTTGTCGCTCCTCATTTTAGATACGAGGCCGGTGTGGCTTGCAGGTGGTGACGCTCGTTAGTGATGAAATACTATAGACTGAACACATAATACGCATTTTTGCGCATGATGTCATCGTTTATAGAGATTCACGTTTTTGTTGTTTACACGGAGACCGTTTAAAAAAAAAAAACGGGTACATTGAAACCCGTTTTCAAAAGTTTGCGTTTTCATGCACCCAAAATGTCGTCGTCGTATAATTGAACGGCCAAAACGCATAAAAAGTATAACTTTTTAGTTGAAAACGGTGTCGTGTAAACTGTGCACCCTCAGTTGTCGGTCGATGTTTGCGTGTAGTGTGTTTACGTTTGTTTCACCCAGTTTAATGTAATGTTTTTAAGTCAGTTTAATGTCATTTAAGTTGGAATTATTTAAACATCCAAGTTGATTGTACTTAAAAATACAAGGCATCATCCTTTTTTTACAGTGCTAACTTCTTTGTTCTATTTGTTCTCGACTTGCCCGCCAGGCTGACATTCAGTTCAGTGGTCAGCAAATCCTCCTCCATAAAAAATGTTGATTCATTTTGTTCCAAAGAGGAGGACCAGGTTCAACCCGTTGGAGCTTGTGTCGTTCAGATTCAAAACGCATTGACTCATTTGGTGAAGGGCGTAGCATATTCATGCAGTAGATCCCAGCCTCCCACCAATAAAATTCAATCAATAGAAATCGAAAACGTCAATCAATCAATAGAAAATTCAATTACGAACTAAACATCAATATCTGAGACAGAACATCCAAAAACTTGTCCAAGGGGACTATAGTCACACACTACCTGCCTTTTGGTCTGAGAGTTTGGAAAGGAGCATAACATAGCACATTATTAATAAAGCCTGGAAGTCACCTATCCCAGCTGTCATCTCTGATTAGAGGTTCACTCAGTCAGCCGCAGGCTCCTTCTACCCAAGACAGCCCAAATGGCCCTGCAGAGAGCCATGTGACCCCGGCTGCACATTCCCAGACTGTTCATTCACAACATAACTGCTACCTTACATTGTGATGACTGGATGCCTGTAGCCCATGCACAGTAAAAAAATTTATAGTTTAAGATGACTACAATAAACACCCCAAAATTCTTGTGATGAGAATAAAGAGGTGGTAATAAAGGCAATACAAATAATTGAATATCTCAAAAAGATATGATGATAACAGACAGATTAATTGCATATTTTCATAAATTCATTCACTCCTAAAAATTGCCATTGTAAGCTGATAGAATGAAAGTGACAGTCCAAATAGATCTCCTTTTAAAAAATCCTGCAGCGCATTATGGTAATGATTTCAGATAGTACCATATTCAGATGATTACCATAGTCATGTCCCATGGTATTCACATGGTACTCCAAGGTATATTAAAGGAGACCTTAAAATCAGCATGAAACAGAAGTTACGATAGTCTTTTCTTCCCTATTGTGAAGTATATTAGAGTGAAGTCTTCTCAAACAAGAAAAAATGTAGGGCGGAACTTGATTTTGTCCATCAGGAATTTATTGGATTATTGTGGTTTACTATGCTGTGATCTCATGTGAGTGATAAGATGTCCCGCCCTCGCACCTGTAAAAAACACGTCATCAGAGAAGAGCTGTCGCTGTAAGATGGAGGGGAAGTTATTTAGATTAAACATTAAGAGTAGAGATGCACCGATGTATAATAAAAAGTATTTTCCAGCTTAATTACCAGTATATTTTTTTTACAGTGTTTTAAAGTCCCTGTAAAGGCAATTTTAACAAAACATTCTAAACACATTCTAAAGGTTAGAAATGTATTGCTAAAACATATTACAAAGAC